AACTGCTGGGGCAGAGTCCCCTCAATAATTCCTCTCAAAGTTCTTCCAATGTGTATATCAAGTAGTTAAAGGGTATATTGGACCCCAATATAAGTACAGGCAAGACATGTAACCTTGTGTTTAAGAGCACTGATCTCTCAGAGACAAGACATGAGCGGATTAATTATTAGTATTAATTTTTCTAATATGGGATTCCATACTTTCCAGTTCTTTAAGTTGTGAGACTTCATGGTTGTGAAAACAAACTTGGAAATGCAAACACAGTCAGATCTATAGTGTCTGGCAAAGCAGCCCTTGACATCAGCAAGAGTATAAGGGCTGGGCCTTTAGTTCCGCATCTGCATGGGAGGATAAAACTTGTTGCATGTTTCTCTAGGAGAAGATGGGTGCTGCTCCTAGTACTCATGGAGGATTTAGGCTGCATTTGGTGATAAAGTCATGCCATATTTTAATCTGTCCCTGTTCATCTAAGCGCCTTCAACATCAGTTTTGTTCTGATGTCACTTTGAATTTTGCCGCTGAAACCTCTAATTATCATATTTTAAATTCTTCTCTTTGTATACAACGACATCTTAACTTCCTAAGGTCAAATGAAACCAAATGTGTACTTCCAAGTTAATGCTGTAGGTAAATGTTGCTACACTGAGATTGCGGAAAAAAAAAAACCCAAAACCCAGAATAAAATTGGAGGCTGCTCAAAACTGATACTATCAACAGCTACTAATGAATAAAGCTGTGTAGAAAAGCATCTTCTACAGTTATACAAAAAAATAGTATGAATACAATTTTCTTGCTCCTGTGTTTATAAAAGGAAAATAAACCCAACAACGAAACACTGGCCAATTATTTGAATGGCTTTAAAGTCTTTTTTTCTAGAATGCAGGTAAATATTGATGTAATTTCCCTTTTCACAATGCAGATTATTGAAACCACATAGGAACTGTCTCTTTTTAAATCTGTTTCTCCTGACTTGGTTTTATTTTTTTTTTAGTGAGGATATAAATGTAATAATTTAATGATTAATTTAATGAGGGTATAAATTTAATAAAACCACAGGGGTGAGGCCTGGCCTAATTCTAATGATTTTAGATTTTTAATTTGAGAGATCAATACCATTTACCTGTCTGAAAACAAAACCCGAGAAACGATACCCTGTGCTTGAGAGACCTGTATGAACATCAAAGCACTTTGATTAGGCCCTGTATGAATAAGAATGCTTGGGAAATTTTGGGAATATTTGGGAAATTACTTTGCCATATTTTGAAAATCTTTTGCTGTATTTGTCTAAGTTCAGGCCCAGAAGTCAGGAACTCCAAATTTTAATAATGGCTGACAGTGACCCTGTAGATCACCTTGGTAAAACAATAGCAACTTTTTTCCTCAAGTATGCCACCTAGAAAATGGGGTGAATGATGAAAATTCTTTCATGTGAGAATAAAGTACAGTTACAGCTTTGTTTAGGACACCTTAGAGACTAAGATAAATTGCAGTAAATTGTTATAGGACTCTTACAGTTATCTGCCCTTCTGCCCTAGAACTGTCAAAGCAAACTAAAAATCTCAGACATACTTTTGAAAGGTAAAGCTGAGACAGTCACCTTTGTGAAACAACAGAATTAAAAAGTCAAATTGGACAGGGTAAACACTAAATATATTAATGGCATACTGTTCTCTTGATAAAAGAGAACAAGAACAAAATCACGAAAATTACTTAAGTAAAACAGCCCAGTATTATTGGATTTTTCTTTTTTTTTTACATGATCTGTAAAATTTGCACCACTCCAGTTTACTCAGTTACTGTGTTGCATGGTAAAAAGGGATCAGCTAATATTAATAGGTTCAATTTCATAATAGCACAAGTCTTTTTCGATATTTTTTCCCCAACCCATGACACTGAAAACAAAGCATCTGAAAAGTTGCAGATGGATGCATACTACAGGAAATGATGTGGCTGAGCCCTCTGGCAGTCTTAAGTAAAGAATTCTCAGTTCAGAATTTACACAGGTGCAAGGGAAAGCACAGGACTGAAGAATTATGAACAAATATTGTTCATACCAGAAGACAGGTTTTATATTCACATTCAGCAAATATTACAAAGTTTTGGACATTCATGTAGAGAGAGGGGCTGATTTCTCCAGTTCAAATTTTGCTTAAGTTAGTAAAAAGGTGATTTCAAGAATCAGTGTTACCAAAAGTTTACTCTAGCAAGTGAAATTTATTAACCACAAGATATAAATTAAATTAAACCTATTACAATAAGTATCCGTAACCAACAGATCCCTCACACACACACACACACACACACAAATTAAAAAAAAAATATGGAAATTGAAATGAAAGAATGAAAAGAGAAAGAAATTATACCTACCCTGAACGGGCTAGCAGAACAGTGACAGCTGGAAGCAGAGAATGCATGGTTACCTTCTCAGATTAAAAAGCCCAACAGTAAACCTGTCATATCAGAGTTTGGAATCATTGCTACAATCATTTGAGAAGAATCTCCTTTGTCAGTGTTATGAATAGTGCAATTCTTAATTCAAGTTAAAAACTTAGGGGTAAGTCCTGGGGAAGAAGCAAATCCTTCAAGAAAGGCCTCTACACACAAATGCTGGCAAAGTGCTTAGTGACAAAATCCTCTGCCCCAGTTGGTCAGACTGCCTGGGCAGCTGATCCTTTACAGTTAATATATCTTGTAAAAGGTAACAGACTCACAGCTGCCTACTTTCCATAGAAATTTTTGGCATTTTCTCCTAGAGGATTTCAGAAATCTGCTTTGAGTTTTCAATGGCATTTGGATCTTTCTCTCGCACCCCATGTATCATTCAAATAATTAATGTCTAACTGATCCGATGTTTGGCCACTTGTGGTTTCTGATGAACCCAGAGCCCTGTTTTCACAGGGGAAATTCCTTTTATGCAATCTGTATTTATGGTTCATGATCTGACATTACTGTGGAAAAATTACTTCCAGTTCATTTAACAGCAAACACTATATGACTGCATTATTTGAAATTACCTTGCAACAACTAAACAGTTGGTGCAGAGGTTGCTGCCTCCAACATGCTTTACAAAGCATTAACAACCACCTGTTGCTTTCATTGTATAACCCCATCTTCATATAATATTTATCATAATCAAGCAGTCAACTTTTTTCCATACTAGAGTACCAACTATCTCATAATAAATATATGATTTCTACACAGTAAGGATTAAGTGTTCATTTTGAAGTTAAATAAGAACTGAAACATATATATATATACATACACATATGAACACCGACATATGGTAGAGCTTTTCTCATTCTTTACTCCAAGAGCTATCCTTTTTCTAACAGTGTGCCTTTCATGCCTTTCAATTATTTTTCTCGTCATCTGCCCACTTTTCTTTAAACATTTAACACAGTTCCAGATTACCAAGATAATGTGTTTTCACATTCTTTATTTTCTCTTGATTTGCCTAAGAACATGATTAGTGTGTTATATGCAGCATTACATTCCTTCTTTTCCAGCAAACTAATAATTTATTTTTATAGTATTACAGCCACAGTAAGCCCTGTTATTTCCCTTTATTCTTCTTTAACAAGTTTTTAAACCATTCTTCAAAGCAATTTTTTCAATTCATCATTCAGATACACATATTCAGTGTCTTTCTTTCATTTTCTCCCTTAAAGTTTTCCAATTATCTGCAAATTTTACACTTTCCTTTCAAAACAGATCTTTCAAAATATCTTTTATTCTGTTTATGTTATTTCTTTATTTTTATTCTGTAATAACTGCATCGAATGTATGAAAATGCAACCCAACAAAAGAATTTCCAAATTAACTTTAACGTTTTTATTAATATGTATGCAAAATTTTGGAAGACAATTTCAGATACTAATTGCTTGTTACATGATCCTGCAAAATGCCATATTCCAGCTCATTTAAATGTGTACCTGAGATGCTACTTTTATCATCAAAATTTTTACATTAAATTTAGCTGCTATGTCACGTAATACCACATCACAAGCACTTTGGAAGTGAACAAACTAAGTCCTGAATTTTTATGTGCCTTTTAAGATGGGGGTTCCTATGCTTGAGGCCATTTTGACACCCTAGAAACTTTTGTAACTGAATAGCTCCATCAGTAAAACTTAAGCCTAGATCTCCAATTCCCCCTCACTGTTTTCACTTTTTTCTACTGTAGCTGTTCCACTTTACCAAAAATAGTTAGAGATTTATTGAGATACACCACCAATCATTAAGTGGCAAAGAAATATAATTGCAGTCTGCTCTGATTAATATTCTAGTCTATGTGGGGGAAGGAGAGAGAAGCACACTGTGGAGCAAAAAAAGGGAGACTGGAAACAGCATTTTCTTTCAATAAAACTTCTGTTCAGCTCTTGGAAATAAAAGTGTTTCAGGGTCCAGTTCTTGGGATGGGTTCAAGTCCATGAACCTGATGTGAAGGGAGATGTGCTTTGAAGCCCAAAGGAAAGATATCTTAAAAGGGTGCAGATTTAAGGTACAACTATTTCTCATTTTACTTACCTGCTAGCATAGACACCTTTTTATACTGTAAGCTGACACAGATATGTTTCACTGTCCCCAAGCTCCAGACTGTTAGTTATCACTGTACTGTAAATTTCCCTACAAGGTGACATGCTCACAGATGAGATGCTGCAGCATTAAGTTCAAGCACTTAACTATACTTTGTGGATCTAACCCAAAGTCACTTCAGAAAACAAAATTTAGGGCTTTTGAAAAATTTTACCCTGTGTGTCCTGGAATCATGTATTGAGATATAAGGAAATCAGATACCAGGTCTCTTGAGTTCCAGTTCCCCCGTGTGATCACAGGGCATTTCTCTTCAGCGTAGTAATTCAGTCAAGTCACTGACACCAATGAAACGTAACAAAAAGAACTCTCAGGTTCTTGCCAGTTTCCAGACATGGTCTTGCATTGGATACCTACTGCCTATGCAATGTATGTTTATGTACATGCTCGCTTTTCTTCTTTTCCAGAAATCCCTAATAAACTAAACCGTGGTGAAGCCAAACATCTTGCAGAGGCCTCAGGGTCAGAAAAAACAGAAAGAACAACAAAGAGATCCAGAATATCAACCATAAGGCGGATATTTGACATGGCAAAGCACCGAACAAAGAGGTCATCCTTTTTCTCAACTGGTGTGAAAGTTTGCCCACAAGAATCAGTGAAGCAGATTTTGGCAAGTCACCAAGCTTACTATAGATTAAGAGGTAAGATCATGATTGCAGTATATACTTCTTTCGTGAAAATATTTCTTTTTAATTGAAGAAACAATTTTCCAGAATCTTGTTCTCTTGCTCCAGGCAAGGTACGTGCTATTTGCTTTATGCTTTATTTTTACACAGACAATCAAATGTTTCCTGTACATCAGCATCATTCAAGGCAGACAGTTACCAGAACAGAACAAACAATGCACTCAAAAGACTAATGAACTTAGTGTAACTGCATAGTGTTCTAGCATGGCACAACATGAAGACCAAATTGTACTTGCATTACTGTGTAAAGATGTACCAGCTTTCTCAAAAGTGCAGCAGGTATCATCATTGCTACTCAGAATTAACCCCACGAGCTCAAGACAAGTGATGAAACTATTCATCAGTCACTGCATAAAAAAGTTGGTGGATATGTAGTTAATATTAAGTCTGTGGCAGTGTTGGTATGATACAAACACTGAGATAATTGCCAGGAGTTCAAAGACCTCAGTCTTCATTTTAAAATGCCTAGAATGTTTTTCTGCACTTTCTCAATTAATTCACTCCCTCTCTAGCCCTTTCTTTACCTCTCTTGATTGTAGAAAGCCTATAGAACTACCAGTCCAATTCAGCCTCTAGAGAGCACAGTGAAAATAGGTCCATGTTTTTCATGATTCCCCTCTTCCTCCCTCTACCTCTCCCAGTCTTTCATTCTGTGGTGGTTCAAATTTGTATTAGAAAAATGCATATTTCTGTGCTTTAGATAGATGGTCCAATGCTAATTCTAAAATCCAGTCAGCACTTCTAGGATGCAAGTATCTAAGGTAACATCTCTCTAAATCAACTAGCATATTCCTTAAATCAACTTTGCTTACCTATTTGATCTCTATGTTGGACTTCAACCAATGCAAGTTACATGTATCTAACTTGCCTGCTCCTCAGTTCTCTTTCAGGGAACCAGCTAGTTCCCGCTGATATAAAACCCAGATGCAGAACTTCAAAAATTTTTATCCATGATCCACTTGCTATAGGCAGAATAGACAAACTACACCAATGTCTTTATCAATTCCTATAGATACAAACACATTTGGTGTCCATTGTGGGAATGAATTCCAACTCAATTAGACGGAATTCTGAAATGTGTTAAAGAGACTGATCCAAGAAGCCTTTCTTAAATAGTAATCAATCTTCAAAGTTTCTAAAACTCACTGGTCACATCCCCGAAAGTAAGTTATCCTGGGAAAGGCTGGTATCATTGACCTTAACTCAAAGAACTGCAACTAGGACATTTTCATTTAAAAACTGATGATGACAATACTACCACCTTTCTGGAGAGCAACCCATCAGATGGAATATTGGGATCTCTGAGTCTTGTAGTGCAAGCAGGTTTAAACTTATGCCTCTTCTTTCTCAGCAGTGTCTTACACTCACAAAATTCTCTGCATAGGCATCATCCAGTTCTGAAGCTGAAGCTGGAGTACTTCCCCAAAAGTATAAAAGAGAACAGATGACTGCAGCTGAATAATTTTTCTGCTCATTCAGAAAAAGGTGTTTCTGCTCCCCTGACTATCTGCACATTTTCAATTACAATGTCTTTTGTTAAAAACTCAAAAACAAAAAAAATCATTCCTTCAAGAAAAGATCCAAACCCAAGCCTTCTGTCCTCCCAGCTGAGCATGTCAATTTACCTGGTGAAAGTGGTAAATGAAAAAAGGTAAAAGTGACAATGTGGTGGTGCAAGCATTATCCTTGAAACTGTAATGACAGTACAAGCCTTCATGAAAAGATAATCTGGTAGACACAATGGGGTCTCATAGCATATACCTATCCATGGAACAATAATTTTGTACCTTTAGGTCCGTTCTTTTCTGTATCTAAAGTCTAGGAGACCACTTCCACCCCTCCATTTAGAATTGTAATGGCAGTATAGATCATACCTGCCCTCATTTCATTGCTTCCTAAGAAAAAGTACAAGTTTTTTTCCTAACTTTTTTTACATATACATATTCCATGCTTTCAGGAATGAGCACACAACACAAAGCGGCACAGACACTTGCTACTTGATACCCTGAGCCTAATGTGACCCTATACCAATAAGACACCGTAGCTTAAGTCACCATGAAGACAGTCCCTCATGCATGGAATCGTCTGTGACACCTCCTCAGCTCTCCAGGTGTCATGTTTACTAAACTCTGGTAACTGGATTACTTTTCATCAAATAGTATATATTTATTCACCAGTTCGTGCTCAGAAGAACAGATAACAGAGTTGTAAGAAAAAGATGATAGAACACAGCTTAGGTGCTTGCTGATAATGAGCAAGTCTCTTCAAAAGACAGCGTATTCCTTTTTAATAGTCTAACCACATCTGCTCCACATGCAGCTGCTCTACTGGGAGGGCAGGTTGTTTCTGAGGTATTATTGAGGTGCCCTGACACAGCTAGGTGAGTTCACCCCTACAGCAAGCTTAGAAAATACCTAGAAAAACTGATTATACTAATTTCAGACACACCAATATGAAATACAGATAATTATCTCACTCTAAGGCAAAGCAGGTATCAAGTACTGAAAATAAATGTCCCTTCTCACAGTAATGAGCTTTGCAAAGTGCTAAAGGCAACAGCTTTTAAATTGCTAGCAAGCTTTTTTTAAAATTTTACTTCTAATGCTTGAAAATAGCATTCTACAAAAGTATTTAACTTTAAACAACATTTTGGATAAATGTTCCTTCATCTTGAATGTAAATTATATTTTCACAAAGCCAAAAGTATAGCTGGCTTTGTTGACTCTAATACCAGAGCAATCAGCAAGCAGTGACAGAGGCAGTCATCACCCATGAATGGGAAGGTATAGCAACAGCTGAGATAAACTGAACTGGTTCTGTTCAAAAGACATTGGTTCTAGCAGGCACAGAGCCATGTTGGTTATCCTACACAACTGAGTTCAGACACTGTACAGTATCTGTGAATCCACCACACACAGATTGCAGAGGACAGCCTGTGTGTGGTATGTTAACCTACCAAAGCCACTCTATCATTCTCCTCCTCAATTGGACAGGGGACAAAACACATAATGAAAGACTCATGGGTCAAGATAAAGACAAGGAGAGATCATTCACTGATTACTGTCACAGGCAAAACACACTCAGCTTGAGGAAAACTTGATCAAATCAGAATAGGATAAAGAGAAATAAAAACCAAATCTTAAAAACACATCCCCACCCCCACCCCTCCCTTCTTCCTAGGCTTAACTTCACTCCTGATTTCTCAACCTCCTTCCCCCCAGCACAGAGGGACAGGAAATGCTGGTTACTGAAAGGGAATCTGAGCTCCAGCACCTGCAGCATCTCCTCTCCTCCTCCTTCTTGGTGTCTGCAGAGCTGTTGCTCTCATCTAGTCTCACTCTCCAGTCTTCTCCAGCTGTAACTGCTGAAGCCCAAATATTTTGTGTGTGGAGTGGTATCTAACTATAACCCAATATATATTAGCATAGTTAGTCAGGTAGGCAGTGGCTGTCTAGAGGAGGAAACAGTTCATCCTCTGGGATCTTTTCAACTTACAAAGAAGAGGAAACTTCAGCAAGATGTTTTCAAAAGTTTATTCAGAAGCATAGGCCCACATGACCATCCACCTTTGTGACTCTCAAAACCTCACTTCTGCAAACATATGCAAGACCTGCATTTCCAGAATCATCAATGGAAAGTAAACCTTTATGAACTAGCTGCTGCTGCTGCTTTCTCCTCTCCCTCACATATTCATGCATGTCTCAGTGCTAGAGAGCAAGGTCTTTGCAGCAGGAACTTATCTTTTGCAATTTTTCCCTTAAATGCCTGACAGAGTTCCGACTGCTAGAAAAATAGATCAAAAAACTAGACGCCAAGCCAAAATAGGTATTCTCATGTATTTTGGAACATACTGCATCTGAACTTCACAGCTTTCTTGCAGAAGGAGTGAGCCAATTGAATATGTAAAAATCTCCATTATTATATTATGTGTTTCACATAATCAGTTTGCATCCAATAAATTAAGTTCCCTTAAACCCATTCCTGAATATCATCTTTTTAAAGTCTTCCCCTCTGTCTTACTCTCTATATTCATTCTCATTCCCCAAATGATACAGAACACTACTGTTCACTCTGCAACCGAAGTACATGTTAATCTTGTGTGATGTAGCCTGGCATTTTACCAAGTGATTCATCACCATGGAGGAAATATCTAACATTGAACAAATAACTGTGTATAGTAGTGTAAAGAGGAAGAAAAACATGTTCTTTCTTTTCAAAGGAATTTTACTTTTAATAATGGATATTAAGTAATTCAATTTTTCCACAGGTGTTTAAAGAAACATAAAATTATGTACCTGCTGTAGAACACACTTAAGATTTTGAAACACTGAATTACTTTGAAAATCTAGAATATAATGAAATCATTTTAGCCTGTAGCATTTTTCCATTAAGAAATTTTTTATCTGTGTAGGAAATACAAAAATTTTAAATATGTTCTGCTTATCTTTTCTAACATAGTTAACATAATAACGCACAAATTTTTTTAATACAATTAAAACTGTGATTATTCAAGTATAATGACTGCTAGATTACTAGAATATCCAGTATGCATCCTTGGATATATGTACTTTTGAGATGAAGAAGGTGTGCTCTGTGTTTGCCCCTTCTTCAACATGATGATGATTCTATGATTCTATGATGATATCAAGCCAAATTAATCTTTCAAAATGAGAGAAATCAGCAATTGTTAATTTAAAGATAGCTACTCCTTCAGCGTAAAGCCAAGAGCAAGGTCATACACTTGGGTCGGGGCAATCTCAGGCACAGCTACAGGTTGGGCAGAGAAGAGATTCAGAGCAGCCCTGTGGAGAAGGACTTGGGGGTGTTGGTCGATGAAAAAATGAACATGAGCCGGCTTCAGTGTGCGCTCGCAGCCCAGAAAGCCAACCGTATCCTGGGCTGCATCAAAAGGAGCGTGACCAGCAGGTCAAGGAGGTGATCCTGCCCCTCTACTCTGCTCTTGTGAGACCTCACCTGGAGTATTGTGTGCAGTTCTGGTGTCCTCAACATAAAAAGGACACGGAACTGTTGGAACAAGTCCAGAGAAGGGCCACGAGGATGATCAGGGGACTGGAGCACCTCCCGTATGAAGACAGGCTGAAGAAGTTGGGGCTGTTCAGCCTGGAGAAGAGAAGGCTGCGTGGAGACCTCATAGCAGCCTTCCAGTATCTGAAGGGGGCCTATAGGGATGCTGGAGAGGGACTCTTCATTAGGAACTGTAGTTATAGGACAAGGGGTAACGGGTTCAAACTTAAACAGGGGAAGTTTAGATTAGATGTAAGGAAGAAATTCGTTACTGTAAGGGTGGTGAGGCACTGGAATGGGCTGCCCAGGGAGGTTGTGAATGCTCCATCCCTGGCAGTGTTCAAGGCCAGGTTGGACAGAGCCTTGGGTGATATGATTTAGTGGTAGGTGGCTAGGTGTCCCTGCCCATGGCAGGGGGGTTGGAACTTGATGATCTTAAGGTCCTTTCGAACCCTAACTATTCTATGATTCTATGACTGCCAACTCAGAAATGTTTAAAAGACCTAGAAGTCTAAAAATACCTAGAAGCTAGACTTTTTTACTAACTGCAATAAAATGTGTAAATCCCAAATCACTTTAAAAAGGCTTTCAAGTTTACTTTTTGTTACAAAGCATCCATCTCCAGCCTCTTTCTTCTTACTCAGTCTGCCAGGAAGCTGTGTGGGAAGCCTTTCGTATTTTTTTTGACCGGATTCCTGATACTTCTGAATATCAGAACTGGGTTACTGCCTGCCAGAGGGAAACTTTCTGCATATTTGACATTGGCAAAAACTTCAGCAACTCCCAAGAGCACCTGGAAATAATCCAACGGGTAAGGATTACTGACATTTGTTTAGAAACTGTGGGAAACTCCCAAGTCCCTCCCCATCTGCTTATATAAAAGCAAAGTAATGTTCAGGAAGAGGAGGGGGCATGTATTAAAAGGAAAACTTAAAAGTACAATAACCAAAAGAGCTAACGGGATTCTGCTCAATGGTTGGATACACCAACTAGTAAAATGTTGTTTTTCTTAATCTTTTTGCAGCGAGTAAAACATAGAACCTTCCAGGAAAGGTAAGTAGCACAAGCAGAACCTTGCTACTTCATGTTACTGCCTTTTGTGAAAAAGATACGTGTAGATGTGCGTGGATGTGAACAGATACACAGATAGCACTGTGATGTATTTGGTGTGTGCTGTGAGAGCTGTGTTGTATACTGTAGGTATCATGGTATACAGTGACTGAATAACAAATAATGAAGGTGGACAAATGTCTGAGTTGCCTGTTCACCTTGAGACCCTACAGAATGTCGTCTTTGACTAACGTGAGCATGAAACAGCGATAGCGCAAGGGCTATGCATTCGACTAGTGTTGGTTGGGAGCGTGACAAAAGATTACCCAGAACATCTATCATTTTGAAAAGGAAATTCAGCCTTTAATCAAAGTTTATCTGGAGGTTACATTGAGCAGTAATATAAAAACACTATGCCTTCACTTTATCTTTGCCCTACATTTTTATGTATCAGCATAGTGTTAAATAAGGTGATGCTTTATTCCATAAATTCTTGTAAAAAGAAAAAAGTGCTCCTGGCAATGCTCAGAAATCTGAGAATGGCAGGATTAAAGTTGCAATACTGAATTCTGTCACTTTGCATATAAATACTACGGTACAGCCAGACAAATCATTGTCCACAGGTTCTCTGATTTATATATTTTTTTTCCTTTGACTTTTCTTAGATTTTAGGGTGCAGCAAATAATCATTCCTGCTCCTTAATTACACTGTCTCATGATCACAGAAGATTTTTGTATGTTTGTTCATCATGACATGGGAGCTTTGAGCATTATTCTTTCTCAGAAATATATTTTTAATAATGTAGGGCCTAATTAAACTTCCCAGAACTCCAAAGGGAGGTCTTTTCATTCAGTCTAGTGCAAACACCAGCAGCAAAGCAGTAACCAAAGTGACTGATCTCAATTCTTGTGCTCTTTGTGTACAGTACGGTTTTCCCTAGACACAGTTCAGAAAGTGAAGTAAATTCTATGAAATTACTGATATTCTAATTGGAAATACATGCAAACATGATTAAGCACTGTTGAACTTCATCTTTAGTACTCTGTGATTTGGGAAACATTTTGTATCTTCTGTAGATGCCATGTAAAGAAATCAGTCTTCAGTTAAAGACATAACACATAATTAGTTAACATTGTGAAAACTCAACAAATATTTTAGTTCTCACCACACAAGGTATCCAGAGGATGTGGTAAATACAGTTTTTTCATGTTCTTTATGTTATTAAACAGCCAGCTTGGTCCTGTATAGAAATGCAGCCCAGCTATCTTTTCTGTCTATGCTACAAGCTTCACATTGTCTCAGTTAACACAATATATTATCTGCAGTACCCTTAGTTCCTTCACTCCTATTAGTTTTCACAAACCCACCACTAGTGCACTGCCTTAATAATAGCTATTTCTATAGAAATCATAATTCTGTCCTCATGTATTTACACGATTGGGCTTTTTTTTTCATGCTGTGGGGTTTTTATCACACTACTTAGAACCTGAAACAGCCGAAATCCTTCACCCACCAATTTCACAAAAAAAAAATAGCAAAACATGAAAAGATTCTTATCTAAGACTCCAAAAGCTAAAAAATGAATGACATAATGAATGATTCCAAAAGTTAAAAATGAATGACATTTTGGTTTTAGAGCAGAAATTATTCTATAGACTTACCTCCACTAAAATTTAACACATTTATTATAAAATGTATTTATGTATACATACCACCTCTGCTTTTCAGGCAAATGAACAGTTTCAGTTACACAATTTATTCATCAGCGCATGACTATAAAGCTTGCAACAGAAAATTATATCAACAATACAAAACCAAAGCCTGTGATGTGAGGCAGAAAATCTGTACATAACACCCACTATATTCTTGAGTTTTCAGCTGCCTACCATGGAGACCATGGCAGGCACTAATCCATGAATATTACATCTAGATCCAATCATAAACATTCCTAAAATTCAAAATAATCTTCATCCAGGAATCTGATTTGAAATTATCATTAGTTGGAAGCATTCTTATGATAGTATAATGCAGGCTGACAATAGAAAATGGGAAGTTTAGATTAGATGTAAGGAAGAAATTCTTTACTGTAAGGGTGGTGAGGCACTGGAATGGGCTGCCCAGGGAGGTTGTGAATGCTCCATCCCTGGCAGTGTTCAAGGCCAGGTTGGACAGAGCCTTGGGTAACATCGTTTAGTGTGAGGTGTCCCTGCCCATGGCAGGAGGGTTGGAACTAGATGATCTTAAGGTCCTTTCCAACCCTAGCTATTCTATGACTCTATGAAAAATGGGTCACACATCCTCTCCTCACACCAAACCATATGAGACACGCTTGAAACCATGAGATGTCCATTAGTTCTAAAACTAGAGCCCTCATTAAACTATCTTAATAGGAAGAGATACAGCAAAGGAAACAGTCGTTGGTTTAGATAATGTATAAGAAGTCCTGATTCCATTTTAGTCAGCTGTCAATCTTTCATAAACTTCAAAGGGAGAAAAAGTAGACCCTGTGCAATGATTTAATCTTTGTGACACCATCCCTCTAACTGCTGGCAAAAATCAGTCATGAAAACTTATAAGCACACTTCTGACAGGACTGGTAATCCTTGGTAGAGGAATATATCAAATCAGTATTTTTATTTACTGTAAAATCAAATATCATATTGAAAAAAAGGAAAGGAAATATATAAAATGTTAAACATAAAATATGATCTGCTGTTCCATTGCCTGTTTAATGAGCTTATCAAATATTCCATCAGAAATAAATTCTCTCATTTAAAGTACACTTAATATAGGGGTTATTTCCTTTTTGTTTTTTTAAACCTTTGCAATTGCTAGTACAGCATGCTGATCTTTAAATCATTCCTTTCTATTTGATTGATAGGAAAGATGAAATATCCACAGAGAAAACAGGTGGCAAAAAGCTAGAAGACATTCCTTCCATTCCTACAGGTAAAATCAATTCTGCTTGCTGTGTGCCTGCCCATTAAATAGACTTGCTAAAACCGGTGATTCACAGATCTTAGAAGGCTGTAATTTAACAAATGCAGTAGAAGCATGACAAGTACAGTAAAGTACAATGACATGCTTTAGCAAAATAAGCTATAAGAAGCAATTTTTTATTTGTTTACACCATGTCTGCTGATCAGATGCAGCATTCCAAGTTTGTTTCAGTCTTTAAATGCATCCATTTTCCTAGTTTCACCTGTAGAGAATAGAACTAATTTTGCTTCAGTTATGAAATAACATTTAAAGTGTCAGCTGCCACACTGTTAGCCAAAACAAACAAGTCAAAAAGCCACAATGATATCAAGACATTCATTTGAGCAGATTATTCCAAATAGACCTACCAAAACTGTTGTGTGCTATAGTTCTTTAAAATAATATTAGAAATTTATGCAATGGTAAAATTCTGCAAATATAAGTGGTTTGGTTCAAGGACAAAACATCCTGCATGCATATTTTTGAGGGGAAAATATGACAGAATCTTATTAAAAATGACAGCATAGTAATTTTGTCCCTAGATGGAAAATTCTGTCAAAGATTCTTGTTGCTTTAAATTGAGCCTTTAAGAAAGGTGGCTATCACAGAGACGAAGATCTCAATTGGCAAAATTGAGCTTAGACATTTGGTGATTTCGTGGTTTAAACCAAACCAGACAACTCGTTCACTCACTTCCCCTCCCTTCTTTCCCTCCCCCTACTCCTGGAGCGACTGAGAGGGGAATCGAAAAGAATGCAACTCCCACAGGTTGAGATAAGAACAGTTTAGTAACTAAGGTATAACACAAATCGCTACTGCTACCACCAATAATAACAACGATAAAGGAAATAACAAGGGAAGAGAATACATCACCTCACCACCAGCCAACCGATAACTCACCCCCCCCAGCCCAACCAAGCTCTGACCGATACCTCCTCCAACCCTGCAGTCTCCCAGCCCTTCCGGCTAACTCCCAGTTAACCCCCAGGCATGACGTGCTGTGGTATGGAATACCTCTTTGGTCAGTTTGGGTCAGGTGTCCTGTCTCTGCTTCCTCCTGGCTTCCCCTCCTCCCTGGCAGAGCATGAGGCTCACAAAGTCCTTGGCCAAACCAAAACATCCTTGTTATCAGCTCTGTTCCCAGGCTGAAAGTCAAAACACTGCACTGCACCAGCTACCAAGGAGAAAAATGACTGCTACTGCTGAACACAGGACAGGTGACATACAACACAATATGACAGTAAATTATCAAACTTAATTCACACTATTTCATTGATGTCCATGCCATTTTTGCCTTTAGTCACACACATACAATGCTATTGATGTTTTGACCTGGAAAGAAAGGCTATTTACTGTATAAAAAGCAGCAGTTTTACCCATGCCATAAGTCATGAGCACCTTCCACTAGTAGAGTCTTCTGCTCAAACACGTCCTCCTTAAGGAAAGCTTCTTAGTGAGTTGACACCTGACCAACAGAGAAAGATAATAATTTTTGCTGTGCAAACCCGTTCTTGCCTGATTTCATTTTTAATCCCCCCAGGCTTCCCTGGCACATCCATGACTCCATATGTAACTGCACCTAATGGCACGCTGCTCAACGAAATTGTTAATGACACGAAGATTCCTATGAAGGTGAGAGTAGCCCATTTTGCTATTCCACTTCTCACTTACCTCTTGGTTTTGAGCTCAGCTAGAAGAAAAGAGGAGGAAATCTTATAAACACTTAGCACTTATAAATCCTGACTGCTCCCCTCTATTACTGCTAATGGGACTAGAGGTTTTTATTAGCATCCATTCTGTACTGGAACAGCGTGTTATGTTTCTTGTATACACGGTAGAAAGCATAAAAGTACTGCAACAGCTTTTATGCAAGGCCTTCATTCTTTTAATAAAAGGCCCATTGCCTATTTTGCACCATTTTATGACCTTGATGCTCATTAAATAATGTAAACACTAATGGCTTCTGAGCTTTTTATAACACAGAAGATGGTACAGGACCTACTTGCCAGGCACCCAGCTGCCAAACAGTAGACATCCACAGAAATCTCCTCACAAGAGCCGTGCAGCAAATATCTTTTCATCTAAATGTTTGTAGAAGCAAACACAGGTTGTGTCTGAGGCAGAGAAAGGGATGATAGGAAGGGCTGTTATTTTCCCTCTCCTAATTGCTGCACCTGGTGGTGACAAAGAGGTGGCCCTGGTCTCAGCACAGCTGTGTTGCTTCAGGGAACCTTCTAGAACCTTCCCCTAGAGAAAGACCAAGGTCTTGCCAGGACATGAGGGTGGACGTTCTTGCTGAGGAGCCACAGGAGGAAGTTTGCCCCTTGTGTTTACCCTGGGCTTTGCTCTGAGCCTTTTTTCAATTTCTAGATATTTTATCTGCTAAAGCAGCTCCTTGAAGAGTTGCTCCAGGGTTGGTTTTTTTCTTTTGTACATACTGGCTGAAGGAAGAGGCTCATGTCACCTCTTCCCGCTTGGATGATCTCAAAGTCTTGGTGCTGCTTCTGCCACGAATTTGAGGGCAGAAATGCTGCTCAAAGCCTCATCCATTGCACCCCTGGCAAATCTCCACTGTTCTCCATCCTGCCTCTGCAAGCTTCTCAGCTCTGGCACAGGAACTGCACTGGAGTCATCCCATATAAATGCTATTTTTACTGTTCAAAATGATTACAACCTCAGAATTTAAAACAGCAATATAAAGCTAATATTCTCAACTGTGTGTTACCCACCTGTATTATAGTTGTTGGAGCAAAAGAACAGGTAGAATATAAGGGAAAAAATGGTTTTAAAATTACTTATTTATGATATTTCAGATGTACTGGGAGATTGGGATTAACCAGTTCCCCCATGTTGTTGGTCTCCTCGTTCTTCCTTGGCCAAGTCCTTTGTGATCAGCTCCCTAAAAGCTGGCTCCTCAAAAGCTATAGGGGTGCTATATAATTAATATAGATATATAATCTTCTGTTTATATGATAGAACATTACAGAATTCTCTTTCTGTAACTGATGAGCTGTATTTTTATGTATGAAGTTATTTTGTGGATATGTTCAAAAGGTAACCCTTCCACTTATTAAATACTGGGGAAAAAATACACCTAGTTTCATTTCTTTCTTTTAATTCCTCTCCACTCTTCTTCCAGGAGCTGGGAACAAATACAGTCCCAGAACTGCCTGTGGAGCAAATGGTAGAATTCAGTGTCACTCTCACTGACCAGGAGTACACAGCTGAACTTAATGATCCCAACTCCCCACAGTACAGACAACTAGCTGCAAAATTTCAGCTACAGGTAAGGAGGCTGGGTGAATGCCAATATGTTGGCTTTCTACCTTGGCTGAGATTCATATTCTGAAAATACCTTCACCATGAAACAGAATCTACTGCCCTCACTTGAAATAGATAATTACTGTTGTCTTAAGACCTTCACTTTTCCTTCATGTTTAGTCAACTTCTCCTCCCATTTAGGCCATCTGTTCAGCCACAAAGCTATCAAGTCTTTGTCAGCAGTAGGGACTCAGATAACTGATGAACAGAATAACTTTAGGAATATCATTTGGGTTTAATCAGAAATTCATGGACAGTACTTTGTTATAATTTAATTTCTACAATAAACCTACTGAGAAATGTAATATAAATGTTAAAAGTAATTAGCTACTGTTGTCTGAACTGTTCTTCAAAGGACTTCCAGTCATTTTGTTCTTCATTACCAGAGTTTCTGTAAGAACTGGAACATCTGTGGTGTTTTCATATAATTAATAATATTGACTGCTCAGCTATCAATTTAATAGATAGCAGTTAATGACTTGAGGTTTCTAAAAGATTGTCTTAGTAAAATTAACTACATCTTCTTATTTGTTTCATGAGCATTCCTTAGTGTAAGCTATTTAAATATCCTGCTTCAGTTTCAGATATGCATAGAAAAATGTTGAAGAACGTTTTGGCAGAGCTGATAAAAAGTTCCTTCTCTGGAGATTTCCAGATTATCCTTCCACAGAACTGCCTGCCGATTTTGTTTACTACACATATAATGATGTAATTTCATAATCGGGCTTTTAAGTTACCTCATTAAATGGAGGGGGAGAAATGCAAAGTTTCTTGACTGTTCAATTATTTTCCACTGTCATCGGATTTTGTCTGCCACTTTAAAGGATCCAAAGCAGTTCTTGACATTCAATGTGGAATAGAAAATTATTTGTGTTCCAGTAACATGAAATACACCCGATGTGCTTTCCTCCAAAGATAGGCCATGGAGGAGGCAGAGGGCAATCTTGATACAAGACAGTTTTATGAATGCAATCAAAAGGTGAGAAAGAGGAGATCAGATTCACAATTAAAACCTTTCCAGCTACATGAGCTACTGTACAAATTCCAGAGAAGGCTTTGTGAAGGTTGATGCTGTTGAGTTCCAAGCTCAGTTTATAATTAATTCCAGGATGCAGCAAGAAGAGTTACAGCAGACATTAGAGTGCAAATATTCAGAAGTACATCTGTATACTGCAATACACATTTAAAATAACCTAGAGAATGGAATGCAGATTCAGATGTATTACACTACTCAGTAAATTGAGATTAATTTGGGAAAAGCAGGAAATAGGAAGCCACATATATGCATACAGTTTTTAAAAAGGCATCAAATTCATTGTGATATTAAGAGAAGCAAGAAGAGACTGTCAGCTAGCAGAATATGCCTAAAAAGATATTCATTTACCTAAACATGGATATCTGGTGCCATTTAAGATGCTTCAGGTTGTCCAATACATCTGCAAGGGCCTCTCATATATGACAGAGCTGGACTCTTTAGAACAGCAACTGAGCAGAAGACATCATTAAGGCATCTAAAATGACAGTGCTTGTCTAAATTTAGGGAAATTGATTGCATTCTAGTGATTGAGGCCCTTAATCTCTGTTATTTTAAGAGAGCATTAGTCACATGAACATTATAAATCTTCCCACAGTCTAATTGCTACTTCTGCACCACTTTTACTAAGTCAGACCAAGCTCAGAATGAGCTATTTACCTCTATTCCTTTCCTGCTGTCCTCTTCCAAGAGATGGACAAGGGGAGGGTAGATGGCAGACCTATATTCTGTGCTAGCCACCGTAGTCTCTTCTGTTGGCTGTGATAAAAAAGACATCTAGGTTTATATGGTGTGGTTCATACCTGTTATTGTGTTAACACACTGATCTTCTGCTACTTCTTCACTTAACCTAAGTAAGAGATGCAAAGAAATGTGTGGGTTTGACCAGCCATTCCCCACCTGCTCTGACAAATGCTCATGCATGAATGGGTGAGTTTTAAATGTATGCTGGGTTTGTACAGAATAATACAGTCAAGGAAGAGGAAAGATCACCACATTAGCTCATGCACTTTTTAAGTGATATGCTGAATTAAAAGGACCTGATTCCTCAAAAGGCTTTTCACTTCTTTTCAAGTGCTGAATTCCCCTAAACCCACAGGCTTTGCTTGCAGATGAAAGGCTTAGGTGATGTGTTTGTTGCCTGGTACTTAACAGGACCAGAAAGTGAAACAGAAAGGAGCTGTGGAACTATGTTTAAAAAAAAATCCTGTTCCTTTCACATAGTAGATCAACATAAAATGTTTCATTAGACTTAGCTGCATAAATGTTGCTGCAGTTAGAAAAGAGACAAGACTAGACCAACCTGCTGGGTCTCAAAACATTGTTAATTTTGAGGTGCTGATAAAAACATTTATTACCTTAAACTCTAAAAAATGTATACTCAACATTTTCTGCTCATTGTTTATTCTTCACACCGTCTTTTCTATTCAAATCATGTAACTGCACATTTTTTGCATCATAATTAAAAATATACAAAGTTATTCTATTTATACAAGACAGTTATAACTGCTTAATTTAGGAATGATCTGACAAATAATCTAAATCCACCTGCATTTGGTTACTATTTCTAAATAATTAACTATTTACAGTTAAGGTGACTTGAAACACAAAATTATTCATAGACCAAAACTGCTGAAAATGAGAAAAATATTTGATTCATTTTATTTGACTTGCTTTATTATGGACTAGATTATCACTTATTTACATAACTACATTACTAAAAAAGATGTATTTCATACTTAATTTTGCCTATTAACAGGTAATACAGGAAGTATATACAAATGAAATACTGTGTTTGCGTTCAGCAATGATGATACCACAGAGGGCAATAGTTGAGACTGTTTCCCAAAGCTCTTTCTGAAATATGGAAAATATTGTCCAGATAGTCCACCTTTGCTTGCTTTTTACCAGTAGAACTTACAATGTATTAATGATTTTATTATTTTCTATAGATGCAAAAAATATTTGAGAAACTTCCAGGATTCAAAGAAATCCACGTGTTAGGATTTAAGTAAGTAAGAAAATGTGACTCATTTTTCTATTGGCTATGAGGATTCTCCTCCTCCTTCTATCCTTCCAACGTGGATAGACATAGAATAGTGGTGGGTGTATTGCTATAGACGAAAAATAGTTTTCTAGAAACAACACAGAGACAATGTGGAGAGAAATGCAAACATATTCCAAGTGAGACTATGAGGTTTTGAATTACTAAGTAGAGCTAGTTTTAATTCCCTGACAGGTAAAGTAATCAATAAATCCTTTGAAATTATTTGCTAAAAATATTGTATTAAGGACTTTCTTAAATGGCAAAACAAAAAGAGCTAGGAGTATGATTATTAAGGTGGCTATTTTTTTTTTGTATGCATATCCTGTGCCCTTCATAGATCTCAGTGAAGGTGCCTTGGCAAGAGAAGGTTGCAGGAGGATCCATGCTTACACACATAAAAACTTTTTCTATAGGTGTTTCCCAGGTGTCTCAAACAATTAAAATGGTTTCATATTTTAATAACTTTGTGTTCTATCTTTTCATTTTTTTTACTTTTAGCTTCCTTGTATATTTACTGAGAATACAAGCTACTGTGCATTTTTTTCAGTAGAGAATCTACAGGGAAAGTGAGAGGAATCAAAACCTAGGTATTTTATATGAGCATGCTTCTAAACATATAGAAGCATAACCATAGATAAGAGCACATTATGTAAACAATCAAGGGAAAAATGAATTACTAACAGTAAGAGATAACAAAAATTAAAAGCAGGAAAAAAAGACATAAATTCACATGGGCTTCTGGCACAGCATCAGGAACATTCAGTGCTTCTAGTACTATTTAACGTATGTTGAAGAACTTTCATATTGCAATCCAATTTTAGGCAAGGGCATACATCTTCCTAACTTTTCTCTCTTCAAAATTGCTGGAGGAAAGGACAGAGTAAAGCAAAATAAAGTAAAAATTAGTTGCCTACATTTTTATTATGAGGTAACAAAACAAAAAACTTGCTACTGCAGAACAAGCAGAGAAAATATCTAGTAATAACTTATAGTTACATATTGCAATAAATAACCTCCTGGAATCATAGAATCATAGAATAGTTAGGGTTGAAAAGGACCTTAAGATCCTTTAGTTCTAACCCCCCTGTTATGAGCAGGCACACCTCATACTAGACCATGTTGCCCAAAGGCTCTGTCCAACCTATCCTTGAACACTGCCAGGGATGGAGCATTTACCGCTTCTTTGGGCAACCTATTCCAGTGTCTCGCCACTTCAAGTTGTGACTTCAGGAGATCAGAGATCCATTTCTGTTTAGTATCTTGGATTAGGAGCTGATATGAATGTACATTCATCAGTGTGGAAGACCAGGATTGTTTCCCATCATCTAGTAATTTAGTTAGCTTCTGAGAGTTTCAGATCAGCAAAGACAGGTGATGGTGTCCATTCTCCCTTAGCCATATTACTATATATATTTTAGCAGTATTTCCCCCAAGACAATGCAGAAGGGCAACATGAGAGATAGGCTAGAGAATTCATCATGGAAAATAATGGCATTATATAATGGAAAGTCATCATAGACATGCATTCTGGAGGTTATTAGGTCAAGTTACCCCTGTGACTAGGATCTGAGTAGGCATCATAGCAACAGTAGTAGTTGCTACTATTGTCACAGGTATTCATTGCCACCATAGAGATACAGATTAACAATGGCAGTGCTCAAATTGCACCATTTATAGTGGGAAATATGAAAGTAGATATTTCAAACTATCAAGGTAAATCAAAAATCCTGTTTCCCCATTCAGAGCATGGAGATCCCTGTTGTTTGGAAGATAAACAAGGAAATGATGGAGAATAGGCTGTCATTTTCACAGAGATAAAAATTATAGACGACACATAGAAGATAAATTGTCAAAAGAAGTTTTTTGATATACAACTGATTGATTTCCTAGTATACGTGAATTTATCTTTTTTCTTTCTTTTGCAATCCTTTATTATGCCCTTCGTTATGTGTTGAAATGAAGACAGAAGAAGGAGAAAGATGGGTAATTTGTAATTCATAATTAAGATTAATCATTTTATAGACTATTAAATGTCAATAGATACATCAATAAATGTTTTTTATCTTGATGTAACAAACTGAATTGACTGTGTTCTGCTTACATACACAGTCTGTGATATAAAGCAGCAGGGATAACTTTTACCTTAATCTGAAATGTTCATGTAATCAAATTTTGCCAGGATCCCTCTGAAAGAAAGAAAAGTGTTTTACCTAAGAAAATTAACATACAGATGATTAAAGATCTCTATCAGTAATATACTGAAAGTGAAAAGAATAAATAGGGAAACTTGATATTTACATTTTCATTTTTGATCTGCTGCTTCCTAGTATTCCCAGATACGCATTATCTTCAGTAAGTATGTAAAATTTGATTTGTTATCTGCATTAGCAGTGCAGATAGAATGGCAAAGAGACCAGTTACTAGCTTGATAAAATGCAGGGAGTTCTTGACTGGTAATACAAACAGCTACAGAGCCTGTTGTTGCTTAAAAGTGCTGCTGGGGAATAATTTGTCTAGCAGTTCCCAGAATTTTTAACTTGCAGTTTAAAAGGAAGAATTGTCTAATGCTTTTCCTGAATTCTTGCAATGTAGTACAAATGTAAATACATAGCACATACTACATAATGTGAGATTCCTCTCTCTATAGTATTTGATATTATAAAAGGCAACATAGTGGAGTACAAATGTTTTGCAATGTACTCTTTTTTTCATTTTAATTAGGTGAGTTTAGCATTTATGTAAATTGATTTATTAATAATGGTGAAAGTTTGAGACTTCTGTTAAACAAGGACCTCTAGAGAGAAGCTGTATCCATTAATTTGGACTTGGAAAACAAACTGCCATTGTGAAAAAGTGATTTGCTTGCCATATTAACTAACTTTCTTGTCCTTCAAAAAAAGAGTAAAAAAAAAAGCCCCAGATGTGATAAGGTTTTTGCTTATCTGTAGTTTTATGAACTGCCTAATCCCTTTCCTGCATAATTAATAGGTGATTATGGCTTCTAGTGAAACCAGTATGCATTTATGATTGTTTGAACCAATAATCTGTAACTTCAAGTTACCTTAGTATTTCTGCAGGTCCCTGAGTGATCAGGTTAAACTGGATTATGTTAGAACACTTTTATAATTTTCTTCACTATTGGAATTTTAATTAAAAATTATGCATAGAAAAAATAAAGATTTAGGCATTACAAAAGTAATTTGAAGATGACAGTCTCATTAGGAAGAAATATATCTGCATTATTTGTGCAGAGTGTAATATGTTCTGGTTATATATATTTTTGTTGGTTTGTTTGTAAAATCAATTCTCAGCCAGTAACTGATTTTGCTGCACTGGGCATTTTGCATCTTCCTCTTGCAGGTCAAGCAGCACTATAGCACGATATGTGGTAAACTTTGAGAGAGATGGCTCAGAAATCAGAAGCACAGTAGGTGACATCTCAACTATTGGATCTAATAAGGTTGAAAATGAAAACATTCCACTTTCTCCAAAGGAAGAGAGGGAGATATCAGCAACTAAACTCACAGTAACAGACCTCCAGCAACTGGTTGCCATAGCACTCCACGAAGACCAGTCCCTGCCAGTGGACCTTGGAACACTTCAGTTTACTGATGGTCAGTAGGCAGGCAGTGCCAGCCACAAGTTTCACCTTTTCAAACTGATGCAATTTCAATAAGGTCTCCTTTGCTCTCTAACAGGTAGTTTTCATTTGCTGTATCTCATTCTCCTAAGTGTTGCAGTGTCCCAAGAATGCACAGATCTAAGTTAAACTTGATAGCAAAATGTCTTTATAATTATACAGCCTAACTTCCAATCATATTGGAGAATCCACTTTTCTTGCTTGTTTGTTTAGAAAAGCTGGATATTTTGCATACTAAGAAAAATAAGGGAGGGGTGGAGAGTGCAAAATACTATGTATATTCACAGTATCATTTTAATTTCCCGGTCTCCTTGATGAGGTAAGAAGTGAGGGCTTCCTCTAATATAAATTTAGCTTTCTGAAAGGTAAGTCTTGACTGTAAGGAAGCCATCTAGCCTCCTAGTGAAATCAGAGCGACAGACACCTTAAGGAGTATTTGATCTCAAGCAAAAATCGGTGGTGTGAAACATACTATAAACTGCATTTTGCTCTCTGAAACACAGAAGAAGTGTAGCTGGCTGTGAAGACCTCCAGCAGAAAATTTAAAGGTTTCATCCTGTTCAGTAATCCACCTAATAAATATCCCCATTTAGTGCATCAGTGATCTTTCTCAAAGCTAGCATAGCCCTAGTTTTGGGGAGGTGGGTTAAAAATGGGGAAAATAATTTAAAATATTTTTACATATGTGAATTTACCAAATCTTAAACCACACACCAAATTGCAAAGTGTTCCATTTACAAACAACATTTTCTTGCAAAAAAATATATATATTTTAATGAACTAATACTTTCAGTAAGAACAAAATCTCATCGTTTAATGTAGATTAAAAGGCACAAGGAGAGGGGGAAAAAAGAGTGGCTATAGAACACTTTAATAACAACGATATTAATCAACTTTCCTGCACTAGTTATTTTTAATAACCAGTTTTAGAAAACAGCTTGCATGTAACTATGTTTAAAGAGCTTCTCTGAGAGGGTGAATGGAACCACCAGGCACTAAAGGCAAAACTTTGAGTGCAGCAATGGTGTGGACTTTGGGTAAAACTGAAAAGAATTTATGCTTAATGAACAACACAATATAATGAGTCATCCTAGTCCAAATGGATTTAACCAAGTGCTTCACACTTCAGCTGATTTTGAGTATCCATCCATGGTTCAGCTACCTGCAGACCTATCCCGTTTATTCTAAATAAAGGAGTACAAAGAATGATGTATATGAAGTTCTTGGTTTCCTCATAATTTCCTCATAAATTCCTCAAAATTCATAATTTTTCCTCATAATTAAATGGAAATTTATGCCTTTTTCTTCTTAGCATGGATTTTTAAAAGTATTTTTTTTTATGGAGGACAGTTTTAATACTGTTTTTTACTGAGTTCATTTTGATCAGTTTTCAGGGTGCCACCTCTGAGATATTGCGCACTATTTAATTTAGTGCCTTTTTTTTTTTCCCCCAGAATCTATTGGACCATCTAGTGATTTTGATAATGATATCCAGGCCATGGTCACTATTCCTCTGGCAGGCCCTGATTTGGTAAGTTAATACTGGTTGGTATGTTTATTTATTTATTTCTCCATGAATTGAGGAAAAGCATTACATTCATAGACCCATAGAATAGTTAGGGTTGGAAAGGACCTTAAGATCATCTGGTTCCAACCCCCCTGCCATGGGCAGGGACGCCTCACACTAAACCATGTCACCCAAGGCTCTGTCCAACCTGGTCTTGAACACGAACACCACCAGGGATGGAGCATTCACAACTTCCCTGGGCAACCCATTCCAGGGCCTCACCACCCTAACAGTAAAGTACTTCTTCCTTATATCCAACCTGAACTTCCCCTGTTTTAGTTTGAAACCGTTACCCCTTGTCCTATCACTACGGTCCCTAATGAAGAGTCCATCCCCAGCATCCCTATAGCCCCCCCTTCAGGTACTCGAAGGCTGCTAATTAAACAGTGTTAAAATATGCATAAATATATAGAAAAAGGATCTTTTGCTAAAATACATACCTGCCTTTTATAATGCTGTAAAGATGAATGTTGTCTTGCTATACTTCAATGGAGGTATTGTTTAGAGCATTTGCAGGTGAAAATTACTGCTTGATTATCTTTTGCTGTTGTAATTACTAAATTTACACTATCTCACCAGTTCAGTAGTACATTTCAGTGACAGAAAGAGAGCAATTGATAGGGACAGTGAAAGCCATCTTTCTTTGACCATTTTTTAAATTACAGGAAATGTGATTAGGATCACATGCCAAACATTTTCATACATCCCATGACTTCATGCTGAGTTAGCTGTTTGCAAGTTCCTGTGGCTAAAGATTATTGGTGGTTTTAGCAGTGAAAGTTAAACATAATAATGAAAGCTGCTTTTTATAAACATTTTCAGGAGGACTCCATGAGCGTGGAACTCCCACTGGGCTACCCTAGCCCAGCAACAGTGGGCCAAACTGGAGACATCCTGTTCAATGAATTTACAACTGGAATCCCGGTGCGAAGTGGAGACATCAGTGATCCTGAATACTTCAACAATTTTGTTTCATCTGAACCTGTGTTCCCTACCAAACCTTCCAGAGAGCCATTTCGGGAGAAATCTACTCCAGACACAGAAGATATCTCTGCTGACCACCAAAGTTTCACAGTGCCTTTCAGTGCTCTGGGTAGCACTGGTAGTCCTTCAAAACCAGAGGATTCCTATTTGCCTCCTCCAGCAGATGATTCTGCTAGCAGTGACTTAATCACTGATGGCTATGAGTCTCCAGTGGAGCAGGCCACCACACTGGCAGTTTATACCACAAGTAGCTTTATCCCACCTAGTCTTCTGCAAGAAAGAGCTGAAGCTGCAGATACAACAGGATCACCTTTCAAGGAAGCTGACCAAGACAGTCTGTCTGGACAAGGTAAGACACAAAAGATTTTTCTATAAAAGAGAGTAGAAGAGATCCAGTTGTTAATACACAAAAAGTTCTCAAATAAGTACAGTAATCATTCCTTTCAGCTGTGACAGAATTTTTTTCTGGACCGTCAAAAGTAAAAAATTTACATTTCTGATGCTTACTTGAAAAAAAATCCTAAGGTACCTGACTTCAGGCTTGTCAAAGAAAAAAACAAACAAGCAAACAAAAACCCCAACAGCAATTCAGCAACAAATGCCTAAAGATGAGGCATGCCTTGTACAGGATATTATGGCAAAAATTCTTGTAGTCCTACTGATAAAAGCATATCATACCTTCAAAAAACAGCATAGCATACCTATAAATAACATTCATTATAACCATGGAAAAGTCTTACATTTGCAGGAGGAAAAAAGTTATAGGCATTTTTCATTGTGTTTACTCATTGGGTTAAGGATTTGATGTCATAAAACCCACATAAAGTTGTATATTTATTTTGCAATTTGCTAAATAGCTGAAAAACCTTGTATCCTAACAGCTCCAAATGACTGAAGAGAAGCAGAGTCTCACCAAAAATGAGAGCAATTTTTGGTGAAGATACTAGTTTTATTCATTGTCTTCAGATCTAAAATTGTAAAGAATTTCCTTATTGTAATTTATTACAGTTACTGCCTTACTGTTTTTCACTGGATGGGAGGAAGGATATTGGAGATGGACCTCTCCCTGGTCCCACGGTTCAAGCTTGCTTGAGTGTTTCCGAGTGAGAGTGTAGGCCCACAGTCCATTTGAGGCTTGCATAGGCTCTGATACATCAGTTCAAAATGAAGGTTACATTCTGTGTTATTAAATGATCCTCAGAGTTAATACATTAAATAGTTTAGTGAGTTTCAATGTCATCAGGCAAATATCAGACCAAAGGAAATTTAAGCGAGTATACAAATGGAAAGTTCACCACTTACCTACTAATACAAATTTCTTCAATCTTTCTCATATAATTTGAAATGCAGTAAAAAAACTACATCAAGGGTTTTCTTTTTCCTAAAGCCATTATTGCCTGTGCCCACACAGCATGGAATTGTTTGTTTAAAGATGTGTGGATCTTCTATAACTGCATATTTGCTCCTGTAAACACCTGGTACTGACCCTTTAAACACTATTTTAAGAAATTATTTGTTGCATATTTGGGGGGAACCTGTCAATCTGAGAAACAGAACAAACTGACTAGAACTGTAAAAAATAACTTCCCTAAAATAAGGCCCACTGCCTTGTTCCTCCTCGCTGAACACAAGTTATGTCTAAAACAAGCACTACAACACAAGAATTCCTTCATTATCTCTGCAGCTGAGTAGCAGGAAAAAAATAATTGTTCCCTGTCTAAAAGGAAGGGACACCTTATTAGCAGTGACACAAAGCTGGAGTTATTATATGCATTTAAAGCCTTGCAGTACACAGAACATACTGCAAGCTTAACAGAAGAGAGAGGTTAAAAATCTACTTACTAAGTTTAGAGAAGAGTAAATAATGTATACTTTTAAAAATTCCTTTATAGTTTTTTTGTTGTTGTTGTTGTTTTTGTTTTTTATTTGGCAGTTCTGAGTACAGCATTCCCTGTGTTGTTATTTTTTTCTTTCCCTAAATGTTGCATATTTCATAGGAGCTGATAGAATGTGACCTGGAAATTCAGGACTTGACAACATTTATGAAAAAGGTCTTATTAATGTCAACGGTGTTGGTGATATTAATTTTAACATGGCAAGCAAAATTCCTCACTATTAGGCACAGAATATTTCGCACATTGTGCCTGGCTGCATTTCATAGCTGTGTTTCTTAGCATTTTTGAAACACAAACAAACAAACAAAAAACAAGAAACCCAAACTTTTAACTGTTGCAGGAACTACTTAGCTCTGTATGAGCTTGGACAGAGGATTAAGGTCTGAACAGCTGCCTTCACTTCTACTACATTAATTCCCAGCCATTTTCTCACCTTTCAGTCCAGAAAGTGGAGCAAATTTTCTTCATCACATGTTTAGAACTTTAAATTCACTCTACCATGAAAGGAAGACATGGCTACAAGAAATAACATGATCTGATATTCTTTTAGGTCTCCCCATCAGCTATGTTTCACAGATGGACTTTATTGCATCGGTTATCATGTGTGCAACTGTAGGCTGAACATTACTACAGACTCATGGACGCTGAATGTCTGTAACCTACACCAACTACTTTAATTATGCCTATGTGAGGTCACTGATCAAAGCAATAAAAAAAATTCTTTCACAGCTCCTTAAAAGATAATCAGACTCAGCTTTACACAAACAAATAGATGCAAAGTTCAGCGTACAACATGCAGGAAAAGGAAAGTGAAAAAACAGGTGAGGGATGAAGAGTCAAACTAACAAGAAGTATCCTTCTAAGACATGCAGGATGGGATTTGTCAGGCTTGGGAAACCAGTGGGAGGAATGAGCCAGAAGCAGCTGTGAAGCTTCTTTCATGTGGGTCTGTGCTTGTTCAGGACAGTCATGCTGTCTGTGGTGCAGGCAAAGAGCAGGCCAGTGAGGATTAAACAGCCATGATGGCCAAATAGTGATGGCATTTACTCTGCTCCTCAAAGTAGCCCAAAACTACTAGGAAGATGCTTTAAAGTAAGCCTAACCTTTGAATATCAAATTCTGTCTGAGATTTTACAATAGAATTCAGAGACAAACCCTCTTACTGAAAAATTCTGGAATGCGTGGATCGGATGTCATGGTTTAAACATTTGACTACTCAGAAGGTTTGCTATAGCTCCTGCAAAATCTCATCTCTTTCCATTTTTCATTTAAAATCACTGCAAAACCTCTGCTTTTTTCTACTCTCTGAGAGGATACCTCTTCAGTGTTCTCTAGCATTCATCTTTCTTCATACTTTTCCCCCTCTGGAGTTATCAGTATGTCTTCAGTATGGTTAAATTTCTTTTATGCCTCTGTGGTCTTCTTGTGACTCTACCTAAAACAGTATGACCATTCAGAAAGGAAGACACTTGTGTAATGTATTAGACAGATTGTTATTTCAAAAAGCAGTAACATTTCATCAGTAAAACAAATGCAAACAAATATATAAAGTGATAAAAGAGTTCATGAAGTCTGCAACAACAATAAATGATATAGTTCTATTTCCTAAACAGTAAAGAGAATTTGAATTTGAATTTGTTTTAACTGTAGTTACTAACAAATATACAACACAGGTAAATCTCCTGACCATCATGGAGGACACATTATTTCTGGAGCAGTTATTCCAGAAGCATAGGACAAAATAAAGGTAGAGGTAATACACTTCAGCTACTCTGTTTTACTAAATCTCAGTCTCACAAGCCTGGATCATTCTCAAGCTTTCCAGAAAGACTCTAAGAGAAGACTCTGCAGGATGTGTCACAGAGGTGTTTTTTTTACTGTGAGAAACTGACTGATAAGGAGTAGACAGGGATCACATTTCTGTATGTGCAACTGATAAAAGCCTCATTAATTTTGGTAATTACCCTCATATATTCACACAGCCTTGTGTCATGTCTTCCTACTGCCAGCACTTAATTCAGTTGTGCTCTCCTCACTCACTACTGTTTCTAAGCAATCTAGAAAAACTGTTTTCTGGATGTCTGGGAATTCTTTCTGCATCTGGTTCATCTCCAGCTGCCAAAGCACCATCTGTACATAGCATAGTTTTCTGTTTGGCATAACCAGCATTGTGATGGAAAAGAAAGTCCCATTACTTCTTTCAAGAGCCACTCCAGATGTTCCCAGGATTGGAATTCACCCATCCTTTGTGACAGGAAGACTCAGCAGTTTTTCCACGTCTATGGTTATACAAGGTAAAGAACTCCTCTGTCTCCTTGCATGTTTTTCTGCTTTTCTTATGTTTTCTTTGATCTTAAACTAACAAGATTTTCTTAACATTCTCCCTCAACAGCTTTTCTCTGTGCCCTTTCACTTGTTGCTTGCCGCTTCAGATGCGCAAAGAATGCTTTTCACAAAGGTGCTGCTTCAGTTCGATGACTGGAGAAGTAAACAGGTAGGTGTAGCTATGTCATTTTCTCAAGCATTATGTATGATATTAGCCTAAAAGTTGTCTGTGAATTGAAGATGAGGCTGAATGCAAAAGTTTCAGTAGGCCCATATTAAGATATGTCAGATTTAAGAAAATGTGCATAGTGTCTTCCTTGTTGTGATAAAGCTGGAATAGCACACTCAGAATACTACAGGTATCCTGAAGAGTCCTAAACATATTGGAGTAAGTGATTAGTGTACGGAAAAGATGTAATGACAGCCTACTGCTCAACTATCACCACGCTGGGTACAGCAGGAACAATATGAGTAGAACAAAACCTTCATCACATCTTCAAAACACAAACATGCTAAAATGAAATGTCTAATCCAAGCAAAAATATACAACAGAAACAGCGCTAAATACTTTCCCAATTTAACACATCACTTGTTTAAATTATTAAGCTATCCAATCACTTCAGTTTTAATTTGAAGTTAAGCTCTGCTTCCTTCAAATATGATTTCTTATACATCTCCAAATACAAGATATAAATGTGTAAACATTAACCAAAACAAATGAAATGAAACTTTATATGCAATTGGTAATTCCAATGAGTCATTGAAATTACTGTGTGAAGTACAGAAAACAATTTATATTTCTGGCAAGAAAATCTGTTGATCCAGAGGCAAATTTGAGCTACCTGTATAATGAAAAAATGTAACACCTCACACCTCATTCTCCACCTAAGTGTTCTGGCACTTGTTCACTTCTACTTTTTATTTTTAAGTCCCTTCCGCAGACACAGACACACATTGCTATCCCATTGTTTCCACAAGGCCCAGAGTCTCATATTCTACACACACACCTGGGGCTTTTCTCATACAGTCATCACTGCATATTGCTAGTCAACGCTACTGTTTCTGCAGTTAGGTTCTCATGAACCTCATGTGTCATTTTAGACTCCCAATGCTAATGATCCTTCAGTACTTGTTTCCTGAATGCTTTCACTTCTATAATTAGCATTTCCCTGAGGATTGTTCCCTTCTGGGTTCATGTTTTTTCTCTCCAAACTAATCATCTCCCTCCCTCCTATTTCACCGTAATACTGGTGACTTAAAACCTATTCATTTAAGTAAGCTTTACATTGGTTGTAGGTAGCCCTCCACCATGAGTGAGATGTAACATATGTAATACAAGCTTTCATATATTTCAGTTTCAGATCCCATCTTGTGTTAAAACCAACCTTTCTGACAGTGTTCAGAGATTAGATCTAAAGTGGAAAAACAGGAAAGTTCTCTTGCCTGTTTCCTATGAAAACAGGAGCAACCACAAAGGCTCAAGACTCAGAGGAGAGGAGGGAAGGTGTGCTTGCCATGTGATAACGTTGAAAACCTGACAAGCCTACAAACCACCCATAATTCTTCTTCATCTTTGTCATTGTGCATGAAGAAGCTCTCCCTCCAGGAGCAGCACGTAGCTGTTGCTGCATGTGATCTATTTGCACTTTGTTCCAGAAAACTAATTTTCTTTAGAACTTCAGGGCTAGAAACTTCTTTGAGGAAGTTTACTGTCTTCAGACATGATTACAGTAATTCTAATCCTCCAATAAAAATTGAATATAAAAAGGCCAGAAATAAGTTCAGAATTTGAAAATCCAGTATCACAAATAAATTTAATATATTAATGCCTCGAATAAAATTACATAAAAACCTGTGACCAATAGAGTAGTAAAATAATAAAAAATACTTTAAAACAAATAATACAGACTTTTGAGCTGGGGGAGGAAGATTACCCTTTGCCAGGTCATAAATGAATGAAACTAATTAAGTTTACATGCAATGTAGTCCTGTTGGAACAAACATCAGAGTGGCACTGCTGAGAGTAACATGCCTTAAATAATACATTTCCCTCACTCATTAATAATCCTTAGTCTTCCTAGAAAAGCTGGATTTGAGAAATAACGTATTATGATCAAACGGTATTAAATATTTTATTTTCTATAATTATTACAGTTCTCATTTTGGGGGATTCCATTTCCTTCCAGATTAAGAAACTCTACCTGAGCTCAGCTTGGAATCTTTACTAGTCAGTTCCTTGTTAGCAGATAACTCATGCCACCTGTATTAGACTAGCATAGGCAAGTTGTAACTTAGGTGCTCTGAATCACGTCTCTAGATGGAGTGATGTATCTCTATCTGGAGAGAGGGCTTGGCCTTGCTTTTCTCAACCGTACCTGAGATGACTCACATAATTGGCACTGATGCCAATATCTATTTAAGGTGTTTGTTCTGCAGTTTGAAAGATGTTACAGTATTTAAAACCAACAAACAAAAATACATAAAAACCTTAAAAGGAGACAGATTTGTAATAATGTTTATACTAAATATAATAGAGTTTGCATTTGTGAAAATCTAGAATGTGCAAAACTCTTGCCAGGATAGATCTCATATATTTTCATATTGCAATTAAAAAAAAAAGGGGGGGGGGGAAGTGGGAAAATAAGTTCTGACTTCTGCTTTACGATAAAATGCATTCTTTCCAACAAGTTCTTAATGTTGTTTTGTCAGTGCAACTTTACAGAAAGGTATGTAGAGGACAGGACTAAAGACAATTTAAAGCAGTGATATCCAAGTGTAAATTAGAATGATGTAGAAATTTCACTTTCATTTTGTAGAATGGTAAGATCATTGTCTGCATTAGTAAGAACATGATTAAACGAACCCTGAATGCAAAAGATTCCTTTCTTGTTCATTTTATGTTTAGGTTTCCTTTCCAGTCTTCCCCATTTGGTGGATTTCTTTTTCTTTCTAAGTTGAAGTGTTGTAGAATATAATACTTGTGGAATTGTGGTGCCGATAACAGATAACTGAGTTTACAGTCAAAATTTTATTTATGGCCAAACATTCCTCTAATAACCATTTTTAATGCCATGTAATTTGGAATGATGGGCTTTCAAGCAGCGTAGCCTATATGATACTGCAAAGCTCCAATAATAAATTAAAAAAAAAGTAGTGTGGCTTGAGGAGAATGAATGCCTGGAAGCATCAGCACAGATCTTAAAGTGCTTATCTGATTACAAGATTTCAAGAGAGTCACATTTTTTAACTTTCTAATGTCATGTTTGTCTTTTCTGTTTTTAGGTCCTTGGGTCAACAAATCACTTGAATTTATATCATGTGACTTCTATTTTGTTTTTACTGGTTTGCAAACTAATAAATTTCAGTATCACAAAACCGTCTTATGGTCCCATCACCTACAGAACTGTGCTCTTTATTTTTTCCTGTCACACAGTGGAGAAAAATAAAAAAGAGGGCAGGGATTTGGAGGGTACTTTCACGTCTGAAGGATAGGTATTGTAACCTGTCACATTTTGTTTCTAATTATTCTAAAGTCAAATGAATCAAAAATAATATTCCAGGTTCTCCATTTATGGTGCTCCAAAATCACTACAGTAGCATGGCAAGACTATTTACAATGTTTAGATGGTTACTTCTTTATGTTTCTAGGTTTAGGTTATTTTCAGGCAGATTTCATTAGTTTAAACTCATGAAATAAATTTCTCAAATTTAACTGTAGAATAATCAACAATAGGAATAAAAGCTGTTAATCCTTATGAAGCTATTGTCTTAAGTGAGATACTTCTTATTCAGCTTTGATTCCACTGCTATGTAGATGTGTATTAATATTTGCAAATTCAATGCTTCTCAATTTTCTTCTCTAATTCACTAATGTGAACAACAATGAAGTCCAGACTTCTCAGTTTAGCTTCATGTCTTAGTTGTTTAAGATATATTTTAATAGAAATTTAGTATGGTAGCAAACTGCGCAGAATTTCAATGCAGAATAGCCTATAATACTAAATAACAGTCCCAGCGGTCTCTGGCATATTTACATGTTTAAACTGTAAATGTACTTATTAATTTCCTTCCTTCACAAGAGTATAATACACCAGTTGAATCATTTCTTTAGCAGGGACTTTAATTAGAAAACTGACTTTTAGGGCACTTGAGCACTAGTATGTCATTTTGTCTAACAATCTCAGCAGATGAGGTAAAAGTTCTTACATGGTAAAAGTGATTTGTCATGTTATGGAAATAAACTACCACTGACCTACTGTCCATACAAGGTATCTTATTATACACCTGTCTGTACAGTTTTCTTGTAAAAAGCAGGAATACAACCTTATAATCTCACTATAATTACAAGGGTGAATACTGTTAACTACCTAAAGCAGTCAATATGGAATTACTGACTTTTCTTCTGCTATAGTCAGAGAAGTGCTGAGGCAAATGAATGTTTCTGAGTCTTAACTGAGAGGCAGAACCGTCACCACAATCAGGTGCAGCAGCTGTTGAATTCAGGGAAGAAATTGTGGTGGGATGGTGGTTGAGACCCAGGTTTAACAGATTATTGTTGATTGTTTTCCAATTTTCTGCAGATACTTCCATCGCATAGTTTCAGTGCAAAATGAAATCAAACACTGCTACTCATAGTCCTGGGGATGCTTTAAGCACCTGCTATTCCTATCTTGTTTAAAGTATTTGCGTGTTTTTGAAATGCTGAATCCTCTAGAACTGCTGAAACAGGAGAATGCCAAGGACAGTTGTTAAAGCTTAATAGTCAAGTCTCTCAGTACATGAATTTGACACAGGTCTAAAATAAGCTTTCCCTACTAATTGCATATGTATTGTATTTCCACCTGTTGTGCTTAAGTGACTGCTTTGAACCTGAAAAATCTAAAAAACTCATATATTAACTATTTAGTTCATTATTTCAAAGCTTTAAAGAAATAGGCTTACTCAAAAAACATGCAAACAATGAGAAAACTGTTAGCAGATAGATAATTGACGTAAAGAAAGGCCTTAACAGAACAGATAATGACAAGGTGAATTATTATTTTTCAGCCATGCATTGGCCAGTGCATGTGAAAGTTAGAGAGAAAAATAATTTGTAATTGCACAGAAAACTGATATTTCAGAGGGCTTTTACAGGTACAGTGTCTAAGCATGAAACTGCTAAAGGCAGATGTGTTACTGACTGACTTCCATGAAAGTGAAGGGAGCTTGCATTTCCCAAGGAGACATGGACCAACAAAAATATTAACCCTAATTTCATAAAGGGAATTCTTCCTTTGCACGGAAAACTTTGTGTGAGTTGAGTAAGACCAGCTAATTTACACCAGTGAAAAGCTTATGGGCAGTCAGACTGTTGTGAGACGCATCATTCTGCTTCTCTCAGGAAGAATTAGCTGCACTGAGAGAAAAGTTGCAGGAGATTAGAAGCAGTCAGGGCTTGGCTTTGTCCTTAACGATTTACTCTAAATCTTTATGAATCTTTGAGGGACAAGTGAAAAATTCTTTGCTTTTCATTTCTTCAGTCATTGCAGGAGTGTATAACATTACTGACCTGCAAAAAAAAAAAAAAAAAAGGAATTGATAAGGATGCTGATGCGAGATGAGGGCCATATCATAACTCTGTGTTATTTGGAGCAAACACTCCAAATCAAACACACAGTCTGGTGCTCCTGCCAAATTACTCAGCTAAGCATGAGTCAGTTAAAGAGGCTACCCAGTTTCACCAAACAGAAGGTGATCCTTGATGCCAGTGTGCAAAGCCCAGCTAAAGCACCCTTGGAAGATCCTAAGAGAATAGCAAGCTGTAGTTGCTCAACACCCTGAATTCACAGTATTTTATCTTTTCAGGTATTCATTTTGCAAATTTTATGTTATCCTCTTAGTTTTCACAGTGTCAGGTAGAACTGAAATGTTCTGAGAATAATGAGAGAAGATTATTATTACTAAGTAGTATTTTATCCTCTTGTGACAGCATGTCAGAATGACATTCATTGCACCTTTGGTGGTGAGAACATGATGGTGAAGCACAGCTGCAAGATAAGAAAGTTTTCAGAATAAACTGAGGTGTTCTTATTTAAGTTACACAGAGCACTACACAGAAGTACAGCTAGAGCTGCAGCTATCAGGCTGTCCTGCGAAAAAGCAGGCTCCTCAAAAAGTGTCAGCAAGGATGCTAAGGAAGAAAGGTTGAAAAATATAAGAAATTTTAGGACTGGAGATGGAGAAGAGATGGAATTCACTCCCAGTGCAGTGAGATTCACTGGAGTCAGTGGAGAAAGGGGTCTGTTGGTTTCACTGGACACTGAACCTGGCTTATGGGGAGCTCATATTGACAGACAGAATGACAGCCGTAGATCAGTCTGGCTCTTCTGCCTTGGTTTTACAGTTAAAAAGACAGAGTTAATAACGATGTGCTGCAAGACATTTGTTGTGACATGCTGGCTTTATGAGATTCTTAATTCTCTTAATCTTCATTGTGTCCTAGTTAAAAATGAAAGACCTCAAACACAAATTCAGCACTTCATCTATTTATTTGTACACAACAGTCCCGCATTCAGGGATTTGTGGCATTTCAGGCACCAACAAAATATGTAGATTTGAATACAGCTGCTTGATGTACCAGTCCATCTGGTATTTATATCAGCATAGCTGCCCATAAGGAGATTCTCACCCTGCATTATGGACCAGTCTCTTCATTGCACACTTTTTCCCTTGTTAGTTATTTCCTTCAGCCAGCATATATTCAAATATACATATGCACATTGCACTACTGTAACCTTCATATACAGAACAATATTTGTCAGTGGACTGGAAAATTTTCTATTGCCAATAGGAAATGTCAATGCTTATTAGGCTCATGAGTGAAATGAAATACCAGGACCTCTCAATACATAATCTTCTGGGTCTGCTTATTAACACAAACCCATTAGAAAAATGTTTCATGACAATTTGACCTTTCCCCAACAATAACTCCTTATTCATGGTCAATTATAAAAGGTTTCCTCACTTTAAAAAAATGTAAGAGGACCAACTAATTAGATACCTGAAATGAAATAAAGCTGTTGAAATAGCAGATGATTCTTTCTGGTAAGTCAAACCTATGTATTTTACTCCCTCATCTGGGAATAAATGCCTGCATGCAGCACTCTTTTTAGAAAGATTTAATATAGCAATGCACCCAGGAAATTGCCTCTTAATTCAGTGTTTATACGTCTTTGCCAACAGCAGTTTAACTTCAGATATTAAACTCTCTTCAGTACAATATTGTCCATGTAATATGAAAAAGACATCTGGAGAGTTCAGTGAACATCTCTTTCGGAGGGTCAGTGGTGGCTAAGAGTTCAAATTGAGTTTTTCATTGCTGACAGCCGTTTTTAATTCCATTCTATTGTTTAACCTTAATGTAACATGGTTACTTTTGAGGTATATTTGAATTCAGTAAGTTGCAAGTCTTGCAACAGTAACACGATACACATTAGAAAACGTGTAACCAACAGAAGGGGACAATAACCCCTGCGCTCAAGGCTGGTGCTGTGCTTCACTAAGCACTCAGAAGCCTTTTAGGGGAGCCCATTTACTTTCACATTGCAAGAGTCTAACACCACCTCTGTGGTCGGTCACTGTCTTATATATCTCAGCTGGAGAAACAGTGACTGATAAGAAATGGCAGCATGTGAACACAAGTGATACATGCACTGAGATCATCTTGGTATACTCCCAAGGTGTTTTAAGTTACTTTGCTTATAATAAGAGGATGCCAGAAGACCTTTATAATCTATGCATAGACTATCTCTCTATATGTATAGATATACACACACACACACACATATACACAGCTATTTGCCAAATGCGTAATATATATGTTTATTCTGCTTTAAACTTGCTGCAATTTCAAAGCCATTCCAGTACTTTTTTCTCCTGTAGTTACCTTTTTCTAAAATACAATATGCCTGACAAATACTATCAGTCATGACCATGTGTATGCTGTCATGCTGAGAGAAGGTTGCTCTAGAGCTGCAGGCTCATCCCATCAGTAGATCGTCCTGCATTAATACCTCAAGCACTAATGCTAAGAAATCTGTCCTGAGTTCCCTTAACTAACAAGTGACTCTCACTCCCTATCATCAGCATAACAAGTAACAGCAAGAGCTTTGTAAACAGAGAACATCGCTAGGCTTTTCTTCTCTAATCTGTCCATATCCTTGATTACACAAGAAACACGAGGACATGACAAGAGAAAAGCACCTCAAGTTCTTGAAGAAGCATTAGGGCATCAAGCTCTGGTGCAGCATTTGGTGTTTTATGCAGCATGAACAACAACACAGCAATTTGCTATTCTTTTCTGGGTGCTTTCTAGGGCTGGAGGGACTAGGACTGTAGGCCTTGTATTACACTGTCAGCACTGCAAATTACGTATTGCAACAAATAAAAGGAGAACGCACAACTGTGCTACTTTAAATGGGAATTTGCCATACACACATTGTGATCCTGTTCCAGATCAGCACAGTCTGGCCCTGCAGTAGGGGAGAATGCACCACTTGGTCTTTTTCTGCATCTCATCCCACAGATGCTTCATATTAGCAGTGTACTTCAGCATCTTCTCCAGAATCACCAGTGCTCTAGGCTCTTTATTTTGTACATAAGCATACAAAATTTAACACATTTTGTGTCATGAACAGCCACTGGGGATGTGGTAAGGGGATGGGAGGGGCTCATAATGTGGAAGGTAAGAAGTTCACTGCTGATAAATATGAATTAGAGCTCAGCCCTACATATCAAACTCAAAATAGGTGAAATATAGTCTCTTATCAAGTGGGAATTTTTATCAGCTAAATCATTCTGGTTTCCAAATATTCTGCCAGTTAAAGTGAGTCTCCTGGGGGAAGACGTTTTCATGCAAGCAACTGACTATAAAAATTTGCCTTGTCCCATATGGGAAAGAGGTACTCAATATTGACAGAGACGAGTGATCTTCAATAACTTGCCATCAGCCAGCTAGTGTTAAAGGCAAAATAGGTACCCCCTGTGGGATTCCATTGCTTTGCAGGTGTCTCCCCTAAAACCTGGTCTCTGGAGAGTCTTGGCTGCACTCAGTGCCTACTGATTTGTTCTGATGAGCCAAATCATAACAAAATGTTTGTCCATCAGCAGCAGCTGCCCAGGACAGTTTGGGAACTCTCTTTGATGACTACCCTACTTTGAGCTGCAAGATAACAGGGGAATCCTGCAAGAACATGAAACAGGAGCTAATAACCTGGTCTTCAAAAGAGAGGCAACATCTTGCAAGGCAGTTGCAATATTTTATGCATCCAGAAAGCAGTGAAGTGGAAGTTGTCCTTTCCCTGATTACCCCTGTCAGAGTAGTGCATATCGTGTTTCTAGAATGCTTTTTTATGTGTAGCTATGAGAACATGCACTGCTGCTAAGATTAAAATTTGCTCTAGCAAGAATTTACCTTATACTCCTCAGCAGCTTGGCATCTATTACTCAATACCTATCAAAAACAGGTATTAATATACAAATAAACTCATCTGAAAGAACAACATAACAGAATAACATTTGCACTAGTTACTGATGTGTGACTGCATAAATAGAAGCAGCTGTAGTAACTTCCAGCCTGCTTTACCTGAGGAGTTCTGCTTCAGAATATTGTTTCTAGAAGTTCACTTCCCCACAGAACAGACAAAAAAAGTCTAGTTCTTCCATTAGCTGGGGCAAAACACTTGTAAGGAAGAGAAAACCTTAGAACTAAGAGTAGGAGGAGCAACTCTCCAGTAACACCTTGTCAGTGGTATTCCAGAGTAAAATGCTCTGAGCTTTCTCCAGGGCCTGAACCATGCTGCCCTGCTCAGAGTTTCGAACTACCACACAATGGAAAGTGTTTCCCATTTTCAAAAAACTTCAATAGTCCTTGTTATACATCAGAGAACATCAGAGAAATCACCTTACAGTAGTGCCACAAGGGAGCTGAAGAGATTGATTTACATAACAGACTATGTAAGCAGAAAAGCAGGCATCACACATAAATTTGCTGTGTATGTTCTGAAGTCAACACAAATATACAGGCACTTCAAAAGATGCAGAATATTTGGATGGTTTTCTTCAAGTGAGATAAATATCTCACTATTGACTAAAAAGGGAAAAAGGGAACAAAAATATTGGCTTAGAGGATGCATCTCATTCTTAGATACGTTCTAGAAGAGAGTTCAATACCACCTGAAGGTGTATCCTTAAGACTCCTGAGCAGGAATTCGAAGTAGAACCAAAAAGTAAATCTAGCTCTCTCACAATCTACTCTAATAGTATAACCACTGGTCAGTCTATTATGTGTTTTACTTAATATATTACTATTGATACTATTATTTATAAAGATTTATTTTATATTTATATTTATATTATACTGTTTATTGTTTTCATATTAACTTATTTTATTAGCATGTGTTTTATTTCTTTATACTTCTGTCACTGAATCACCATATATATATACACACACTATAACACACATAATGAAACAAACAATAAAGAGGATAAAAATATATATAACATCTCTTAACATAGGCTTATGCAAAGTGGAAACTAGATGGGAGAAAATTCTTTTCAAGCATTTAATTCTAGTAAAACCACATACCAAGCCTTAGAAGGATTCCTTGATGTTTCAAGAAGTGTGGTCAGCTTAGCAGAATGGGGCTATATAGAAAATAATCCACATTAGACCAAGGTATTGTACCTTCAGGGAGAAAGGAAAGAGTTTGTGTGTGCTGTTAAATTGACACAGTTCTGCTCTCTTCAGTTTGCATCTGAAGAGACTGCACTGTTTTTCATAACAGAGATTACTGTTTATGACTGCTGGCAAGTAATAGCTTCAACCTCTTGCAGAAGGGAACAAAATGACTCCAGCATACAAGTGATCTGAGCAGACAGCTCAAAGATACGATCTACTCTTTCAGACAATATAAACTGACAGTGTGAGTAGGTACCTTCAAAACAAGAATGTGCTTTGGAGAGGTTCAGGAAATACTTACCAAGTGTGATTATTATTATTTAAACAGAGCACCCACAGAAATCTCATTACTCAATCCACCTCATGTGGATGAGTTGTTTTATTCCAGTAATCTTTCCTTGGTGATGGAAATACCATTTTCATGTTTAGGTAGTGTTAATACTTGTTTTTTTAAAATGCTTCAGTAGAATACAATAAACATGTTGTTTCCATGCTTGATGTTTGTTATGCTTGCTTTTCAAGTAGGTATTTCTTTTCCCCATTTTTCTGCAGCAGTTAAGATCATGGATGAACCAGAATCATCAGGTGATGACATTTTAGTGCCAGCCAGCACTTACGAAACTTTGCCTTTCCTTATTGGTTCAAGTGATCCCTCTACCACGCAGCCTGAAGACGTTATTACAGCTGTGCTACCATCAGATCAAACAGCACTGCTGCCTTCAGCAACCAGCCCATCCTACAGCCTCTCAGAGATCATCGAACAGTCCCTTGAGGTACCGGACTCCACAGTGCCCGGGACAGGAGTGCAGGATATTGCTGCAGAGTTAGATCACATTGGTGTGATGAGCACAGCCACACTGGATGAAGTGGAGCATGGCAGCGGTTATATCCCAGTGCTGACAACTGAGCCTGCAGAAGCCACCCCAGCTCCTACGCTGAAATATGTAACTACCAGCTCCATGACAACCGCAGCCAAAGGCAAAGAGCTAGTGGTTTTCTTCAGCCTGAGGGTAACCAACATGCACTTTTCTGATGACCTCTTCGATAGGAGCTCGACAGAATACAAAGCGCTCGAACAACAGTTCATGCAATTGGTGGGTGAAAATCAACTTGAACAACATATTGCAATAGTCAGGCACAGTTTAAAGAAATATACTGAAGAGCAGAGTACTTTGATAATACCAGACCCTGCTACAGTTCAGCCTGATAAAGCTGTATTTTGAAAGGCTCCATAAGCCTAGGATGACCTCAGGGTATGAAGAAAGTTCATGAAGTCAGTCATGAAATTTTCTACTTGTTCAAGAGACTCCAGATATATGGGTGGCATGTAATTTATTTGTCTTTTCCTTAGCTTCACATTAACAGTATAGCCTTGCTGATTACATCTAAGGGTTGTGTCTACATGCTGCGTTTAAAAACAGGCCTTTTAAAACATATCATAGCTTAGCAGGGGGAATGGGATTAGACCTGGATTTTCTCTATGGGTACAATAGGGCAGCAGGTCAGCTCAGTAATGCACCTACTATGTTATACACTAACCTGCCTGGATTGAATGTTTGAAAATAATTAAAGTTGGCTTTTGAGTGAGGTGATTTTTTTCTCTTCCAGATGAATAAACTCCCTAGATGCTATGCATTTTATTACAGGGAAAATTGCTGTCCATCCACCCCAATATATTATTGAAAAAGACACAAAAGTCAGAAGACAGTGCTAAAAGAAAAGTGGATTTGGTGGTACAGTTTAACAATTGCATTAAATTCAGACAAATAAACGCATGATGTGTTCACTCAATAATGAAAAGTTACTATAAGATAAATAACTAGTGGGTAGACATTAACATGAAGTTAAAATAAAAGGCGATTTTCTGTTTTGCAGCTACTTCCATACCTTCAGTCCAACCTGACAGGTTTTAAGCAACTGGAAATACTTAACTTCAGGAATGGAAGTGTGATTGTGAATAGCAAAATGAAATTTGCCAGGACAGTGCCATACAATATCACAGAAGCAGTACATTGCGTTTTGGAAGATTTCTGTGATGCTGCAGCCCAGCGCCTCAATTTGGAGATTGACAGCTATTCCCTGGATATTGAGCCAGGTAAGACTGTGGTAATAATGTATGTGCAAAATCGAAACCAAGCAGATAATCTTTTTCAGATTGTTACAGCTTCAGAAGCATCACTGTTTTGGAAATAACAGTATTAACAACAGCATCCCAGTGATCAGGAGTAATAAGAAAAAAAAAACAAATTATCTACAGGCATATTTTCATACTATAATGAAATGCCTAGGTGGAGGTGTTGGTCTGTCCATATACATCAACTGCTTTTCAGAGCCAAACATAGTGAACTAAAAATTCTCTAGAATAAGAGCTGGGCAAAGGCAGGTATGAAGAACAGTCATGTGCAGCTTACAGAAGTGACTTATGGAAATGTTGCACTTGAGTATTTAAACATAATTTCTGATGATTTTTGCAATGTTGTAAGCAAACCATACTTTAGAGAGTCATTAAATCTGCTTTTGAAGACTACAAGACAGAAGGAGATAATTTCTAGGAGTAACTGGATTGTACAAATGGTCACTGTCCAGAGCATGACTATTATTTGTAGCACTCCATAGAGTTGTAATTCCTGGTTTAGTACCTTTCAAATAAGTCTGTAGTCTTTCTTAGACACTAGGAAGCCTGAAACACATCTGGACACTTGTAATGTCAGAAACTTAGAGTTTCACAAACTATATTGTTTTATAAATTTGAAGTCTGGATCTATTTTCAGAGTCTGGTAATAATTTCAAGGGCTGAATTTAATTTTATGGGCATAGAGAAGAACTATACCAATACCTTAGCATGCGGATGCCTCTAGCAGTTTTGGTTAATCTGTCTTTTTATGTACAGATCTCTGACTACTCCAGAGCAAAAATCCATTTACAGTTCATGTGGGCAGTTTCTAATTATTTTCATTTTACCTATCTCCTTGTGGCCACAAAGAGCATAGGTAGTGTGTGGTAAAGAAAGTTAACAAGGCACAGTATTCAAACTTTCTAATATGCCCATGATAAATGGATGTTTTGCTGAATAAAGTATTAAATGAGTTCACTAGAAAGAGTGAACTTCGGGGTTCCACGTGTTCTCTGCTTTGGTAGTGAATATTCAATAAATAAATGTTAGAATTAGAAAGCTTCTAAAATGCAAACACAGAAAAAAAATTCTGTCACCTTCATCCACATCAACTGCTTTACTGAAACGATATTTCAACATTAAATCCAGAATATGATCTCACACTGAGTTTGCTGGGAGTACTGTTATTTCAAGGTTTACGAGCAGTAGTAAAATATCAAAATAGAATAAATTAGGTTTAGAAAGCCAGTATATTCCCATACAGGTGTTTCAAAGACCTACTGCCTTTTACTTTAGAAAACAAAGAAATAAACCAAAGAACAAACAAACAAACCAACCCCAACCTGCTGAGTAAATTAAGGTAATTTAAGCAAATTACTAGTTCTTGTGAAAGTAAGAGCCATCTAGTGGTAATAACGTTATACTAAATGGAAACACTGATGGGAACTGACAGTTCAAAACATGTATCAAGACTCTGCATCTGCAAAGGGCTGACAGCACTGGTCATAAGTAATGCCATAAAGAATAATATAGCGGGCTTTTAAAAATACCTGCATGCACTATTTTTGTAATCTAAACAAAGTGAAAACACAGAAGAGATGACAAGGTATGCCAGGTAAGTAGCCCAATGCTTTGTTAAGGAAAACAAAACATTAGCATGAAAAAATGACCCTGTAACCCAGTGCAATAATCACACCAAGGTCTACTTGTCAAATGGAAATGAACTGAGACCTTTCAGCTTCTGAAAACTGCAGGACTGTAGCATGCAACCCTGGGTAATGCTTTGACAGAGCCCATGTCTCCGTATTAGCAGTATCAACCTTTATTTCCAATACTATAAAGGTAAACTGACCATTGACACTGGGGAGAGACTTACAAGAAACCTGCAATTAATACAGCTGTCACTGTTTTAATTAAGTCCTTAATCATACAAACTCTTTTATTAACCATTTTTCCTTTGTAAGAGTTCTGGTTTTGGTTGAAGTGTAATTCTGTGTGGGGTAAGAAAAGCATCTGTAAGAGTTAATATCCCCTTTTCTGTTTCATTAGAAACTAAATTATGTAATATCCAAAATCCAGTACAAAACCAAAACAAAATACTTGAAATTTTTCTTCCCCCCTAATATAAACAAGGGAATAAATTTATTTTGTAAGTTATTGTGTTACTTTGATGCCCATTTGTTAGAGTTCACATGTACATACTTTTACAGCATGCACTTTCTCTAGACAGTGTTTCTAGGTTGCAGTCCTCACAGTATTGTGCAATATTAAATAATCAAGTTCCTTTCCCTTGTCATGTCCTAAATTATGTGTTTAAGATCATAAGAGCTGAAAGTATTTCTAACACATAGGCAAAGCTGTAGCATAGTATCCATGAGCATAAAACTAGCACTTACAGTAAACTAATAATAAAAATATCTTAATGTGAAAATTCTTGTCAGTGAGATGAAAATAAAATCACAGCTTAATATTGATGGAGTAAACAAATTGTAAGTAAACATAAGCTTGGATGCCCGCTGTGTCACCTACAGAAAGAACAGTGTGTGTCCTTTTATGCTAGGCTACATTCGATTACCATGCACAAGTAGGAGGCCAGTAAACGTGAATGAATAGTCTTCTCTAGCTGCCTCAAAGCCTGCCAAGTTTCTTTGGGGTAATGCATTAACGATTCATCCACCCGTTACAGCTGATCAGGCAGACCCGTGCAAATTCATGGCATGTGACAAGTTTTCCGAATGCATAATGAATGAGTGGACCAAAGAGGCCGACTGCCTCTGTAAACCTGGTTACGCAAGTCAAGACGGATTACCCTGCCGGAGCCTGTGTGAGCTAGAACCGCAACTTTGCATCAACGGGGGGAAATGTGAGTTAGTTCCGGGAAGAGGAGCTGTCTGCAGGTAAATAAATAGTACTTAACTTGAATTCTGTTAACAGACCTGGTATATCTGTTGCATGAACAAGTAGGGCTGAATATACACTTTTCAACAGCAAATCAAAATAAGCCAAGGGTAATAAGCCAAGATCTCAACATTCAGACACTTTGAGCTACATTGCACTTCCCTTCTTCAGTATAAATAGCCCAGCTCTGGACAAATCCTTTTATTCCTATTAGTATGCACAGCACATCACAATCTAGGTTTTTTTTAGAGATGTTTTAGAAATTCATTAGGAATTCAGCAACACTGGCAGAGATGACACATACGAAGCCGTGCATTCTTTTCTGATTTTGAAATACGTCTTGGAAAAATGAAATAACACATTCACATTGCTATTGATTACACAGCAGTATTTCAAGAAACTACATTTTTCTAAGACATATTAAAAAGGAAATCAATATTCTTACAAGCACACCTATAAACCCTGTTCTGATTTCAGACCATCCAATAAAGCATGTGAAGGCTGAGGCAGCTTTCAGGGCTTTCTGGGAAAGACTTGAAGATTAGCAGCTCCTCCTAACTGCAAATATACCCTAGGATTACACGTTCCATAATGATTTTTACATGAAATGATGTTAAGCCAATATTGAGAGCTACCACAGTACTTGAAAATATTAATTCTCTTTTCAAAGCATCAGGTTTCATCTCATTGTAAAGATAGGACTCCCCAGAGCAAGCTGTGAAACTGTTTAACTCGACTACACAGTGGTAGACAAGTACTGTATGACACATGTATAAGCAAGAGAGAAGTTAAAATTCTTGCACTTGTTTATTCTCTCCTAATATTGGCACTACCAGGTTAATGATACATGTTTAAGTAAGTGTGCTTGGGGTTAACATCAAAACTACTGAGCAAATTATTCATATATTTTCACTGCAGCAACATAACTGCCACAATTCATTTTATGCAGTGGGCATCACAGAAACTATAATAGATTACACTGAACTCACCACAGTTATTGCTAAATTCCTGACTTGCAGAGTCACATTAATGCAGCTGCAGTATTTGGTATTAGAATCAGCCTTTGAGCTAACAAGGTCCTATGCAAAACTTTACTGAAGTAGCAAGGTCTATAAAGCCTACTCCTCCAAGACCCATACACTAAGGAAAGTAATACCCTTCCCTTTCAGAAAAACCCTGACTTGATGTACAGTAATAACCAAACCCTCATTTAGAAGGATAAAAGTATTAAATATATATATATAATATATTAAATATAATAAATAAAACATTTTGTGAATTAGAGCAAGTTACAACTTCCCACCAGTCACAGACTGACAGCTTGTGCAAATTTGTACAGTCTGCAAAGAGAAAATTACAGCCTATTATTTGCTTTAGTCAAGCACTTGTACTTCTTTTGAATTTATTCAGAACCACAGTAGTTTTTCCACTAACTGGAAGCCCTGTGCTCTCATGTAAAATACGGGTATCTTCTCCTTTACTTTAAAGGGACTTATTTGTAGTAGAACTCTTATTTCAGATTAAGATCACCAATAAACAGAATATAAGCCTCAAAAATGTGTTTAGACATTCCCCCAAAACACACTTAACTTCTACAGTTCTAAACTGCAAATGTTATTTCAACTTCACCTGTGGGGATAGACATTTGTCAGAGATGTTTCAAATGCAGAATTTCCTTAAAAATTGTAGGCTGCCAAAGAGTGTATCAGTGTCTTTTTATTTAGCACTCACTCTCATGGATCTAAGAATATTATCTTTCCTTTGTTAACACATTATTTGATACAGAAACATAATCATATTGGGAATACTGTGATTATATTTAATTGCAGATTTTCCTTTGTTTTCATTTGAGGTACTCTGTATGTTATGCCTTCAAGTTCTGCACATTTTTCTCTTCCTCTCCCTATTTTAGATGCCCTGTACGTAGACATGAGCTTTACCAAGGACAGCGCTGTGCAAAATTTGCTCCAGAACCCACACAACCCTTCATTTTTAAACCTCTCCTTGGCTTACTAAGCCTCGTTTTTCTTGTCATCATTTTAATTATTAAGTTAAGAAGAAAAAGCAAACGAAACTCTAATTTGCAGTAAGATGCTCACAATCTTTTTCTTCACATTTCAAAATATTCATTTTTTTTTTTCTTTTGCAATTTAAACTCTTGCCTAAACAAAACTGTTCTGCATTGTAGAAGTCCTACTCTCAACAGCTGCAGTTCAGAAAATGCTATAAGGATTAATCCTGCTTTTGAGCACAATGAACCCATAACTACCTTTTGTCACACGGCTTGCAGTGTAAGTGCTTGTCTCAGTTCCTCAGAGATTATTGATCATGAAGCATTACACGAACTCGAAAACACAATACAGCCTGGAGGTAAAATGCATGAAAGTGCTTTTTTCACCCCGCAGCAAACAGCCCCACCTCAAATAACAGGTCCATTTTCATGTATTAACTCTACAACTGACTCAAATCCAATTCTAATCTCTTGCTTGGTAATTTCAGGACTAAAAATACTTATTAATTTACTTGCTTTCCACTTTTACTGCTGCATAGGTTTTGTAACAGGACTGTAGAACTGCTTTCCTTACAGCTCTCTTGCATGGCTTTGGTGGCCCAGCTTATTGGAGTGCTGTTTGAGATTTAGTGAAATAATTAATCTCGTGTTTCTGTTTGTTTTGTTTTGTTTTGTTTTAAACTGCTGTAGGTCACCAGATGAGGTTACAAAGCCAAGACTGACAAGTTAGTCTCTGAAATTCTTCATTTCCAGCATCAGCCAGATAAAACCAAGGTTTGTGACCATTTTCAAGAGCTTTCAAAATCTGTTCAGCTTCCTGTTTATCAATGTTACCAGGAAGCCTCATTATACTAATTCCATACAGCGGTTTTGGATGCTTGATATGACCACAACAATCCCTTCTTATGTGCTTTTATGCAACAAAGTTCCTTTCCATAAACCCACTTGATGATGTGGCATTCACTGATCCACATAAAGGAAGAATGAGTATCTAAAATAACAAACCAAGACAAAATGCAATTCAAAGGGGAGGTTTCAAATAGCAATAACTTATCATCTGAAGGTAACTTTTGCCTGTTTAAGCTACACAGAGTTTTAAAAAGAGGGAATTCTAATTTGAGCATAATACTGCTCATATCTCAAACATTCATTTTGCAGCATGAAACCTCTTGTATCTTTGAGGTCAGGGAGGAGAGATGGGGGAAGCTGGGTCAAGAAATTCTCTAAAACTTGCCAGCCTGTCTCTTAAACCTGCTGTATCTGAGTATGCTCTCTCAAAGACAGAAAGGTTTGACTTCACCATTTTCATTTATGAATCACAGCCCAGTTACAGCAAAACGGTTTCACGACAGCTGTTAGTACCCCTCATTACTGAGAGGAGTATCAGTACAGGATTACGCTGGCACTAGCTATAGGCTATGGGAGACCCCATACACAGGTAATGTGAACTCTTGGCTTGAGCCAGTTGATATGGAAATGAAGGAACAAGTAGTGATACCATGTGGAAAGATTCAGTTTCACTGATCTTCATCATACCCAGGTCTGGTCTCTCAGGTTCTTCAGGTCACGGTTACAGACTGAGCTGATGAGGTGGGGACTGGAACACAGAGATAGAGATGGACAAGTCAGCAGGAAGCAGCAGTTTGGCTAATGAATTGACTTCACTGCTGACAAAAAAAGCACGGACGATTGCAATTTGTACTTTATATTCCTCTTAAAAGAAATGTGACTGTGGGTAATTGTAAAGCAACTTTCACACCAGCTGAACTACTTAAAATTACTACTTACAAAAGCATTAAATATTTTATGAAAGGAATAAAATGGCTCATCTGTGGGAGAAAACCAGGCCTGTGTCATCTAGACTCTATTTGAAATGTCTGAAGTATATTGACAAAGCTCTTTGCAAGATCTAGTAAGGAAATTAATGAGAAGTGAGGCAATCACAAAATAGAAATGGGTATTTTAAAAAATTGGTGGTTTTGGCCATTTTTCATCGTTACTTAAGTTAAAAACAGGTGTTTACATCAGAGTCCTTATGTTGAACATAATTCTGATGATGTGAAAAAATTCAGTAGAGGAAGAAAAACATATGTGCAACACAGCTTTCATTAACTGAAACAAAGAGCACCACTGCCATATCACAATAGAGACAACTCCTTAAAACCAGAACAGAGCTCTTGAATTCAGTTTTCAGGAGGATGTGGATATCTACAACTCTTAAGCTAAACTGAAAATTCCAGTCTTTAATTCTGGTTTGCAATGTGTACTGACAGCAGTGACAGCTTTTTAGGACATATCTACGATAAATGCAGCTCTGTATTTATAAAGGCATATGGGAAAATAAGCATAACATTCCAGCAGAAGCCAAAATAACCTTCAGTTTCTTCCTAAGCATGAAAAATGTTTCCAGTTTAATTACAGGGTCACTACGTGGAAAACTACTGAAAAACTTGGTTATTGGAGGGAGTTTATTTGGTTGGATTTTTACCTAATTGGTCATCCAGGGACTAACAGGCATGTTTCATGTCCAGGTGAAGAACTTGCTCTTCCTTTTCTCTAAGATCAGTAGAAAACACAAGTTAAACAGCTGAAAACCACAGCTGTCTCTACACATGGAGAGGTGTCTGGGAATTTGGTGCATTTAATTCCACCAACAGAATAATATGAGGTATAAAACGACCGCGAGTCATCTTTCTTTGGGCCAAAGAAGAACATGACAATGAGCTACTCAAGTGAATCAGTTCACTGAGACTGAGACATAAGGCCAAGAAGTCCACATCCAGTTGGCCTGATATATTTGGAAGTCAAAGATGCTAAAGCTCTCAAAAATCCTGCCGACCTGACTTTCTGCTGACTACCTCACCTCACATGTGCTCTCTACTTCTTTGAAGTGAAAGCCAAAGACACAACCTCATTCAAAATACAGCTTTTCTCTTGCAGTATCCGATGTCCCTGTTAGTGACTGTGCTGGACCTTCTCTGTTCAGTGACAAAGGTGCTGAAAAATAGAGCACCTTGCTTTACAGCTGTAAGGGTCTTAGGTCCAACTCTCTGTAAAGTCTATTACTGTTCAGTTGGTCTAACAGATGCTTTTGTATAAACATTTACTTGTGCTTGTACACAGCACGGGCAAGTAGGCTTCCTTCTCACGGCATTATCTGGCAAAATTCAGTAACAGATCTACCACTTGAAAGGAAAAAGCACCTCATCTAAAGAGTTTTCACAAACTTTTCTAGGCTTGTGACAGAACTGTGCTCCAACAGATACCACAGAAAAATCAGGTTTAACAACCTTAGATAAAATCTCAGAGGACCAAGAAGTATTTGACATGATATAGCCCAGCAGCTTTGGAAATAAAGCACCGGCAGAATAGTTTGTTTCATAATGCTGAATCTAATTGGCATGGACAAAGACCACTTCATTGATTTAATTCAGATGAAGTTTAAAAGTCATTATAGATTCTGCCCAAGAAATACATAAAATACCTCATTCTTTGCTTATCAAAACCAGTAACTGACACATAGCACGGTCCTCTGGAAAACTGACAGCCACCAAGAAAGATGACTGAAATGACATTTGAGGTGAAGCCAATGACTGCCATTTGTTTCACCCTCATGTCAGTCACTCGGATCATCGAACAAATTGGAATTTTGGATTACAGTAATACCACAACACAAGTTAGCCTGTTAGATCTCCCCCACCAGTATCGGAGACCTAGTGTTTCATTACCAGAATACACGGTAAAGATGACCTCAAGTGCAGTACAGAGCTGGAAGTGCTAAGCTCTTTGTTTGAGAACACCAGGTGTTAGGTTCTACCAGTTTCCAGTCTGCATGGCACAGTTGCCACCTTGACATTTAAAAAGACACACAGAAACCAAAAATCCTAAAGCTTATTTTCCCCCAGGTCTGCTGTAACTGTGACTCTTGCAGGTACTTCAGATAGAGCTTCCTTTGCAGCACGCTGCATTCTCGTTACTTTACAGTCAAAAATATGTTCTTCAGATTCAGGTATCAGTGGCACTTGTTTGTTTTTTCATAAAAAAACACAGCATGGTTCCATCAGGGAGGAAAACCAGTAATTTTATTCTGAGCTCAGTGGTACGTAGTGGTATGTTTTAGTATGTAAAAAGTAACTTCAGGATTAATTCAATTCTCCTGACCACGAACTAGAGATTATCTCAACTGACTTTAGTGAGACCCTGCCTACTACTTGCAAATAAATAATACATCTTCAAATCAAAAAATGCTTTTCAAATGTCTTATAAGAGTTTCTCTTACAGGTATTAAAGAAAAGAAGGTCTGCATGATTCAAGCCTGGACTTCAGGTTGACTATGCATATGAAAATAATTCAAGGATTCCTAAAGACGCAACATTTTAGCTCTAAAATCAGTACACATTTTTTAAAAAGTTTTATTAAAGATGACCCAATTGACCAGCTATTTGATCACGTCTCAGCTTTGCCTAGTCAGAAGTCACCAGTGTTAAGACACCAACATTCAGCCTCCACTGCTTGCACATCTTATTGGTGTTTTTATGTAAGAGCCAAGTGCTAGAAACAGGTTTTGCAGAGAAGTTGTTTCTTTCAGTACTGTATGTCACAACCATTCTGGCAAAACTGGATGAAACTTTACATGTCTATGCCCTTTTCTTATCCTCCCTTACATACACCAACGTAAAAGGCAAACACAGAACCAAGAGCTGGGTGAACCAAACACCAACCCAAGGCCACATGAAAAGTGCTTGGGAACTACTTCACTCTGTCTCTCTACAGCACTCACACCGCAAATCACACAGAAGTTGGGATTAATTTTTTAATGGCTTCTAGGAACATCAGGTTCCTGTTTTTCTGTAAAAACGAATTATTTATCCATACATAGATACATACACACTTCACTGTTTAATTTCTGGTGACAGTTAAACTGCCAGCTTATCCTAATACGTCAAACTTTTTGCTGAGGCATGACACCAGCAGTTTCACCTTTTCAGAACATGAGATTCCTATTCAAAAGTACCCTCCCAGGAGCACGTAGGTTACAGAACCGTACATGAGCATGCATGCTTTGAACTTGGTATACATAGGAATGATTTTGAAAGGTTACTCTTAGTTTTTTTAGAAGGAATCTAAGCAGACAATGTGTGGCCATTAAGTATTTTATAGGCTTAGTAATTTATGCTCTATGGATGCGCAATCCTGATTCACGTACAAGTATTATTTTACCTAGAATATCTTTTTCTTGAGTATATCTGTATTTATGTCATACCAGTGTTGTACAATACCCAGCCAATACTTGCTGCTTGGTGCATACCAGAAGTTGTACTTACAGCTCAAACTGAGCTTCTACAAAGTTCATGATTAAGCTGAATGCTAGCTCCTCATTCAGATGGGAAACTTTCATGCATCCAGAACAGCAGCTGATTTTAGTGACAATTCTTTCTGCTTCATACCACACAGATACCACAGCCGAGACTGATCTTTGGTTTACCGTATTATCTATGCTCAAAAGAACTGTGCGATTCCAAACAATTAACTGCAAAGATCTGCCTGCAAAACCACCACAGCTGGTGACTGTGTATAAATGAAGGCAATGCATCAAGAATACAAGGTTGAGTTTTTGAAACCCAAGATGTGGTTTTACACAGTTATGCTAGAATAAAATTCTACAAATACTTCTGGCAGCGCACTGGATGTCATCCCTGCCAACAAACACTAGCTTTTCACTCTTGCTCACCTAAGTTAAGAATGCATTAAGAATGCTGAAAGCATTCGATTTTTTTTCACCACAAATGTATTTTTGTATGTGTTTAGTGTATTTCAATTTGTACTAGTTATCACCAGTCAGATTAAAAAATTAGTCATTTTAAAAGGTGTATTTTAATAATGATTATTCATGACCGTATTTATCACTCTCAACTATTAATTACCAAATATATTTGCTGGATGTATGCCTTTTGTATTTCAATAAAATATAATAAAACTATTTACTTGAACATTTCACAGGGAATTGAACTGGTATCTAATCTCACACTGAAACACATCACATTACCTTAAAACTACATGTATGTAAAGCTACAGCTGAAAGCTGTAGAGAAAGGGAAACAAAATTATATCTTCCCAGGTATCAAAGTCTGAATAAAAGATAAAGCTCTTCCTGCCACACACAATCTCAACGTATAAGTGGTTTCACGCAGCATGGCAAGTGATAAATACATTGGAAGTGATAGCAACAAAGGTTACAAAAACAGTAATGAAAGCTAGAAGACACTTGTTTCAACAAATACTGAGAAATGAGGGAGCAAAACCATAGTTTTTTTAATACCAGAGTGTTATTTTAGAGGAACACTTACCTTCGAAGGTACACACAAAATCTCTACTGCAGTAGCTTTAAGTACCGCAAATTTCCGATAGAAAGGCAGCATGCAGCTCCAGCCCAGAAATCCTATTATCCTATTCGTAAATTAATTTACCATTAACTTATTAGGCTTTAAATCTTTAAAGACAAAACGGCAAGAGAGATACAACTGATATTTCAACATGGAATGAATTTATTTATTTTATTTTTTTTTTAATTTTCAGTACAGGATTAGGAGGTCATTTAAATACTTTAAATAAAGATTTTGGAGAAAACCCCGAAGAATTCAACTAGGTGAAGAAAAACAATCTCATCAGTGGATGAAAGACAAGTATTTAATGACCTGGTGACCTTGAAGACACATTCTCTAGGAAATTCCTATTCCTGAGTCACCTAATCAGGGAGGAGTCTCACATGCTAACTTTCTACCTTTCCTGTGTTTTGGGGAGTGTTTCATGCAGAAGATCTCAGCTATGGTGGGCAACTTCACTGAGGCAGGATGAATTATTATTTTTCCTTTTAATCAAACACACACAGAACCAAGCCAACATGTTTACCTCATCCCTGCACTTTAAAATGACAAATTAAATGTTTTGGTACAACCACAGATCAGAAGGGCATTAGGAACACTATAATTCTACAGATCAGCCCTCTCCCCACACCTTTTATTTCCTCTCCAAATCAACCAGCAGCATAATTATCTGACACTGTAGACAGGACTATAGAAACTACCTGTAAGCAGCTCAATATTGCCTGATGTGTAAAAAAAAAAAAAAACAATAAAAATCTGAAATGAATTGAAAATTAATTCTGCTGCACAAAAAGATCAGTAAAACTTGAGGCAGATCCTGCTTTTAGTGCAGAGAAAAAAAAGAAATAAAACAAAACCCAACAAATAAACTGGACTACCCTGATTTTTGGAATGCATCTTCTGCCTGTCTAAGGCATACTGCAGGAGCAATGCAGAGAGGTGGGAACATCTCATCTGGGAACATCTCATTTGAGGTCACCCAGCCACCAGTTCCTCTTCCACTATTTCAAAGTCAATTTAATTTCCCTGATAGCTGATATTTGTTTGCCGTTTAGTTAACAGAATTTCTTGCATACCCCATTCTGAAAAACAGATTTTCTTTCTGATGCCAGTCAAGGAAATCCTGGCATAATCAAAGGAACAGACTGGGAAAAATCAGTTAACAGTCTTATTTATTTGAAGTTCCCCACGAGTGTGTTTACACATATATATACACTAAAATATTTAAGCATATATATGTGCATGTACATACACACATACTTACCATGTTCAGTCTCATATGATCTGTTTCATATATATATAAACTGAGACTGAATATGTTAAGTCAAGAAGCTAAATCCAGATAGAAATAATTACAGGGCAGGGCACCTCCACCCTATCAGTTCAGTGATTTTTCTTCCTTGTACCTCATTAACAATCATAGCTTCTTGCAGTGCCAAGTTTCTGGATACTGGCAGTCCTGAAACCAAGTTCCAATTCAGTAACACATTAAAGCAGTAATCTTAATTTCATAAGCAGCACCTTTAGACTCATGCAACATTGTACAGGTTTGTACACAACTTGCTAGCCAGCAGTCTGATGCGCTTCTCCTTTCATCTTCCAGGCAAAATCACTGCTTCAGTTAAGAATTTGGGTAAAACGAAAACATTTTCTTGTTTGAAACCACATGACTGATGAGTGAAGCGGGTAGGTAGGGGAAGCTGAGATTCCCTGACATGGTGGACCCATAAACATTGCTCAAGTATCTCCACACGTATGACAGTAAGGGGTGCATTTATAACAGAAAGCAGACTGTGGCATGCAACCACGATCTGAGTTTGGAAAAGATATATGCATTGGGAGCCTTCTCTGTGCTTCAGAGAAATTTATTAATTTAGTTTTTAAATGCATAAATATACTTAAGTTTCCAAGAGGTTTCAAACTGAACAAACAGCGAGGAAATTATTCTACAGTGCAAGCAAACTTTGTCAATTCATAGAAAAACAGCTCATTTTGACATCAGGTTGAATAGTAATTGGACATCAAGCTACTTATGTTTTGAGTTCCTATCAGAGAGATAATAAATAATCAAGTTTAATTTGTTGAAATAATGGCCAGCATGGTGACATAATGTTTGCATAAGTGAACAAGATGCATTTTAAAACTGTATGAAATTAATAATTCCCACCCAAAAAACCTCCCATAACAAACTGCTTAATAAGGGAACTGTTGCAAGCTATGAAACCTGACAAAGGAGATTAAGATAAAGCTCAGTGTCTGAATCAATACAATATTGCAGTATACTAAAAATTGTAGCTATTTCATCAGCACATAGTATTAAGATGATGCATTATGTTATTGGAACAAAGTTTTATACAACCTATAGAAGATACAGACCTTGAGCATCTCATTACAACTAAAATAAACAGGATCTCTGAGGCTCAGGCCTCTTTATTCAGGTAAGTTATACTGCCACCAAAAAAGCTGAACATATTTCCCTTATGTTATCCTGAATCTTATATGCCTTCAGATACAAGTCTTGGACAGTTTTGCATAATATATTGAAATTACACTACCTGGATAAACAAACCGTCCAAGAATTCCTAATCAAAATTTGGTCAGGAAAAGAAAAGTACAAGGAAATTTGTACTGAAACAGAAAAAAAGAAAAAGAAACTAAGAGAGAAGTGGTATAAACCCTAATGAGCAGTACATTCTTTGAGTACCTCCAATATTACACAATATTGACATATATGAATGCTCTTCTCAGAATGTACAGAAACCCATTTCTCTTAAACCAAGACAGAGAACACATTAAATAGGAATTTATGGGTCTCAAATTTAGGAGGATTTCCTGTCATTTTCTGGAAAAAGTCAGTAAAACAGACACTAACCAGTTTTCAAATCAGGACATAAAATGTCTCAGACTATATAAAAGTATACTCCAACTTCTCCAGAACAGAAGTCAAAGCTAAGGCCTCACGATTCCAGTTATTAGAAACAGCATATCCTCTTTACTAGGCCACCACTTGAAGCTGATGACTCAGTGTTTTAAAGAGGGATTTTACAAAAAGGTGGTAGCAATATGTACCCAAGTGTTAAGAGTTATAACAGAAACTGTTAAAGAAAATGCAACATATAACAAACCACAACAAGCTACACTGACTGAAGTTTCTTCAAGGTCCTCAAACGTAGTAAAAGTCACTACAGAAATTAAAACGTCATAAAGTACAAATTAACAAACCTCATGATTAATAAAATCTGTTCACTTTATATTAAACATCTCTAATATGATTATAGAATGTGTTTATGTCCTCTGTCGTGCAGAGGAACTCTTCCCTTTGAATCACAGGCAAGGGTTCTCCTCTCAAACGCTACTGGGCAAAATGATCATTTATTTCAACAGGTTCTGCAGCATAGCTGTAGCATATGTAGGACGAGCTTGTCGGCTTTCAATGGCATTCTGAAGATACTGGATACCTCCACAGCGCTCCCAAATCTCTTCAAATTGTCTCGGCAAAATTTCAGCACCTCGCTTTCGAGTTAAGCCAGTCTCTTCAAGATTAAGCTCACACATATCCATATCATCCTTACCTGAAATGATGAAGGGAAAAGAAAAAGGTTTTACATCATTCTAACAACCCATTAACAAAGACTGATTAGATCTTTCTTAATTAGATTTCCTCTCTCAAGTTCTGCATTGTTAACAGACTGCAGAGCTTATGAGGAAATCAGTTCGCAGAGAGAGATTTTCTTGGTTTCATTTTGTTGTGACACACAGAGCAGAAAAGCACATCAGAAAAAAACTAGTATCATATGCTGCAACTGACAAAATTGTGCTTAAAAAGCGAGCAAAAAGGAACAAAGGAAAGAAGCAGAGATCAGCATGTTTATATATATTCTCCCGAAATCCACTGCAGGATGACAACTGCATTTGTTTCACACTTTTGAGTTTTACACAGTTTTAAAGTAAATTTCTGTTCTTATTTTGTTTAAAAGAGGCAAAGGAACTAAAAACTTGAGACTTTTGATCAAGTGGACAGTATTTTTATTCTGTCAGCCTCCCAGGCTAAACAAACAGTATTTACCAAATGGGACTGACACAAGGAATTCAATGAAATAAGGAATGTAGCTCACTCACTATATTTTAATCTTATTTTTAATAGGCGATCCATTGCATGTGATATTCACGACAGCAGAGCTACTTTTAGGTAGGGGCTTTGACACTGAACAGGCACAGTTGCTATATGGAATTCTATTAAAAATAATTAGCAGAAAACAAAGGAAGTTTTGTTGCTAGCAAAGCATCACTTTGAAGCTAAACAAATTGGTTATGGCCTTTTCCTCAGTTTCTAAGTTAAATACAAAACCTCAAAACACAGAACAATAAACATCATTTCTCCAGTGTTTTCTCCCCTTCTATTATCCTCCAGAACAGGAAGATGCATTTCATTACCAGATTAATCTCTACCTATCCATTGCTGCATTTAGTTTCTATTTTAGATGTTTAAGATTAACAAGTTAGATCCCCATCTAGGCAGCATAAATGTGGCAAAAGCTTCAATTTGCTATCAGCACCATACTAAACAAACTGGAAAGGCAATATATCACACCCACAACTTGTTTTGATACAAACTGCTGTAATTTTCCAAAGCTGACTAAAAAACCAATGCAATGATAGGGAGAACTTTCACAGATGAATTGTGATGTTTATCTTCACACGGTCTCCTGTGAATAATCTGAGGACACCTAAGAAAAAAGCGATTCACATTTGGATTCCCAGATAAAGTACATGTACAAGTAAAACACATGATCAGTTACATCTCCAAGGGATATTTTGTAACATTAGCCACTAGTAACAGCAGTCCCTAATCCTCACATTCTGCCTATACTAGAACTGCTGATGTAAAAATGAGGATACAATGTGAAAAACCTGTATCATCAGCCTCTTCTTCTAAAGTTGCCAGCTCTGAACCTTTCCAACCTCTGAATTTTGCTTTCAATACCAACCTGCTACAAGAAGAATGGGTGCCTTGTCAGGATGGAGTTCCATTTGTCGAGCAATCCACGGCCCATCAAAATGTGCGTACCACCAACCCTTCTTCTTGTTCTGGGGATCTTTGTATTGGTCTGCGGGACGGATGAAGGGAATACGGAAGTAACGCTGCTGCCTGTTCATTTCAATCTCCTGTTGTCTGCCTGGTAGCTGGGTGGTTGGATTCTGTTGAGCTATTGTACAAAAAAAAAAAAAACAAAACAAAAACCAAAAAACAAGCAAACAAAAAAAATAATTAGAAAACAAGAAAACTGAATTACGACTTGCCTGGTTAATCTGCAAAGCAAGAAAAAAAAACAAACCTCCAAAACCAAACCAAACCCTTCAAAACCTGAGAGATTCTCTGAATACAAGGTCATATGAAGTGTCACTGAGTCAAAAGACTACTCCCATCTCATATAATGTGCATTCTTCTAATCACTTTAACTACCATACCGGTAAGGAAAGGCTCCCGTTAACTACTGTGTCTATTATGTTGCTCTGTAGGTTGCTCAGTGGCATTGCGTATGTTTAGACAAAACAAAGTGAGTAAAATAACACATTCTGCTTTAAATCAATATTTAAACTTAAATTTCACATATAAAATTTCTTACTAACCAGAAACATTCAGTCCATCTCTTTGCAAAACAAGGTCACAGAGCAAGGAAGCATTTTCAGTTACAAAAACACAAAGCACCACTTGAAGGCTTTTGACAGTCAACATAGAAGGGTGTTATAATACTGTTAAAAATCACTGATTTATTAGTAGAAATGCTGACAACAAATACTGCTTATTATAAAGCTGCCTCCCAACATACCTTTCTTCCTAGATTTCTGTGTCCTACACTCCAGCATTCAAATTACTCCCTGATCACTTCCTTTTTTAAAGAAATTTGTGATCAACAGACCAAACTTCTAGAGACAGTTATACAGAAGCTTCTTACATATTTTTGGTAAATGTTTCCCATGTGCATTTTTGCACTCCCTCAGAGTCCCACACATTTCAAACTTAGAAACTTTCTTTTGGACAAAAGCAAATACTTTATGTTAACCCATCAATTGATCAATCATCTTAACGTTATATATATACTACCATAAACAGGTTTAAATAGTAAATGCTTTTACAAGCAAGATCCTTTCCTTTAATAACTGCCTCCTTCAAAAATTTATTACTGATCTTGTTTTAGAAATACCCTGTTCAAGAAATTCTGAGTATGAATCTCTGCCTCCTCTACAAAGAAAAAAAAACAGTATTAACAGTTCCATATTTCAGCTTAAAGGCATAACTGAAAGTTAATTCCTTTTTTCATCCATTGCCTATTAAACAGCCAAGCTAATTTTTGAGCTAAAATCTAATAAACTAAAAATGACTATCACTTCTAATAATGCATTTTTTACAGTTATGAACAAGACTAACAGACAGGGAGACATACCTTACAGTTTATTAGAAATTAATTCTACTTTCTGCAAATTGTCTGAACTTTCACTTTTTGCACTGCAATGGTTATTGCTAAGGCCTGTTTCTACACCTATGGATACCTAAATCCAAGAAGAAATCTAGAGGATAGGAATGCTAAGCAGCCAATATGGCTTCTACTTTTAAGTACTATGGAACTGCAGTGCTTTATTCAAAAGAAACCACCACCTGCATGTTAGTCTCTGTGCTAGAAAAATAGCTGTTATTTTGATTCCAGAGTTTTGCTACAACAAAGTCATGTGCAGACAGTAAAAAAATGCCAGAACAAGCAAAGTATTTCCTGGAAAGGGGGGTGGGGGGCCAGGAGGGAAGGAAGAAAGAAAGAAAAAACTAGGAGGGCATACCTTAAAGCAACGTACATAAACAGGTTATTTCTTCTTCCTTCCCATGGCTACTCAGACAGGTAGGATCTCATGAAGATGAGTACATTCAGAAATTACTAGAGTAACATGCAATTGCCAACAGTTGAATAACATCACCAAATTGCTAAAGAGACTGGGTTTTGGTTTTGTTTTTTTAACGATTAAATTTTATGCATATGTGTAGCAAAACACTGGATTAATTAATGTTAGTATAAAGCTCTCAAGTCTTCCTATTCTTCAAAGTTAGCTTAAATAACCATCTTCCCACTTACGTGAATTGGTCAAAAATGGTGCAAAATCTGTGAACAAATATTACATGTTGAACAAAACTTTAAAGTGCTGATCCTTTATAAGTTATTGGTTCATTACCTCAATATTTTTTACCAATGTTGGTGATAGACAAATGGAAATCCTACTTACAAAATGACAGATGTTGAGCTAAGTATTTTATTCATTTTTTGCTCACAGACATATATAAAATGTCTCCTTTTCTCAAGTTTCAGAGATATCCAACTGATTCTATTTCCATCAGGATTTAATTTTGGAATTGATTACTTCAATGATTTGCAATGCCTGTTATGAAACCTCAGTTGTATAGATGCTAAACACAGGTTGCTGTGACAAATCTGCTAGTTAATTAACGTACTCCTTTTAATTTTTGACATTTCCGCTAGGAAAAAATTTCCAGACCTCCATTAATACCAAATCTGCCTATTCCAGTTATAAAACACAAACCAATGTTTAGCTTCTATAATGAATGTATGAACTTAATTAAGGAATACCTGTAAAATCGTATTACATCAGTGAAAAGACAGTAGGAAAAAACTGTATCACTTGAAGCACATATTCACTGACACCGGAAAGACTTTTAGCTTAAACAGCTAAGAAATCAGAGTTCCTTTCTACTCCCTTCTTACTTTCCACTCCCTTAGATCACTGTAATGCATAGATGTGAAAAGTACATGTAGTATAATTATTTGCAATAGGAAGAATTACTTCGGACATTAATGGGAATCTCTTCTAAGGTCACTCTCACTGACTTTCTTCTGAACTGCAATGTTTCTTTAGGAATACAAAGCTGTATTTCAAGAAAAGCAATGCAATGAAAAGCACTGAAAATCATGCTGTAAATGTCTGTGATAAGAACATGAATATTCCAAGCTTTGTTTACACAAATCCAAAGATTAGGTGCTCTTTAATACTCCCCATTGGCAATACTGTGCACGAGTATTTATTTTACCCATTTAACTCCAGACAGAACTTACAAACTCAAATTCAGAGCAACTTACCACTTTGCACAAGTGCTTCAAATGCCCTTTCCTGCTGTTTCAGTCATAAATTTTCTTTAAAACAATGTTATTAGGCACAGCCACAAGGACCTGAGCATGTAACTCAGTAAATTAATCAAGCGGAAAGAGACACCTCTGTGTAAGGACTAACACTGAGAGTAACTAGGGCACCTGTGCCCCTTGGGGTCTGTACCCCTCATGTCCTGGGACAATGCTCTAATCCTAGGCTAACGGGACTTTGGGCAGAGCATCTTCTGCCCTTTTTTCCCTTTTCTGAGCCTCTCCCGTTAACTGTGTGGCCATGAACAAAAGAATCGTAAAAAGAAGAGAGCAGGAAAGAATCAACTAAATTATTATATCCATTTGCTATGATTCCATTAATTCCTCAGATTCCTTTTATAACAGACAATCACTGGACTTTAAGGGTGGGTGGCAGGAAGAGAGTAACAATTCACTCTGCAAATATTGCTCCAGAAACCAACCACCTAATTTTCAGGTCTGCAAGCGTTAAATATGGTAACTCCAACACCACCTTGTTGAATTTGAAAGGCACTCAAATTAGTACATGAAATCAGGCTTACAGATATTGCAATTTTTGTTTCTGGGATGACAACACACATAAAATTTTAAAAAAGAGAACGGAACCTAAAGTACGTGAGGCTTACAGTACTGTAAATGAGGAAATTATTAGCACCTTTTAAAAGTATCTGCATCTATGTCTATATACCTATACCTTGTGAAAGAATAAAGTAATGAGAAAAAAATGTTATCCCCAACACTTCTGCTTGTGTCAGGACCCTAAATATAACAGCGTACTACATAACAGAACAATTCCTTCCAATCTTACTTTTCAGAGCATAAAAAAAAAAAAAAAAAAGAAAAAAGAAAACCAAACAACAACAACAAAAAAAACCAACCCATGCAGTTCTGTTAAACGGACTATTTGAAAACAGTCACAAGTGGTGTTCCCCAGGGCTCAGTACTGGAGCCATTTCTGCTTAGTATCTTTTTTTAGTGATCTAGATGAGGGGATCAAGTGCACCCTCAGTAAATTTGCAGAGAACAGCAAGCTGGGCAGGAGTGTTGATCTGCTTCAGGGTAGGAAGGGTCTACAAGGGAATCTGGACAGGCTGGATGGATGGGTGCAAGGCAGGTGTCAGTCTCTTCTCCCAAGTAACAAGTGATAGGACAAGAGGAAATGGACTCAAGTTGTGCCAGGGGAGATTTAGATTGGATATTAGGAAAAATGCCTTCAGTGAAAGGGTTGTCAGGCAATGAAATAGGGTGCCCAGGGAAGTATGGAGTCACCAGGCCTGGAGATATTTAAATGACATGGAGATGTAGCACTTATGGACATGGTTTAGGGCTGTACTTGGTAGTGCTAGGTTTGCAAGTTGGATTCAATGATCTTAAAGGTCTATTCGAACCTAAACAATTCTAAGATTGTAACTATTTTTAGAACCTCTATTCTACCCTTCATTATAATTCTGTGTACTAAACTCTAACTACTCTCAGAAAGCAGCATTTTTAATTACAGAGTTCAGAACAACCTTAAAAACAAGTCTCAAAAGTCTCAAAATGCAAACCACAGTTTCATAAATGGAAAATTATCATTTAGGAAAAATTCCAGGAACGTCAATAACAAATCAAGAATTATTTTTAACAGACATGAGATGGTATGAGAAAAGGTTTTAGGGAGAGCTATTCAGTACCTCTGGGTCTCCTGAAAGTACTCTACTTTCTGCAAAGTATTTGTCAGTTCCCATCTTTTCAAATATTTACCTTAAATCAATATAAAAATACTCTTTAAAGAAACCCAAGAATTTCCTTCAACTTAGCAAACCCAAAAGTCATTCTAGAAATATTTTCTTTGGAGTATTGTCACCAAAATTATTAGAAACACAAAATTGTTTTCCCTTACCATAGTCTGTAACTGATTTGGGAGCACGCTGTTCTGCTTCTGCATTACGTTTCCTATTCTTGGATTTCCAAGCATGATACACCTTTAGCCTTCTGTGAAACTCTTCTCTGCAAGCTGCCAGCAGTTCAATATCTGTCTCAAAAATAAGAAGTGAACAGAAAAGTGAGAAAAATTGGAAAAATAATTTATGAAATGATTTTCTATATTGAGGTGAAGAACTTTAGAGCACGTTTTAATACTAGTATGTTGTATAATAAATCCTTATTCTCTGCAGCAACAGGACCTGTATTTTATGGCCCAGAAAGTCCCTTTAGTGCTATATATCATTTTCACCTTTAGAGCAATGGCAGTCCCCAAAGTAGCTGTTCTACTGTGAGATATGGAGCAGTGAAATATTACAAATAAAATTTTCACTTCATTAAATTTTCCTGTTGACTTTATCACAAGTCAAACAGTTCAGAACCAGATAAAATTTCACTGCTGAACTTTATGTCTGTAACTGAGAAAAAGAAAAAAAAAATGGCAATGTGACTGCTCAGATCTAGGTTCTTCTTCCACTTTTTTAGACATATTTTAGTTTTTCTGAATTTCATGAAACTAAGAGACTGAACAATTGGAAAGCTTTTTCATTAATATCTGAAGAGTATCCAAACTGGCTTCACTAGGGGTGAAAACAAATTAGCATTAGTATTACTGTACCACCTATTCAGCTAAAAACATTGCTCCAGTCTTTCAGATGTAAAAAACATAGATGCAGAGTCAGAATTTGGAGCTAACTTCAGGTTTTAAATAAAAATAAAGAGAATGGCTTTGTTTCCATTTTCTACATCCATGGAGAAATTCTCAATTATCTTAAATCGGAAATTAACCAACTGCTTTCTATCAGAGGAGGGAATATTTAATAAAGTAATAATTACTGTGTTTCTATCTTCTTAACATTGGGGGAAAAGTAATAAATGTCCCAACTGTTAACTTCCCAAATTAAGTTACACATTCTGAAAATTATATAATGATGTGAACATCTAAGACAGAAAATATCCTGTGCTTTACATGTCATTCGCTTCTTTGTGATTTGGTGACAGCAAGAAGTGATAGCAAAATATTTCTTAGAACACACATATTCTTGCTAAAGCACAATAACATTCACTTTGTGGAAATACATAAAACTGAGACAATTTAATTAAAAAATTAGAATGCGTATCTCATGGCCCAAGCAGTTTAACATCACAAATATGCAATCACTAAAAGAGGTAACAAAGGAAATTCTGTTTCCTCAATATGGAAATACGTTAGTTTGCTGTTCCCTTTAGGGTAACAGAACTTTGTAAAATTAATTTAACATTCATTCAAACCTGAATAAATTCCCAAGCAAGATTTTATCTCTGTCATAGGAAGAAAGTAACAATTTTCATATTAACTACAACTTGACTTCTCAAATCAGGTAAAAAAACCCAAACCAAACAAAACCAAACTTACCACAGGATGTGTTGATTGTATCACGAAGCTCTGCATACTTCCACTTACTGAGATCATGCTTCTTAGTACCAGCAGCAGCTTTCGTAGCTTGAACTGAAGGACCCCTGCAATTTTTTTTAAAAATATAAATGCATTTTTTAAAGTATGAAACAGGAACTTTTACAACAGGATGAACAGATCCCACAATCAACACTGCAACGTGCTTATTACAATGAAAACCAGCAGTAGAGAGACCGAATTAAAAAGCAAAGTACCATATTATTTTCAAGATGTCCAAATGATTAAGTGAAAGCACCTTTTACATCCAAAATCATATAATAACCTGATTTGTTGCCTAGACATTAAAAGGAGTTCTCATAAATAATTACCCCTTATGTGTGAAAAGATACATATTCTATTTATGTGTACATCACCCCATGCTGGTGTACATTTTTCTTAGCACTAGTCAAAATGCAGAATACAGGCAACAAAGAGTAGCCATATATATATTTTTAGTTCCACTCATAAAAATAGATGAGGGAAAGTATTTCTAGAGTAGACAAGAAGTAAGAAAAGGTGTTTCTTCTGCTGTTTAAAACTGGACTAGGACAAAATCCTTGTTACAAGACCATAAAAAATATTCCATGTCTTTGACTCAAGTCTAAGTTGAGAGAAGAAATCAAATTAATTCTGTATTAATTATAAATTAGCTGCCTGACAAAGGCAGTATTTATTCACAGGAGGAGGGGGGAGAAGGAAAGAGGAAATCATCAAGAGGTACCAAGGCAAAAAAAAAGACCAAAAGAACTCTCAGAACTCAGAAACTCTCAGAAGAAAGGCCGACCAGTACAAAAAGAATCATCCAGAAACAGTGATTTTCAAAGACAAAAAGTATTCATCTTGCAGGTAGTATGCAAAGTCAACAGCAAATGGAAATGAGAAATCATTACTAAAATCTCCGTCATCTTAATATGTATAAGGTTATCCATATAATAAACAAACAAACAAACAAACATTACCTGTATGCATATAAAGATAAACCAGATTTTTTTTCTTATAACTTTCTTTTTTTCTTTAAAAATTGTAAGGATGAGAAGTAAAAGAACTCTCCCTTAGAAGGGGCAAACTTCCCATGATTGTTTGGATATAAACAAAGTTCAAAACACCTCAACATTCAGTTCAGAAGGAATTCAAGAACAGCCACATGATTTTACCAATCTCTGCATAATGCCCATGACTAAGAACATGAGGCAAACTGAATTATCTTTCAGGATCTCAGAAGATTTGTTCAGAATAAACCAGATATTTAACAGGGTAGCAAAATACTTGATGCAGTATGTCACATTAAAAATTCACAGGAGAGAAAACCAGGAGAAACTGGGCCTTTTCATTTAAAGTCTGTGCACAGCACAGTATTTTCATGGGACTATTACCATATTACAGTATTTAAAATCCAGTTAATATAATTTTGAAGTTTATTTTTCCATAAATGTCTTATGAAGTTTGATGTTGTTTATTTTCCCTATTTAGTTAACAGCTCCATGTAAATGTAGCAGTTTTGAAAGCAGTTAGCAAATGCAATTAAAGTTTCATAGAATAAAACAATCTGTTTAACCAAATGTTCTTTTTAATAGTAACTGAACCATCTCTTCAAATGTAATTAAAAATACACAATCTTAATGTTTATTGCAGCATCAGCTTAATTATGACTACTCATACTACTAATCTGACTCAACACACAGCTTCCAGTTATGGTGTCTGAGAAGTCTGACACAAAATTACCTCTTTGACTTTTAATCAGTACATAGATGAGGGACACGAACTTTTCCTCACCCTAAGCACTACTTGTAAGTGTTAAACAAATCATTACAGTCTCCTTCAAAACACATATTTTAATATTTTGTTAGCATTGGCATACCTGAACGACATTAAAAGATTGCTGATAAATATAACTTCCATTGCCTGGTCTCTAACCTTCTTGAACCTAATTTGACAAATCCTATGGATTTTCCTTATTTAGCAACACTACCCACCACTCTAAGAGTTTGCTACATAATTTAGAGCAGCAGAACTAGGCTGTAAAATCTCTGGTTAAACTTGTAATCTTTAAGAATGCTAATCCAATTGAACAGCTTAGTCTTTCCATTCCAGTGTTACTGTGCACTCTGCAGATTATTCTTCTGTTTTCTACATGACTTTAAGCATAACATTCTGGCAGTAAGAGCAGCATCATACTTGACAACCAGTCTTCACTGTTCAGTCTTTCACCACTCAATCTGACAAAAGTTATGTATCATAAACAGTATTTTCAGACTTAAAAAAAAATTGTCAGTCTCAAGTCAAGAGTTCCAAGTGTATGAAAAGTGATAATGAATATGAAAAAAAAAAAAAGTTCAACAAGCATGCAGTAAGAAGTATTGTATTTAGAATTCAACCCAAACACAGAGCCTCTGTGTTTTGGCCCAAAGTTCTGTGATACTTTGCACACTAAGAATTGACCATTGTTATTGGAACTATATAAATATATGCAATATAAACTAGCCATCTAAATTCACATGCAAATTTAATTACACACAACATTGTTTATTCCTATTCTTAAAATACCACTGCAAGAAATAAATTGGTTAACAGCTGCATTCCCAATTTTCAATGCAACAACTAGAAAATCCATCAATCACGCGAGACTGATCACTTTCAGACTACATATACACAGCATAGTACCTTGCTTAATAACAGATTCACTTTTTAAAACTAAACAATTTTACTTCTTATGTAAGCTTCAGAAAATGAATGTCAAAAGGTTATTTCTGTCCTCAAGCTGTACAAAATCATTTCTAATTACTCACTGATATGGAGGATATTATAACAATTTATTTTAACAGAGAATTAGTATTCTAACAGAAACTAGCATGAGACTGTTCCAGAAGAATTTATTCAGCTCAAAATCTCCATTCTCCCTTCCTCCCGCATTGTGTGTAAAATGTTGCATTAGCATTCAAGAAATCTCAGAAGGGGATTTTGTTTAGATGTCTTAAGAGGGGTTTTAATATGCTTTTGACATGCTAATTTTCAAAACTGCTTTTATTTGAAGGAAATTGTAACTTGAAGATCACCTTATTAACAGCACTAACAGTTACATTATCATTAAATAACCTCATTAACTCAGTGGTGAATCTGTAGAAACACTCCTTTGAAAGATGTGGAGCCTAGTTTGCTATTATAATTATATGAAAGGTGAAAAGAGAACAGAGCACAAAATACCAGGGTATGTGAACTATTCTTATTCTTTTTTCTATATATTATCAATTAAAATAGCAGAAAAATAATTGCTGAAAAAGGTGTTGATAGAGGAGATTTATCTGAAAGAAATAATTGTTAATCTGCTTAGCACTTAAAACGCCCCAGATTCCAGTAATTTTCATTCCATAATAATTCAACCCATTTCATGTGTGTGATTTCTTTTTATAAATGATTGATTCATTTGCTGTTGTCTTCTCACCTACCTAGACAATATTTCTGACATTTCTGTGGCCATTTGTTCCCTATAAGAAAATTGATAAATAAGCATAAACCAAGCATACTGATATAAAAACAGCCTTTTTAACTTTGAAAGTCTCTTGCCAACTAAACTGAAGCTAATTCAAGGGTATAAAACAAAAGGCTATGTATTTTAAATCCCTTTCCATTCTAATATGCATGCATACATACAGTCCTGATCCTGCATAGAGAAATAAATCACACAGGGCAGGGAAAAACGGACGGAATGGGAAAATGTTTACACTAATTACATAATAGTCTTTAAATTGATATTATTAGGTATATTAGATTATTAAGTTGTTTATTAGACATCAGCAAAGTAGTGGATATAAGGTATTAAAAATCAATCTGACGATTATTATGGGGTATTAGTAAATAAGAGGACAATATCAATTTTATTTGAATTAATTAGTATTGCTTTTTTTCCTATTAAGGAATTCAAATAGAAAAAAATGCCATACGCAGTCATTTGCAGTTTTGTTCCATCAGCTCTGTAAATAAAAGATATTTGTGTTAGATAGACTACTTCATAGTTACCTTTCTAATAATGTGAAAAAGTAAAAGGTGGGTCATAGCATTTCTTGCTCTCTCTCATCAAAGATTTTTAGACATGCTACTGTTGTACGTTATGCCTGGATAAGCACATTATAAGAAAAAACAGCAATTCTCTTGTAGGTACTCTGGTAACAGGACAAATGGTTTCTTCACGCAAGCTGTGAAAAGAGAGTGAGTTCGACTGCCTTACTGAAGACCAACATGCACACACATGCAGCACTGAATATGGTACAAACTAGAATTTATTTGGATTGCTCCATGCAAGGCACGGAACAGATATACTGACACCACCTTCACTGAGGCTACCTTATTTTGGTGCTGTATGCTATACTATATGCTTCAATAAGACACATAATTAAAAAATATTGTAGTTGAAAACAGATGGTTATTATTTAACTAATTTTTTATTTAAGTGCTAAGCACTTCTGTTATTTCACCCCTATGTATGGTAACATGCTTTCAAATTACGGATAAGTAATACAATTGGATGAAGTTAGGAGAAGTCCAGTGTATCCAGAACAGAATAAGCACAAATAAAAAATAGTCTATCCACTGCCACAACAAACAACTCTTCTTCTTTGACAGCCAATGAGTATATTTTTCAGAGAAACTACTCATGAATCCTTAAATATCTATGAAAACTAATGGTGAATGGAGCAAGGTATTAAGGAGAAAAGAAATGAAGCAGGGGCTACTCATTTTTAAATATGACAACAAGCAAGTATGACATTGTTCCCTAAAAATGAGCAAAATACAAGAGTTCCTTCAAAGTGGCACATCAAATTCACCTTGTTCTTACTATTTGCACTACACAGGTAGTTCAGCACAATGGAAAAATACCCCTTTATTCATGCCAACATAAATATAAGCAGGAAGTTATAATTTGCAAAATTGTGTGAAAACACTGCAGAACCAGTTACACTGCATTAATTCAATATGGAGTGATACCTGCTTTATCTAACAAAAGCAAAATTTAACAGAAAAGACAAATATACATACATAAAACTCACAGTGATTTCAGTGTATCATATGGTAACACACCTGTTTTGAATACAGAAGATGGCAGAATATAACATTTTTAGACTCTAATGAAATTTTAATTTACATCAGTTAAAATAAGTCCTGAAAATTTATATAAATTATGATGTGTTTTTTTCAAACCAATAAATAGTTTTAATTTCAGAGAATTCCCCCAGTTTCTATCTTTTAGCCAATTCCTACAGTTAAGTGGAAATCTACCCCTGGATTTCCATAAAAGGCATTGGAGTCTGGAGAATGTTTTCATTTGTTTTTAAACAAACCAAAACAAAAATCAAATCAAAGCAGAAATTAAAAGCACTTTCTTCAATTTTTGGACATGCTTAAACCTCTTTGAAGTAGACTGCAGAAACCGAAGTGAAAAAATTTGCTAATGGCTAAAAAACCCCTCATAATAAGCTGAAAAATCTCTCTCTTGCTTTTTCTAGATTTATATATTATCTTGTTCAAGAAAGTATTTACATCACTATGTTAACATATTTATACCATTCTGCACTTTCCAATCATTCAGAAAAGTATCTTCATGCTCCTACTGCTACCTACACAGTGAAGAGAAACTGGCAATCATAAATATCAGGATGGCGAGTTCATTACCATTCTGGGACTATACAAGAAAAACAAATACCAGAATCATCCATGAGCAGTTGGAAACACTGTGGAGATCAGAGCTGATTGAAAAGTTACTGAATTGTCCAAGTACTTCCTTCCTATTGCCTCCCTTCTTTTGTATTTAAGAGAATTCTGCCAGGTTGGTGCACTAGAGTGACTTTGAGTTTACCTTTAAAGTATTGTACCACTATCCAAACAGGTGAAGTATGAAAAATCTCCAGAACGCTTCTGTGAAGCAATTGGACATCTAACTGAGTATATCTAAATCTTATCTGAGACAATATGACAGCTATTTTATAAATGAGGACAAAAGCACAGCAATTTTAGTGTGTCTAAAAACCAATATTATACATAACAAAAAAATTACCCAGCTATCTCACAAAGACACACAGTTATTTAAAAAGTATGTATCTAGATAAAATTTGAGTAACAAAGACAACAAAGGTGGGAGCTTGAAATTTCATGGACTCACTTGGGATTTTCTTACACCCCTTCTTTCAACAAGAACAAACTGGGCAGACTAGCACTAATGAAGTCACCAATTATGTGATCATGTTTATAGGTCTCCTGACACAATTTGACCAATAAGTACCATTTTTATTGAAACTTCTAAGTTGTTTCTAAAGCATCATCCTTTACATGTGAAGAGCTCTTGCTCTTCAGGCAACATGGATCCATATACCAAAAGCCAAGCACTTCTTATGACAAAAATTCACACAAAAGTGTAAAAATTTAATTTTCAAACCCATCTATGTTAAATATATTAATTATACCTTAAAAACCAATACAACTACTACTATAACAGAAAGGGTATAATTTATACTTACCACTGAAGAAATTCCATTCAGTAGTTTAAATGAGTCATAGAAATCATAATTTAAATTGGCTATCATCCTTGCCAGAGCTCAAAAAGAGAACTGCGGTCATATTCACAAGCACCTACTAAATTACTGATGTAGCAAGATGCAAAATGGAGACAGTTTTTGAGCAAAAGCAAATTTTACAAGAGACAGAAACACTTAATTCCATACCTGCGCAATCCTAAATCAAGCTGAGCCTCATCATTGATGAGTTCTGCCTCACTCTGGGCAATTCTCATTGCAAGTTCATGATCACGACGTTCCTGTTCAAGCACTGCCTGGTGCTGCGTTTCCTCTTCTCGTTCTCTAGCTAGCTGAGCTTCAATTTCAGCCTGTTTCATAAAAAATACACCTTTAAACTTATCCAATCAAAATAATTAGATGATTTTAAGATCCCTTCCAACCCAAACAATTCTATGAAAATGCTATGTAAGCAAATTATTAGAAAAATATGCCAAGTGGTATATTTATAACTTCCAAAACATGCAAATTTATGGAACTGAAAAAGTATCAGCATTCTGAAGTAGCAGCAGTCCCAAGAAAAACAAAACAGCTACAGCCTGCATCTTGGTTTTTCTATAGTTTATCAAATAATTATTGTCCACCACTCATATTTTGTTTTTAAATTATAGTGCCAATCAGTTATTCCTTATTTAAAAACATGAAACTATTATGAATATCAGAGTTAAAAAGTTTTTAGGTTGATTCAAACTCATGATACACAGCAATACGGTTATTCCTCCATAATACTAACACAATACTCCCTTAATATTCTGCACTTGGCTTTATAGGACTTTGCAATAGGCATTGCTTTGCATATTGATCCGCGGTTCCTTTTGAAAAGGGATCAAGTAAAACACTGGAAAACTCTGTTTGAGGTTTTGAATTTAAGCAAATGGTCAAAGTCCAACCCATGGCAATGCAGAAGCAATACAGATACACTGCTTCTGCAGAGTAAAACTGTAATTGCAGTTTATCAAAGGGTCCTGCACACACAGTAAGTGAAATGCAGCCATCCAAATCATATTTCTGAAAGTCAGACACCTCAAGGCTTAGCAGTACCTTTCTTGGTGCCCAAAAGCCAACAAAGAAGACAAAGTTATTTCCCACTCATCACTGAGAATTTGCACCACTAACGCAATGTAGTAATATAAGTGACTTTATCCCATGAATCCCATTTTAGATTAGCTGACAGTAACAACCACCAGAATGACAGATAATGAGTAAATAACTGAATGTAAAAGAAAGGTAATCTAGTAGGGTATTTCTATCTGCTTTGTATTCAAACAGCATTTCTAAGTAAAAGTGTAAATTACATTCTGCATTGCAGATATTCACATCTCAGAAACAAAGAAACATAAAGATGGTCCCTAGAATGCCGGCAGACCAAGTTTTAAAACCTCCTGGCCATAGGCCATCTTACTTTCTCAGTGGACAAAGTTTAATTGATTTAAATTGCCCCTGAATGCAAACTTATCTTATGAATTTCTCAGAAGACACTAGGCACATGCGCAATGGTCTCTAAGCAATGATTTAAAGACTAAGCAAATAGAAGCTTACTCTTTTTTACGTTTAACTTCTGCAAGCTGGTAGCACTGTTAAAGCACAGAGCTAATAAGGCAGGAAAGAGTAATTTTTCATCAGTCAAGCTATAATTTCTCTGCTAGTTCTAGTGAACTGCTTATCCAGAATGAGGGGATAGAAAAAGAGTATGCAGATGCAAGGAGGATAAGCAGTGCTAGGCTAACTCCAGGGTTAACAAGATAACAGCAGAAAAGTTCTGCTTCTGATTAATCACGGTCAAGGCTTAAAAGAGTCTGAAAATATCAGTGACCACAGCTCTGTGCTTGCTACAACTGCCTCTACAGGAAAGATTTTTTTCTCTCTACAACTGCTCTCCTAGCTGACCCAGGCAATCTCAAACACAACAGAAACACAAGTGTAAAGGGGACAAACAGCCTCAGAGTGAGAGTTCATGATGTGATCAGTAAGAAGTGTCAGGAATCAAGGGGTAGGCTGTGAAGGAGCAGGGGTTAAACTGCATGTATTTATTCTACATGAAAGTAGCCACAGGGGCTACTAGAGACAGTCCTGTATCCTCTCACTATTACTAATATTCTGAAAGTGGTTATGGTTAAGCTGGTACATGACACAGCCCGAGGTCCAAGCACGATTTCTACTAAGGGAGTCCCAGACTTGCCTGACATAGAACATTGGCAAAAATTTCGAAGGCTAAGCTAGGGTTCTCCATTGTAGCGTATTTTTAACTTTAAAATAACTTTAAAAACCCTTTAAAAGCAAATGCACCTCTAGTCAGAAGACCAGAACTTGCGTGTGAATTAGAAATAGGTGATCTGTGATGCCCTAATCATAATTTGTTCTTTACATTTATTACTAAAGCAATGCTGCTAAACGATTCTCAGACACATATTTAGAAACTGAAGCTGTTAAGACTCAGTGGAGGTCCTAAGCTGTGAAAAAGATTTTTCTGAAAAATTAATTAGAAAACAAACAAACAAAACCCCACAAAAACAAAACAGCACAACCGCCACACAGCTAAAACATTAACCTGAATACGCTTTTCTTCCTCTTCCCTCTTTTTCCTCTCTTCCTCGTCCTGCTTTCTCTTTGCCTCAATCTCAGATTTCCTATTACAAAAGAGAAGGAGGAAATGAAAATATGTTATTATGATGCAAGTGAACAAGACATAGGAAAGGATCTCCCAGAAAACTGAAGGGTAATCCAGAAGTCAGTACAGTCCTGATGACAGGACACTATACTGAAAGTCAAGAAACTAAGTTTATCTGTATTTGCAGCTGCATCGTATCATTTCTTCCATACTCTATTATGACTACACTTATAAATCACTGGGAAAGGAAATGTTTTGACATTGCATAGCACACCAGGAGTACAATGCCAGCAACTCTTTTAAGCATAGGACTGTGAAAAATGACCTCATTAAAATGCCTTTCCTATTTTCTTCTTATTCCATAACCAGCAACTTATTCAACACTCACAGGCGTCTTTCTTCTTCCTCCTTCCTTCGTTGTTTTTCTTCCTCTTCACGTCTCTTTCTTTCTTTTTCCATTTCTTCCTGGATGCGTCGTAGCCTCTCTGCTTCCTCCTCTTGCTGCTTCTTCTTTTGCAGTGCACTCAGAAGCTGCTCTGAGCTTCTCACTAGAGCATCATATTCTTTCTGTATCTGTTCCCTAGTCATTATAGTGGTCTGCAAAATTAAAATAAGAAGAGGGGATTATATTCTTTTACATTTCCACTTCACTTTTAAAACATGCATATTGAAAAAAAAATAAGTGAGAGCATTGAGCAGTACAATTAAATTACATATGCTCTTTAGGCTGGGGGAGCTTGAGCACTAGCTTTCCCTTTCTTCCTGAAATCCTGGAGATCCATTACTCCCCTTATTCTCCTCTCTCATATAAAACCATACAAATTAATCTCCATTTTACCTCTGAAATTAAGCATGAATTCTCTTTAAAAAATGCCTTTTTTTTTTTTTTTTGAACCATGCAGTTTTAAGTAACAGAAATTAATTATCACCATTATCATCATTAAGGGCTTCCTACGTGCATTGTGTTTCATGTTGTTAGCTGCTAGAGTGGCTATTTACAGCTCTGCCTTTTATGTCATAGCACAGAATAGTCTTTCTTACTATGTGTGCTTGCATGCAGAAAAAGTATTGGACTGTGCTGTGAATAACTTCTTAAAAAAAGTTATTAATAGCAAATAACAGGTTGAAAATACAACAATAACCTTTGCTACATGTGTAGCAAACCTCATTCATAGCTACAATTTAATTTTACGATTCACATTAAGGTATACTAATAAAACTACAATATGGGATGTTTGCTGACCTTTCGTGATGGTACGTCATGCAGATGATCATATTATCTTGTCTTAATTATTATCTTAAGAGATCTCTAAGTTGACAGGTTAACTCTATCATCTTTTCAACTGCGATTTTAAATAGGTGTCGTGGTTTAAACCCAGTCAAGTAACTTGTTCACTCACTTCCCCCCCTTTCTTGCCCTCCCCCTGCTCTCGGAGGGACGGAGAGGAAAATCGAAAAGAATGCAGCTCCCACGGGTTGAGATAAGAACAGTTTAGTAACTAAGGTATAACACAGATCACTACTGCTACCACCAGTAATAACAATGATAAAGGAAATAACAAGGGAAGAGAATACATCATCTCACCACCAGCCGACCGATAACTCGCCCCCCCAGCCCGACCAAGCTCTGACCAATACCTCCTCCAACCCCGCAGTCTCCCAGCCCTTCTGGCTCACTCCCAGTTACATCCTGGGCATGACGTGCTGTGGTATGGAATACCTCTTTGGTCAGTTTGGGTCAGGTGTCCTGTCTCTGCTTCCTCCCAGCTTCCCCTCCTCCCTGGCAGAGCATGAGGCTCACAAAGTCCTTGGCCAAACCAAAACATCGCTTGTTATCAGCTCTGTTCCCGAGCTGAAAGTCAAAACATTGCACTGCACCAGCTACCAAGAAGGGGAAAAATGACTGCTACTGCTGAACCCAGGACATTATCCACCCCTTATTCCATACCATTCACGTCATGCTCAGATCCCACATTTTCAATATACCATCACTCTTATCTCGGTGCACTCTTAACTTAGTGCATGGACCAGTCCCTATAAAGCTGCTGCGTCCATCTGGTCCATGATGTCAGGCTCCATCTCTTGTAACAGTCTTCCAGAGCAGGAGAGACTGTGTTGCAGTGTTCACACTCGTGAATAACCTGGGCAATAGTGTCCATTGCTAAGTCCACCCCTCGATCATGAGTCCATCTCTATGTTGCATCTCTGCTCTGATGGCCTGAAGTGCCATAGGCTGACCAGGCTCAAAATAATTCACTGTCCCCTTAAGCAGTTTCTGCAGCTTGTTGCTGGGGACTCCATGCAGCTGCCTTCCATCTCCGACGCTTCCAAAGCACTGGAGGGGCCCAGTGGACTAGATACTTGCCCATACTGTCCCACACACCCTGCCACTCCTGGCTGTCCAGCCTTGGGGAAAACCTCTTGGTCCCCCCATATCCTTGTCTAACCCCAGACAAGACCCAAACCTGACTCTGCTTAACTTTTGAGATCAGACAAAATGGTCGTGGGTAGAACACAGCCTGTGTGTGTGCCAACATGCTGATCCCCATCACAATCAGCAGGCAGGTACCAAGGACACCCAAAGGCCATTCAAAACCTTCAGAACTCTCAACTGATGCTGCTGTACTTGTCACTGGGGCTGGTGTAGCTGCTGTACTTGTCACTGGGGCTGGTGTAGCTGCTGTGCTTGCCGGCTCTCCCACCGCCAGCTTCTCTTTTCCTGAGTCCAGCTCTTCCTCCTCTGCCTTGCTGGGAAATGCTGCGTGGTCTCCTGCATCCTCCTGGGGCTCGGCGGGCGGCTTCCGGGAAACGCTCTCGGCCGTCGCAGGGCTGGGCTCTTCCGCGGGGCTCGGCTCCTCCGCGGGGCTGGGCTCGGCCGCGGGGCTCGGCTCTTCCGCGGGGCTCGGCTCCTCCACCGCCGTCTCCCGCTGCTCGGCAGCCGCTTCCTTCTGCTCCTCGACCGCCCCGACCTCCTCCACCGGCAGCCGTCCCCTCGCGGCCTCCGGCCCCGCTCCCGCCGCCGCTTGGTGCCCGGGGCCGCTCTCCCGGGCCGCTTCAGCAGCCGCCGGCTCCCGGGGCCGCTCCCCCTCGGCTCCCCGCAGCCTCACGAAGATGGAGAGTAGGGTGAGGGCCAGGACGGTGAAGAGCAGCCGGACGGCCAGGTACAAGTCCACGGCCACGTCCGTCCCGCCCTGCTGCTGGAGCCCGCCCGTATTACAAGCCATTGCCATAAAGCACAGTGAGACAAGAACCTTAGCCCAAGCCCCATACTTGATAAACACTATCACAGCAAATACCGGCTCTACGTAAGTTACAACATTCTGAAGCTGTGAGATCAAGCAAAACAACTCTGAGACCCAATAAATCAGCATTGTGATGAGGACTATTAATCCGGTCAGATCTGTCGTTATCTCAACCCTTCGTGCCCCACGTTGGGCGCCAAAAACGAACTGTCGTGGTTTAAACCCAGTCAAGTAACTTGTTCACTCACTTCCCCCCCCTTTCTTGCCCTCCCCCTGCTCTCGGAGGGACGGAGAGGAAAATCGAAAAGAATGCAGCTCCCACGGGTTGAGATAAGAACAGTTTAGTAACTAAGGTATAACACAGATCACTACTGCTACCACCAGTAATAACAATGATAAAGGAAATAACAAGGGAAGAGAATACATCATCTCACCACCAGCCGACCGATAACTCGCCCCCCCAGCCCGACCAAGCTCTGACCAATACCTCCTCCAACCCCGCAGTCTCCCAGCCCTTCTGGCTCACTCCCAGTTACATCCTGGGCATGACGTGCTGTGGTATGGAATACCTCTTTGGTCAGTTTGGGTCAGGTGTCCTGTCTCTGCTTCCTCCCAGCTTCCCCTCCTCCCTGGCAGAGCATGAGGCTCACAAAGTCCTTGGCCAAACCAAAACATCGCTTGTTATCAGCTCTGTTCCCGAGCTGAAAGTCAAAACATTGCACTGCACCAGCTACCAAGAAGGGGAAAAATGACTGCTACTGCTGAACCCAGGACAATAGGAAAGTCTTAATATGGTACACTAGGAAAGCTATAATTTTGCATGAAACAGAAATTCAACACATCAGTTTTTTTCTAACATTTGCAAACCCCAGCATGCTCTCATTTTGTCTGTGTGCTTCTGTGGTAAGAAATAGAGAACTATAGATCCTGAAGCATAATCAGCAAGCTGAATTCTCTTTACTATCAAGTCTGAAGAAAACTCATAAGTGGAATATAAACCTCTTCACTCTGTGATAAATGCTTGCATGTTTCAGTCCTGATTAATTTAAACCATTGCTAATATGAATTATTCCAATAATAAAAGCAACAAGCAAATTATTAACAACACTTTTCTCACAATAACAACATGCATTTTTGCTTTACATTTCCTAGTGCCAATTTTGAAAGACAGACAATAATATCAAAGTCTAAATGTATGCACCCAGATTCAGGACTCACTTCAGTTACACTCACAAGTAATTTTAAAGAGGATTTACCAACTGCCTCAAAAAATTAAGACCTCTATATTAAAATGTCTTTTCTATTAAGAAAAATACATTGGTCTTTAACTTAATCTAAAGTTTTTAAAAGATTCCAGTAATAAGAAACTATTTCTCTGTTTATTATCATACCTTAATTTTGGTCATTGATGCATCAATAGAATACTCCAGCTCCTTGATCTGCTTGCTCGTCTCTGCCTTGCCCTCCTTCAGAGCACTTACTACTTCATTAAATTTATCAAGTCTTTTCTTCAGTGTACGCACTTTTATAAGGCCATCAATGCTGTGAAGGTAAGACAGTTTATTTCTATCTTGAGATGTTTTTACAAAGTAATATTTTTAAAGTTCCAGTAATCACTCACATTAAAGAGGTAGATAGGGGATACAAGTTATGCCTTCTGATAAAACCCACTTTTTTTGAAATTCAAAAGTTATCACATGAAGTCACCAAGCGACGGAGATTTTTGCAAACAATATTTAAAACTGATTAGCAGACAGCAACTCAAAATGTAAAAAGGCAGGTTTTTTGAGACTTCATGAGGGGTTGGGTTTTTTTGGTTGTTGTTTTGGGATGCTTTTTCAATAACAAATCACTAGTATCCATTAGAGGATTTTGACTGGAGTGGATAAAGGTTGAGTTGTTCCACTTATGCAAATAATGGGACTGCATCACATAAAACTTAACTACATGAACCTAGTCATTAGTCCCACAGGTGCGGGTGCTAGACGGAGAAGTCTGGGGACGAGTCCAAGAAAACATGGAGCTTTTTTTAAGAACCAATGCTGAAGGCCACACATACAAGTTACAACACTGCAGAGACATCTTCTTAGAAAGAAATCACTGAACTGTAATTCAGGAAAACAAGGCACGAAAAGTAGAAACTAAATCAAATCATTAAAGATGAGTACAGAACAGCTTAAAAATACAGGGCCATGGTCAGAAATGACAAGGTACAAAATGAAATACACTTATCAAAGTTTGCAAAAGAAAACATTTTATAAGACTAGAGAGTTGGATCTCTATCAAAGAAGAAAAAGATGTCAGCAGAATATAATGACTGAAGTGCTTTTTCTGCCAGTATTCCATGCAGTCACATTTAAGCTAATGGAAATATTTAATTTCAAGAGAAGAGAAGACAGACGGAACACATAATTATTTTTAAGATGAAAAAGAAAGGGTGCCTATAAAGGAAGGTGTGAATGGGAAAAGGACAAGAAATAATGAGCTTAAGTTTCATTTAGGGAGGCTTAACTAAGGATTTCTAATAACTAGGCTATCACTGAAGGTCTTTATGAACAAAGAGCTAAACAAATATCTCTTAGGAGGTTCAGATTTAATCTATACACCTTTTGAAAGAGAAGAGGAACACAGAACCTCCTAAAGTCTCTCAGTCATACTTAGCATCATTCTATGAATTCAGATATATTTAGTTAAGCATAGTAGATCTCCTCTTTACATTCACAACAAAATATTATTAAGAATCCATTTTCTTCAACCAAGGAACATTCTCTTACCGTGGTTTATGCTTTCTCTTGCACAGCCACATACGAATAGTCTTTTGTATCTTAATGCAGGCACCGGCTCGATACTTTATCTTATTTTTTACTGCAAACAGAAAAAAAACATACTGAGACTCAACGGCTTCTACAATTTAACACAACTCCTTATTACTCACACACTCGATGGCTCAAAACTATGCAGACAACATGTGCTTGAGAGCTAGGTCTATACCACAATACTTAGGACACAGCAGACAACAGAATTCACAATCCTTAGCCAAGGCATGGGGACTCTCACCCAAAACAAACAGGAAGAATTCAGCATGTGCACACTAGCACACATGCACGCACACACACACACACCCCCTTCTAGATTCACAGACATCAGAAACCTCAGTGAAAAGTCACTGGACCTACTGAGCAGGAAGTGCTCAACATAAAGTCTAAGTACTGTGCTAAAGGGTAATCAAGTAGCCAGTATCTGCTAGAGATAATAAAGTGCCTGCAACTTTGCTGAGGATTTCTCTGCAATACTGAAATTAAAGAATACAAAACAAAACCTCCAGCTGTTTCTCCAATAGTGTCTTCATCTTAAAACTCAAATGGCTGAGACCAGGAGAGCGGTTAAACAGAATAATGTCAAGGTACAGGTACTAGCATGTGTGCCAAGTAGCTCAGAATTGCAACAATAAATTTTTTACATGTCTACTAGATGAAGCATAGATGCCTAAAGATCAATGGTGCCTTCTGTTATCAGCTGAGCATGTTTTGTGAACACAGTGGTTTTTAACTACTGGACTTAGATGATCACAAAGATGCACTCTACTTTTTGTGTACCTATTTCAACTTTATTCTGGATATAAAATTAGCTTCTAATTTCCTATAAAACACTAAAAAAAAAAAAAGCAAGGGACATCATAACAATATATTATTTTCCTGGGTTGCTACTATTTGGACACAATGACAGACTTTCTGTCCTATCTTTCTGACTAAATGGCATAAATTTCTAGGTCAAAAAATTATTTTAGTGTTACAATTTCTGATGTCTGAAACCTATATGAAAAGAACTTATAATTTCTATTTGCCCTAGTATAAAGAGCAACAAATAGTATCCAATCAGTGATGGATACAGATGTCACAACTGTGCTGGTCCAAACACACAGCCAAAAGGCATGAGGCCTTTATGCTTTTCTTTCCCATATTAATGTATACTTTCCACCCTCCATGTTATTATATAGATCCCTGACATCCTGCATCAGACCTTACCCCACCTCCCAGATAACTTTATTGAAGCACCCCACAAGCACCAGTCTCTATTCCACACCGCCTTATTCCTACTCTGCACAGTAAACTGGGAAGGCCAAGCACTTAGGAACTGTGTATCAATAGTGATAGGCACTTATTTGCTCATCACCAGTAATTGCTGGAGCAGAGAATGTTTGCCCCATAATTCAGGTCAGTGCTTTCAAACATGCAGTTTCTGTCTGAAGATGACAACCTCTGTGCAGGCACTTCCCAGAACTACGTGACTCCATGTTAGCTGAGAGTCGAACTACTGTTCTTTCCTGCTGATGCAGCAGTCTCTCCCCTGCAAGACCTGTGGCAGATAGTTATTTCTGTGCAATTGCCCAGACTTCATCAAGCACTGAAGCAGACTGGACTCAGGAGATTGCTGGTGGGCTGGATGTCCCACTTTGAAAAACCCCTGCTCTAAGTCCCACTGTATGTCCCTAACATAAAGCATTTAAAAAATAACAATAAAACCAAATCTCACTAAACTTGAAGTCAATTGCTCAGACTTTAGTATGTAACCATCTGCTTACCCATCCTTGGTCATATTTCAAGGTGATAATAATTTCTTAGCTAGATTTTTTTACATTTTGATTTAATAAAACATGAAATACGCACATTTAATCACTGATAGAGAACACCACTGAACTTTCTTCCAACGACTGCAAATGAGCCAGCGATTTACTCGCTTCACGAGCTCTGCTAAGTGATCTGGATCAGACTTCATTATCTGATCAAACTCTGCAAACTAAAGAATAAAAAAAAAAAAGTTTTACAGAGCAGGAGAACAGAGAGAATTAGACATTATTAAAGAGCATGTTGAGTGTATGCAATCATTATATCAGTTTCAATTACTTCAAGTAAGCAGGTACATCTAGCATTGGTTTATTCTTTGATGATAACAGAAATTACTACAGGGTTTTTTTGTTTAATTGATGTGCAACACTTTGCATTTTGAATAATCCAACAATTTATTAACCACTAAAAGTATTTCTTGCCACAATTCTCTCTATATCCTGAATACCTATTCTGGCCTTCCACAACTTTGAGACATGTATCTGAGAAAAAATAAAGCCCTGAAAACACTTCTTAATTTTCAACCTTTGTATATGAATCCAACTACAGGCAACCTTTTCTGAAAATCTTGCGCTATTACTTTTCTGTTATTATGGCAGGAAGAACATTCTTCTGGGACTACAATAATTCTCCTTTCCAGTCACAACAGCTCCCTACTTCATCTTTCTCTGCATAGCAACAGCAATGCTCAAAATCACAGCAAGAGTTTTCAGCTATGAATAGATTTTACTGGAAAATACTTTTTCTTTGCTCTGACTAGCTCTTTTTAATAGTCAACATAAGTCTTAAGTGACTGGTAGCACATCTGGGAATACAAATATTGCATTAGGAATTGAGCAGCATTAGCAACAAGACTATGAAACAAACTAAATCAGTATTAATACTGGCTTTTTTCATAGAAAATGAACACTATTTACAAAAAACCTTGGGCAACCTTATTTAAGTTGGCCACACTTTTAGCAATGCTCTGAGCAATGTCACCTTCAGAGGTCCCTTCCAACTGAAATTATACTAAGACTTATATTCATGAAGTCCAAGAGAAACATTACCTTGCCAGGTCTAAAAAACACCTTGGTTAGCCCAAATTTGTAATCATTTTCATTCAGTCCCAAGGCTTTAAATAGTGCCTGAAACACCAAAAACAGTCAGGATTATATTTTGCCACCACTCCTCACCCTCCCCCGATACATTTTCTGTCCTGGATATTATAGGTGAAGAATTTGTTTCTTACCTTGCAAAACAGCCTAGGATCCAGTCGAGCCAATTTTTCAGGCAAGTATTTCTTGTACATATTATATAGTTCATGAAATGAAGCTCGTGAAGGGAAACCACCTTGCATCAAATCCAGAACTGACACCATTCCTAAATTCATAGAAACACATGCGCAAAAGCTGGTATCAGTAAAATGCAAAGGAAGCAGTGACTTTTATTATAACCAATAGTTTATGATGTAAGCCTTAAATATTGTTCAGAGATTAAATCACAAAGCTCAGATGGGACTTGATCTAGACTCTAATGATCATGTGATCATTCACAAAAGGTTAATACTGAACAGATAAGAAAAGCCCATATGATCTTCTTTCTATTGGAGAGGTAACACCCAATCTAATATTTCTCCTAAATATTTTTTCTTTTTAGCAGAATTGACATTTTTATTTTTAAAATAAAATGAAAAACAAGCAAATAATGCCCAACCGGGCTTTTCTTTCCATCATGTCAATGATATTTGTGAGATGTGGTGCAAATGCAATATCAAATACATATGCAGTGCTTGCTTTAGTGTGTTTGCACTGCTAGGTATCAGCTGCTAAGATGTAATTTTAATGGTGTTAACCCGCAGAAACCTACTACTAGGGATGTTAATGCAATTTTAATTGCTGAAAAATTGTTAAGCTTTTGTGACGATAACGTGACACGTTAAACACACGGGTTGGTCAAACCATCAGCTGCAGAACCTGGAAGTATCTTGACTTCAAAAAGAAAAAACATTAAGCGCAAAAATTAAGCATAAAAATACAGAAAAGCAGAAAAATAGTACTATTCAACTCTATCATAATATTTAATAGATCAAAGAAAACAGGTATGTTTCAATTATTAGGTATTTCAGCTATAACTGACTGCCCCTAAATGCACACGTTTCTAACACTTCACTTGCCACAGTGATTTAAAGGGATTCTATTGTTCTGGACTGTACTGCTGCCCTACTGACTTTGTGGGCAACATGAAGAGAAGGGGTTCAACTCCGCCTTGGGAAATCTAAATTTATGCACCAATATATGGCTATATGGCTTCTTACACAGGCACTTTGTGGCTAAACTCTCATTATAATCAATGGAAAAGCAACCAATGGAAATTACACCAACTCTTCTTGTGAAGAAGAGACATTATGGCTGTTCAGATGAATTATTTCTAGGGCTCTACTGACCGAGAGCTAACTTACTAAGAACTAAAGTTACCAAGAATCTAAATAACTGTTCATAAGACATAAATAAGCTACCTTCAAGAAATCAACTGTTCAAACTAGGAAATTATTGCTTCCATCTCACATATTTCAAACTTAGGTCAATCTATAATACCCAAAGTAATAAACAGAAGAAAAACATTACCTGAACACTGAAGCTGAGAAAGAATCTGTCCTCCTTCAAAATGGTGATTTGTCATCTTTAAATTAGGTTTGATACAGCGAATAAAGCTAGACCCCTATTACCAAAACAAGAATTTAGAAGAATCTACACATTTTAAACCTTCTGAAATAGCAATTCATCATTTAAGAACTGGGGGGGAGAATGAGATACAAAATAATAGTATTTTAATAGAGAATTGCTGACGTTCTTTTTCTCTCATATATCAGTTTTGCACCCTAGCACTGGTCTTGATGTAACTGATCTCAGTGTTCAAGCTATTAATTGGACCCTCAACTTTAGAGTTTTCACTCAACTGTTCTCCTTAACACTAGCACAATCTAATTACAATTTAGCAGTCTAGATTCCACTACCCTCATTCCCTTCTACAGGCACAAAACCTAAATGCCTCAGTCTTCCCAAGTTCACGTTAGTGAACATCCTGCCAGCTCCCTGACACTGGGATCACACCAGACGAACCTGACCTTCCTTTCTCCTAATTTTTACTTTTTATAATTTCTTTTGGCACAGCTTCTCTCTCCCTTCATGTTGTTCTAGTCTGCTCCTCTTTTAGCACCATGTGTGCTACCTCTACAATTTTGACCATTGCTTTGTCTGATCATTTCACATTCATTAAGGATGATATTTTTGCAAAACACCACCCAATTATTCAGATTTTCTTGCAATAGGTGGCTGTTAAAGGTAACTTATATACTAAAACTAAATTGGCACTTAGAAAACTGGTTTGCAGTGCCTTCTCTCTTTTTCCATCTTTCAGCTGAAAGACAGCACGTGCCAAGGGAGCTTGTCTTAAAAATACACCCTCAGTCACAGGTTAGCTAAATTCAGAGTACAGCAAGCCTGGCCACATACTTTTTTTCCTAGATTGGGTCTCAGTTACAGAGTGTTCTGTGTTAAAGAGATCATCTTTCTTTCAGACCAGCCTTACGAATACAGTAAAATCTTAGTTTCCACTACACTCCAGCACCTGTACCATTTGTTTCCCATGTTTCCCCCCCACACTTTCTTTTTTTTTGACAGGGCATAACCTTTTATCTAAATTTATTAGAATATGCAATCAAGAACAAGAAGAATGTGTTCCTACAACTCCAAATTCTGAAAAAAAAATGGGCATGTTGAACTACATTCCACAAACTCTCAAATTACATCTGCTAAATTAGCAAATATTCATTATGGGAATCTGGGTTTTTTTGACCATATGTGCATTTACAACCTAACACAAAAGTGAAATGAAACACTTTATTTTTAATGGCTTTACTGAATCTGAAAACAGTTAATAGTAAATTATCATCATGTTACTTCTACATAACATCTCTAAACCTTCTGCAAATTAGTTAGTCATCAGTGATAAGCAGTGAATGGAAGGAAGTAAAAGTGACAAAAAAGGAGACTGCAGCCCACACAGATTTCATATTGTTTACCCAAATTGTGTAAATTTCATTCTACAACTTTTTTAAAGGGGGAGAGGGAGAATGGGTGAAGAGGGGGGAAGGGGAAGGGAAGAGGGATAAGTAACTCAATAAACATCACCAGCACAGGAAGATGTTTCAGAAGCGTCATATAACATCAAACGCTAAAGCAATTACTTATCACATTTATTGTAAGCCATGTTGTTTAGATAATCTATTATGACATTATTTCAGAAAATTATTAGCCTGTATCTGCATATATACTTACAGTACTGTGAAGCTTCTCAAGAAGCAAATTTAATTGTGTCTGCAAAAGAAAATAGGTATTTCAAGAGGCTTACTACAACAATTACAGAAACATGCACACAGAACAGTGGTACAGCATTACTGCATGCATGTTCATTGTTAATATATCAGACAGAACTGATAAACGTTCACAAATTTTAACAGACAAAATCATGCAACAGTTCATGAATGGTCTTGCGGGAATTGACTGTGTTTTAACAGTGCAACAATACTGTATGGACTAGTTACTTACCACGAAATAGTTATAAAAAAAGTGCAAGCCCATGTGTGAAATTAAAGGAAATAATTCCTATACAATACAATTATAAAGAAACTGAGACTGATCAGCAATAATTAAAAGAAAAACAGACTTAAAATTTATTGAAGCCCAAATTTAATCTATAACAAGCACATATTTGTATGTTAAGTAATTAACATAAAAAGCAGGTATGTTCAGAGTTTTCTTGGGTTTTTCTGAAGCTAAGACAACATTTATGTGAATGAACCTGCATAATATATTTTTATTCCAAACTTCCAAATTTTTAATACTGTTGATGACAATAGATTATAATTTTAAAATCACATTTACCAAAGTTTCATTTAAACATACAATCATGATAAAAGACCACAGTCATATAATTATCTGGGGGCAAGTCTACAGGATTTCCAGGGACTTAATACTACCAGAGAAAACAAGTTTCAGTTGCTATTGAATGTAACTGTTAGGGACTTAAAATATTCCAGAACCACATCAGGAAAACGTCTATACTTTTACTTTACAGATGTGTCTGCTTCACCCCATTGATTACTGCTGTGCCAGCCTTTCTAGTTACCAGCAAGCTTTAAATATATATAGACTGAAGTAAGACAAAATTCTGTATGTCCTAACATATTCCTCATTTTCCATACTGGAACCAAAATTGAAAGAATCTGACTTTTGACTGACATTTTTAACCAGATCTTTCAATTACTTTGAATCCAAGAAACCAGATTTGTATGGGCCATATGCATCACCTACAGCTGCCAGACATCCTTCCAGTGGATAAAATCGGTTTATTTAAAGTATCATGGTTAGAAAAAGAGGAGTGCCACAAGAGGCATGACAAACACTAATAACCTCCTGCTCAGTTCTCACTTACACGTACTGTTTATATTTTTACTTGAATATAATCTTCATGTTTTCTTGAATTAAAAATACTTAATTTTGAAAGGGACAGCCTGATTTCCATCAAAAAAAAAAAACAACAAACCACATTTCTGCTAGAGGCAAAATACCCCTTCCTTATACTCTGTGATTTGACAAGAAATAAGCCAGTCATTCTTAGGTAAATTTCACTAATTAAATGATCATATGAATAAAACATTCTGCTAAAACTACTGCTCTTTGAATTATCAAGATTTAGTCCATCATTACCATAGTAAGATAAAATCATCCCAAAGATTCTTGAGTAGATCTGATTAACTACTTAATCATTATTCCCTCAAATCATTCATGAGAATTTTAATTAGTTATAAGGAAGGGATGTGTGAAGGATTTCATAAAGAGAAGTCTCTGCAACATCATCTAATAATTTATGCAATTAGAAGAATTTGAGACAGACTGATATAGTGGTAAACAAAAATTCTTATTCTTAAAGGGATGAAATTTCTAATAAGATAACAGAACTCATTTTGATTTCATCTGAAGTGAAACAGTGAAATTTTCAAGGCTATTAGTGTTCATCAGCAGCACGTGTTGTGTCTGGGAAGGTAATACTAAATGCATTACTGGAAGTAACACATACATTCAAAATGCCATGAAGCTTGAAAACATTGAAAGAATTAGATTGATGGGCCAGATCCAAAGAGGACTTCAGTCATGCTCGAAGTGAAGAGGTGAACATCCAAAGTCCAAAAGGCAATCCAAAACATTCCCCACTCAATTGCTGCTTAACTTAAAAAAAGTCTCCCTTTTCATTTCAGCCCTCCTTGGACTATGGTATCATTCACATGTCTACATCTACTGTACGTGGGGTGCTAAATATAAGAGGAACCCAGATGTAAGAAAGTAGAAACTATACCACAGAAACCACAATTGGTTTCATTTTGAAAATTCAATAATAAAAAACAACGGATCCTAGCTTCACCCACAAAAGACTCATGGTGCACGGTTTGCTCAGGAGATGGCTTATTTTTATGTAACTCCATTGTTCAGTCTGCATTCTGATCACATATTTTATATTAAACCAATTGCTACAGTCTAATTCTACAACTGCTATATAATAAAAAGGAGGATGAAATAATCATCAGAGCAAAACTCAAGAGAGCAGGCTGTCCAATTCCCAGTTAAATACCAAAACCCACTACAAGCAGGCTCTGCCTCTGGCTCCTAGTATTCCTGGCCCCATGAAAATTTTACTTCTGGCTACACAGCAACCCATCTGCAGAAAGGTCTAAAGAGAATTCTCTTTGGCAGAGTGAGCAATAACTTGGTGCTACAGGAAATACAACAGACATAAAACACTGAATAAAGTACAGACCTTAAGCAGAATCCTGTTTCTACACAAAAAGCAAGTGCTGCTATCATATACTTCCCATTCTTCAACCCCTGCGTTATTAGAAAAGAGTTCTAAACAGTAGCCACAAGATACAATTATGCAAGTAGGAATTTATCTTGCCATCCTGATTCAGCAGTTAACCTTGACATGGAGCAGAAATGCTTCTCCGCATAGAGTAAGCAGCGCCCCACTTCAGAGGAAATTCTGGACTGTCTAAGATCTGCTCTCCACACAGTCTGCGAAAGAAGTCTAGCTAGGAACATAATGCGGGGTTTTGGGTGCCCTAGGTAAGGTAGCATACCAAAAATGGTGCAGCACTTGACTTGAAAGGATACAAATCCTTCATTGGATCTGGCCCAGATGTGTTGAGAAGAGCTCTTGCTGGAATTGCAGCAGCTCTACCAACAGTAAATCCATGAGATTGAAAAATTTACCTGCAGCCCATGCTTGTGCCTGCTTTTCATCTCTTAATTCCCCTATAGTTCTCTTTCTAGCCATCCTGAGCTGGAATAGTCCAGCTAAAATAAAGCTGATGAATGAGAAAATGATGCAGAAAACATTTGGAGAAGACAAGGTTTGAAGGTCAGCTTTACAACAAGCAGAAGAAAGGAAAAAATGAGGAGAAGCATCAGATTCAGGTATTGAGAAAGGAAACATTCAGCACAATGAACATCCTTCTGTGAAAGCCATGACTACCTTTATGCTTACAAGAGGAAAAACAGTAGTTAGGTTAGGTACTGAATTTTGAGAAGGCAAACTGTAGCCAATCAATATATCTTCTAGAATGCACAATTAAGGAGGAAGAAAGAATAACTTTTCTCACATTTAGAACTGCTTAAAGTCCACAAAATCTAAATTTAGATCTCAAGATTTGAGATCTTCCTTGTGGATTCGCAAAATTCCCACTGAAAAACTACTGTATAATCTCTGTAAGGACTATTATGAAACATCTTTCTAACAGAAAGACATAGCATGTAGCTCAAATATACTGGTTTCTTATAATTCAATAGAAAAAAACATCCATTTAACGGAATTTTCTTTATTTGAATCTCAAGTTACCACTAGTTCTCCCAGCCTTAGGTTCTGATTATGTCAGTTAACTTAAAACTAGCAAATACTACAAGAAGATTAAGATCATTTGCTATAACTGTTACCTTGAATTTGTTTCCTACACTGATGAAACTAAGTTTCCCAGCTTTTTGTCTGGGATCCTTGTTGTTGTTGGTGTTAGATTCAAACAGCTGTCGAACAAACTTGTCCTTGGATTCACATATAAGAGATTCAAGGGACATGTGCAAAGCATCGTTGTTTTTTTCCACAAATTGCATCTGAAAAGACAACCCAAGAAATAACAGCACGTTTGCTTCACTGCCCCAGTTACTTAAGTTTTAAAGAAAACTAAAAGAAACTAGCTAAATATGAGATTAAAAAATCGGCAAGAATATGTGGGGTAAATATTCATACATTAGTTCAAACAACTTTTCAACTGGGCACACAAGACACTTTGGCAGAGAGAGAATATATATTCTTAAATTTGAAGGATGTTGGAATCATGAAACCCAAGGTAAGGTTTAGTGCCTTTTAAGAGATGAGTTGTGTTTTTGTCAATGATTATCCTCCTTGTTTCCATTTCCAGCACTCAGCATATCATCGCTTGGGAGTTGTGAGAAGCTTAATTCTTCACTGCTTGTAATATCACTTAAGATCTGTTGTGAAATGAGGATTAACATGCACACTTTAATTGGTGCATTTACACAATTTGGAAAGTGAAATGAAAAATGGATAGTACTATGATTATTTTAGAACAGTTGATTTCATAAAAGATATTGTCCTTTCCTACAAACCTTACCTCTCATGTTTATTTTGAATTGGCTTACCTAATTTTAGAAGTTAAAAAAATGTTACACAGACATTCTGAGATCAAGACACTACTATGCAATTCCACACTAACAGAATTCTCAATAGCTTTTGAAGCAACTTTAATAGTTACTTTGGTAATTATGAACAGAAGAGGACAAGGCTAATTTGAAGAAAATACGAATTTGTCAGGTATCACATGAAAGGATTTAACAGGGATGAGAATCAAAAAACACAGGCCTCTAAAATTTCCTTGGACTATGAAAACACCAGATCGGACTCTGAATGCAGCCAGCTGAATGTCCTCACCACAAATCAAATTGTGAGAATTGCCTCAAATGCATTGAGAAAGAGAAACAACAGGTGAGGTACAAGGTAGCTATAGTCGAAAAGTTTTAAGATCCAGGCTAAGAAAGTTCCTCTGCGGAAAGGAATAAATTAAGTCAAGCATATTAGCATAGCTTCTGGACCAAAGCTACCTCATATCTGATTCACTCTGACAGCACAGCTTATGTGCTCGTATCTGGCTTCTCTGTTCCTGAAGACACTCCAAGGTAGTATTAACATATCATGATGAGATACACAGTTAAATATAGAGCACCAGGAAAAACGTGTTCCAATTTTATTGATTATTTTGACACTGACTCACTCAGTGACCTCAGAAAAATGAGGTAGGTTACACAAAGACTTCAATTTTCTTATCTGTAAAATGACCCTACAGGATGTGCCTACTTCTAACAGCACAGCAATCATTATAATTCTTGGAGTGCTTTGAAGCACATATGAAGAAGTATGCATTTTTAAATGACAAAAAAGCCATCTCTGGAAGTAGCTTTGCTCTTACACACTGGAGTAACAGACCAGAACAACAAAATAATTATGGATCTTCTGTTTATCCTAAAACCTGGTATTTTTAAAGTAAGAGTTCAGATATTGGCTTCAGGTGTTTCAATGTTTTTGAATATATCTGTATTTTGAGGATGGCAACTTCAGGTATTTTGTCAGACTGTTAATTTGAAAGTTAAAAGAAACAGTCAATTCTGTCACATACAAAATTAGTTTCAAATCTAAGACATCAACTTTGGAATTTCTCTTCTGTGAAATTAAATTTTATTATTTAACTGAAAAATACAAAAATACTACAAAGCATAACAGAAATAGTTTTGCGAAAGTAAACTTACAGTCTCGTAGCATACTGCTCCTGCAAAATGCCGGATAATAAAGCCTTCATCATCTCTGATATTTCTGTGAACAGCCAATTTAGACTTTCTAGGAATCTGCAATTTAAAAATTGAATTACAAAGAAGAATTACACTGGAGAATGAGAAAAAGTTGATTCTTAAAACATCACCACAACTTTGTCAGGAGCACTAGGTTTTAAAAATGCCACTTCCTGCAGTACAATTATGTTGACCACTGACCTTCCCATTCAACACAAGATACTCAAAAACCTGCTTTCATTTTCATTCTCATTCACACCCTTAAGATACCTCACATTCAAAACAAAGGTCACCAGGATTGTTAACATTAGGTTTTGATTTTCTTTCTGCCTTTAACCAACGATTTCAACACCATTCATTTCACAGCTGATGAACAGCCTTGTCATATGAACAGGATTAGACGGAAATTGAAATTATATGTTTAGATGCTATATTTTAAAAGACAACCACCTACCTGATCATACACATAGAGACAAAAATGTTTCATTGCACAGCAATCTAGTTAAGCAAGATTAAGTGGGAATTTAACGAAAGATAAATGGAAGACAATTTTATATAGCTCCTTTTGCTTGCATTTTTCAGCAGGGAACAGAGTTTTGTTTTGTTTGGGTTTTTTTATTTTGCATTTCAACAGAAGTAATGTAAATTGCAATAATTTGTATGACTACTCCACAAGGCGCTGTATGTTGAAGAATTAACAACAAAAGGTTTTGCTTGTTTTCCTTATTTTCATCTGTGAAGTGCTAGCTAGACACTCCATGTGAGTCACATATTCTCTAAAGCAAGCAATTTTTGAAAGGAACAACAAAACAGTTCATAGTAGATATGAAATAATCTAAATTAAAATGTGGCTTTATTTCCTTTTCATGCATTACATGTTAATAAGCTCCAAGTATCAGTGAAGAATATGGCTTTAGCTTCAGCAGGAAATAAGAATTGCTACTTAAGCAAGACTTAAGCCTTCAGTGAACTTTTTAACAAACTAATAACTAAACTTGGCTTTAACAAAAGGATATGGATTGTGCAAACTGGTCTGGTATGAGATTTCTTAGGAAAGGTTTTCATTAACTTGGAAGTGTTACTTTCAACTGTTCCAAGAACTATTTTATTAAAACAAGACAGCAAAAATAAACCTACAGAGAGCCTGAAATGGTCCTTGTGTTTTTGGTGCACAACTGAAGTAAAATGCTGGTCGCTTGGTTGGGGAAGACGATTTTCTTCATCCAGAATATCCAGTACACCTATTAATTTTGCTTCAATCAAATCTATCAATAAAACAAAATATATTTACAAAATTTGTATATATAAATTCATATCAGAACTGAACATTACAAATTTAAAATACTACTTATTCAATTCTGTATAAAGGTATCTAGAGAGAGCTGTGAACACAAAACACAGAAAGTAATTTCAAATTAATTCTACATATCCGAATTGTTGATTTAATCTATGTCCTATACATACCAAGTTCTAAGTCTAACACAAGCAATGTTGGGGAAAAAAAAGGCATGGATTGTTTTGTTTTTACTCTTGGTCTCAAGTTTAATTTAGTCATCTAACTCCCAAAAGGTGCCAAAATATTTCTAATGGTTGTGTGGTATAACTATAGGTCTTTATGTGGTAATTGGTTATCCCACATCCTAAAACAATAAGCATTACAAGGCAAATACTTCCATTCACAACAAGACCCAGGAAGAAGAATTAAATGCATTTAAGAAAAGCAGATCAGACTTTAGCATACAGTAGTGGCTTCACAACTTTTTACAAGTAACTTTTCACATACATATACAAAAGCCCTTGAAAGCTCACATAAAAATTCATGCCCTTGAAAATATTAGACACAAGAATTTTGCAGCTTTTAAAACTTTTTTGTATTATCTATGAAACTGTTATTGTAAGAGGAATTTTTACTACCCAGTTTTCTTCTGTGGGAAGGAAGAAATAATACTTGTACTGCAGCAAGGCCTGCGAACTCTCACCACAGACTTTAAACAGTATGAGGCTATATATAAAGCACAGAGACAGCTTCAAAGCAAAGAATTTATACTCATAAAATCTGAATAAGCTAATTTAGCTACAGACAATATTTTTCGCCAGACACCCTTACATGCTTCTTTATTTACCCTATTTAGGGGTTCCACTTAGTTTTCTAGGAAAATGCACAGGAAATTCAGAAGTCCTAGCTGCAGTTAACACACACTGTAGGACAACATGGCTCTATTACTAACCAGAACTAGAATGTTATACAAAGCTGGAAGAATTCACAAGGTTGCAAGTCATTATAAGCATCAAGTTACTAGTACTATGTATATCTTGCTTTTTCTCCTTGAAGCTTTTTCCTCCATGACACTAATGAATAGCTCAACATTTCAAGAAGTACATACCTATACAGTCCTGATTATCTACATAGCGCACTTCATTAACCCCCAGGCCTTCCTTTTGGTAAAGTTCTTGCTCCTAAGAAAGGAAAAAAAAAAGTAATTGAAAAGATAAAGCACCATTCAACATATGGATGCTTCATTTTAATGGATGGTAAAAAAGAAGAGGAAAAAAGACTGTTGCTTTTTAAAGAGCTGTATTATTTTCTGACACAACTAGATGTCACACAGTAGGAAAGCTGTCAGCTGATTTTTTTTTAATCTAAGCATAATGTGCAGTCATACTGAAAGCAGTGCTACTTTAGGTATCTCCCTACTTAAAAAAATAAAGCCTCAAATATAAAATTAAACTTACCTCTTTCAGAATCCTTTCATTAAAAAACTGCTGCAGTTTTTCATTACAGTAGTTAATACAGAATTGCTCAAAACTGTTGTGTTCAAAGTATTCTGAAAAACAGAAAATAAACTTCTATGATAAACCAGTGTTCCAAGAACTTACAGTAAAGAATAAATAAGAGAAGCTTCACAGTACTAGTACTTGAAGATGTATTCAGATCCACATCACTTTTCTTTCAGTAAAACACAAGCTTTCACAGATTTTCAAGTTGTGAATAAAACAGATATAAAAATACTGCAACAGATCATATTTCCAAGACAAATAACAGCTTTATCTGGCAGCAAACCAAAGCAAGATGCTATCATACAGTAAAACTGTACAAATACATCCTCACCCATCCATGCTACAACAGGCTTGCATAGCATACCATAGCTCTAGAGACCCGAAAACCAAAATTTCCTTGGTTCATTCTTTATGGACCACCTTAGCAGGGTGAGAGCACACCATAAAACATGCCCTAATCTGAAAACATACCCCTAAAACTGGACAAAAGCTTTCCAGGAATGACCAATGCCCACCACTTTCTTGGAGCAACCAGAAGCCCAAAGTCCAAATCTGTAACAGCACTATCCACCCTCCGGGAAACAGTATCTTAATTTGGAGACTTCATTTGGCTGTTAGTATCCAGTGATCTTCTCAGGACGGAACGGGGAAAGAGCACGCACATACAATATGTTTCCTAATTCTACTAGCTAGCCACAGTTCCAAATTATTAGTCCTTCAAAATCTGCGTGTATGTAGACATTACAGGAATCTGAAACCATTACAAAGATGCTTAGTTTCACACTAACGCTTGTTAGTGTTATTAGGTCACCAGGAGAAGCTCTAGACCTCCTCTACTTTCTTGGGTCTCTGGAAAGCGAAACTTTAACTGCTCTCTTGATCTTTTCTTAAGTCCCTGTAACTTATCCCCCCCACAACCACCAAAAAAAACCACTCCCACTCTCCATTGCAAAATTTATCACTGAATCTTTGGTGGCATTAAAAGACAACAAGAAATTAATTTGTATTTTTTATACTTACCAAAACCAGCTATATCTAGAACTCCAATGAAGAAAGAAGAAGTCTCAAATGGAAAACACTGGTTTACCCTATTCACTACATGGTCAAACAGATGACTATACACCGTTTTAGCCAAGGCATCACGAGCGTTGTTTGCTTGTTCCACTTTCAAGGGTACCCTAAAAGCCAAAAATACAGATCTTATTTTTCAGAATTCCTTACTCTGTGTCGTGGTTTAAACCCAGTCAGGTAACTTGTTCACTCACTCCCCCCTTCTTTCCCTCCCCCTACTCCCAGAGGGACGGAAAGGGGAATCAAAAAGAATGCAACTCCCACGGGTTGAGATAAGAACAGTTTAGTAACTAAGGTATGACACAAATCACTACTGCTACCACCAATAATAACAATGATAAAGGAAATAACAAGGGAAGAGAATACATCACCTCACCACCAGCCAACCGATAACTCACCCCCCCCCCAGCCTGACCAAGCACCAACCCATACCTCCTCCAACCCTGCAGTCTCCCAGCCCTTCTGGCTAACTCCCAGTTACATCCTGGGCATGATGTGCTGTGGTATGGAATACCTCTTTGGTCAGCTTGGATCAGGTGTCCTGTCTCTGCTACCTCCCAGCTTCCCCTCCTCCCTGGCAGAGCATGAGGCTCACAAAGTCCTTGGTCAGGGTAAACATCATTGTTATCAGCTCTGTTCCCGAGCTGAAAGTCAAAACACTGCACTGCACCAGCTACCAAGAAGGAGAAAAATGACTGCTACTGCTGAACCCAGGACACTCTGAAATACTGAGCTTGAACCCTAAACTTAAAAAGTCTAATTTTTGTATATATATAAAAAAAAAAAAAATAAAAAATAACACCACCACCACCCCCCCCCCCACCAAAAACAAAAAGGAAAAATAAAACCTGAGCTGTAGGCCTAGGTAGGAAACAATCTTGCCAAGTTAACCTAACTATCCTACTTATACACATAAAAAAGAATTTTTCACTATCCTCAGCAGAGGCAGAATGCAGATGTTTTCATACTTGTTTATTAGATAATTAGAAACTATATTGACAATTATCAGAGAAAGATACTTAAAAGTATATACAGCTCCATCTACAAAAAACACTTCAGCTATTTATTTCTGAGGTGCCTCGTTACAATAAAACCTATAGTTCAATTTTGCTCTGACATCTTTGTCCCTGTGCTTTCATAAGGGCTGTAACTAAGGTTATAAGGCTGTAAGTTAATCACCAATATGTTAAAAAACATAGATAAGGGAGTGTGAAAGTTAGATGCAATTCCAAAATAAGGACTCTTTTAAAAGACTGGAAAGAGAGGCCTTTTAAGAGATGATAATTTATTCTCTCTCTCTTACTCATAAACCTTTACTCTGCATTGTGATTATTTATTACAAGTCTATATCCCAGTTTAGCAGTCAAAAAAAAAAAAAAAAAACAAACACCCCCTCCATCAAAAAAACACACACACACACACACACACAAAAAAACAACAAGAATAAAAAAAACAAACCCACACACCAAACAACAAAAAACCCCACCACCCAACCCCTACAAGTTTTCTCATTTTTACCCTTCCAATTCTCTCCCCCATCCCGCTGGGGAGAAATGAGAGTGCAGCTGAGTGAGGCTTAGCTGCCAGCTGGGGTTAAACCATGACAACAGCTTACTGATACTGCATCATTTCCTTCACTTCCCAGAATTCACAAGCACTAAACTAAGTCATATTTATTATTTCTTTATTTTTCAAGGATGGTACTTCTGATAGAGAAACATGAGACTGATGGATTTCTATTGTGACTTGTGTTAAGTCAGGGAATCAGACTCCGTTCACTAAGGACGCCTGCAGCTACATTACATTTGATAGTAATTAGCTTTAACACACAATCTTGTCTTCCGATAAGTATCTCCTGACTTATCTTAAGGTAACAAGTACTGACAGAAATCTTATCTTATAAATAGAAAGAAGGTACCTTTACATTCCATTCTGATACGTTTAAGAGATCAGAATACTAATTCCCACACGTCAGCTGCAGGCCTATTACATAATACAATACACTAAAATCATTCATGCTTTCCATTTACTTTTTTTTTTCCTAACAACGCAGCAAACAGTCATACTTCTAGAGAACGTATTTATCAAACAGCCCTGTTCTTCAAAAATATCATATTCTGCCATTATTAAGGAGGACTCCAGAGGCTGCACAAAACCTTATTGTTAAATTTCATAGTATGCAGCAGAAATCTACAGAAAGTAAATGTATCCCTGCAATGCATTTTGCACAGCTGAAAGTACAGAATCACAAAATAATGCTGAAATCGCATTGGGCCAGGAAATACAAAATAGTCCTGTTACAGGAGTGACATTCAGAACAAGTAACTTCCTTCTCATGAACTTGCTCCCAACTCAGCTCCTCCTTTCCTGTGGTCTGCACACTAACAAAGGAATCTCTTTTGTCTTCCTGACTGACCAGGAAAAAAATACATTTTCCTATCTCCGTTTCACCTTCTCCCTTCATCAGCTACATGTAAGGAATAGGGAAGAAATTTTACTAAATTCTGAGCCATTTGGTAAGGTTGCAATAAAAACAAAACAACAAAAAAAACCCTCAACTTGTTTGGTTTTCATACTAACTTATTCATCGTGTTTTCCAGCAATCCAAGGAATCTGAGGCCTAAGGGAAAGCATTCTCGTGGGCTAGATTTATCCTGTGGACAATTCTGCGCAGTACCCAAACATTTTCTAGAACACATAAACTGCAATTAAAATAGGCACAATTTGCCCATGGTTGACAACAATTAAGGGAGAGAAAGCAGCTGAAGTGACACCCATCAATTACTGTCATCCAGTAGTTACTGCTTCACAAATAAAATGGCCTGGATGAATTAACCGTACCTAGTGAAAGGCCTACATAACTAAAGAATATAAGCAGCACATTTGTAATTTGAGAAAAGTTCCGAAATCTGTAGAAAAACCTCTTCTTTTTAACACAGTACTTTTCCAACAGAGGCTTTGGTACCACTATCCAAAAAAATTGCATTTTGGTAGAAAATGTACTCCAAAAGGAGCTGGAAGATCAGGAGTGATGTAAGTTAAATTTTGCACACTGTAAAATAATTTATGATGACGGAAACCTTTTTGAAAGTCTTCTTGGAAATGGAGAAACTGAGCAAAAGAGGAGTACAGCGCATTTACAGTCTAAGAGGTGTACTGGATTTTGAATACTAACACATAATTTCTGTATGTAAACATACTTCACATGGATGGCAAAAACATCAGCCAACATTATGCTCTTTCTGGGAGACTAACAGGGACAGATAAACACAGTGCAGCTGTCAAGTGTCCCTGGTAGTCCACTGCACATTAGTATCTAATAAAAGTCAAAGAGACAGTATTTAACATCACCCTCCTACTGTTCCTTGTTGGCTCCATTGTGCCCAGCAGAACAAAACCTTTGTTATACTCTAAGCAGTGATTTCAGCTGAGCTATTCATTCACTGTGACCTGCTAGGACTCACATGATCTACTTGCACACAAAAGGTCCCTAAGAAAGAGAGCAAAATGAGTAGCTCTTTGGGTTGATGGAACAAAATAAAACAATGTACTTGTCAAAACCCTAATATTGATGGCAATCAAATAATTTAGAAACTATTGCTACTGTGGAAAACCTGGTGGCTCTTTAATAAACATCTAAAACATTATAATCCACTTTCCTTGCACATGCAGTAAGGCACACGAGAAAAAGATATTTGTGTACTTGTTAGCATATGTTTGCATTTAGCTGCACAAGTTTAGAAAAGGCTAGATAAAGAGGCTTAATGCATTAATCCTTTGAGATAGTGGAAGGAGTCCTCTGAATTAATTTTTGCTATTCACAAAATAAAACATTGGGGAAAAATGAAGTAGTTCCACAGGAACATAGCTTCTTGTGCTTGCAGACTTTTGAAACAGTACACTGCTAGCAATGCCCCAGGCTTTTCAGGATAAATATGCTGAACAGAAAAATCTTTACAGTCTTAACCCAAACTGAATTTGAAGCTGTATCAAAAAATGAATTTGTTCTTAAGAAACCTTCCTTGACAGGGTTACTTGAGATGTGGTGAAAGGGAAGCCATATATTATGAAAAACCTTTGCTTTAGTGCTTGCTGTGTGCCATCAAACATTCTCAAAGGGAAACTATACAGAAACACTTTGTATGTTATGTGTACAACAGACAAAACTAATCTGCTCTCAGAGGATGAGTCAACAGTTCACTGAAAGCATTTCCAGTGGGGTGCCATCTGAATCTGACATGGATATGATTTGTTCAACCCCCTTCTTCTTCCCATTAACACTTTCACTTAAAAGGAATACGAAAGTAAGGGTATTTGCAAAAAATGGTCTGGTAATACCGAACTAAGAAAGCAGAAAATCTTGGTAACAACATCAGCATACAAAATTATTTTCACAAATTGAAAACACAATCTAAAAATCCACAAGATAAATTTTGGTAAAGGTGTGTGATGGTATACGTAGGAGAATTCAAAAATGCAAATACAAGATGAAGATTAACCAGGTAAGCAGTGAGCTGTCAGAGAAAATGGATCACAAGTTGAATTAGGTAAAAAACGTCACTAACTTTCAAAACCTTCAATTGTCATACTGCCCTGTGTTAATATGAGCACCATCTGTACTGTATTATATATCATTTTCTACTCTTAATGTTGCCCATAATACTGCTAAAATTTATCCTGGATGAATACATTAATGATTTTGTGGTCAATTTAGACACGGTCTGGAAGACAGCAAACAGTAAAATCTGGAAAATACTGGCCACTGGAGGCACTATGACCTGCAAGACCCATGTCCTCCTACACATTAAAAATTGTTATAAGGCAAAAATTACTTGTAACTTTCTGTATCAGTTAATAAAGCAGCAAGAAGATAGTGACCAAGAGTCCTCAATTTCTAATAACTGAGGGGGAGAAGAGGAATTTATAACCACTTCCCAGTAATACATTATTGGATATTCTGAAGAGATCTAAATCTTGAGCTTTTAACTGAAAGCAGAATAACCGCTCCCCAGTCATTACTTACTATTTGTCCCGGCATTATAACTCTTTCCATGGTAGTCACTATGAAGTTCTAACTCTTGAACATCCCTTCTTTCAAAGTACAGAAATAAATAGACCACCAAAAAGCTACTTGTTTTCTCTACTAGAAATACACCCCAAAGATCAGCTATTTGGTAATAATGTCTTACTGGAACAACTACCTATACCCATGCTAAACTTAAGACTCCTGAATATGAATTAATTCAGAAGAGCTTCTGTGTTTCCTAAAAAAAAAAAAAAAAAACCATGATGGTAAAACAGCACAGACTGTCACTGATGGCTTACTGTGCTCCAGTTTTGGCCAGGAAGATCAGTTTCACCCTGCAGATTAGGAAGCAAACACTGAACAGTATTCCCATTAAAGCTATTGTATTTTAATTTATCTTTATTGGTTAGAATTAGGTAGAGTTCAAGATTACTTTTCCTTCACAGAATGAGTTCTTGACCACTGGAAACCTTCATTACTCAAATCCATTACATCACTTGAGAACTAAAAATGCTGATGCTCTCAAGTTCTCAAAGGTCCACTTTTCACCTCAGAAGTCCGACATAACTTAAGCATGCATTAACTAACACCTGACACCTTACTGGCCACAGTGACATAAAAAGGTTAAATCAATCATCTATTACTTTGTTTCAGTCCACAAGTTTATGATGTATTATCAAATACTTCATACTACAAGACATAAATTATAGTAATACATTTCAAAAGACATAAAATATGGGAAGAATTTATATATTCCACATTAATGCAGATAATTTTAACTTTCAAATATTAAACTTCTGGTATAATATGCATAAAGCTGTATTTCTGATTCACTAAAACAATCTGGTTGTTTCCACAAGTCAATAGGAAGTGCCTGTGCATTCTTCCAATGACTGACGTGAATGCCAATCGGCTTCTTTATTAAAAGACTAATGCATTCAGCTAAACATTGACAATTACTTTCAACATCCTTCAAACTGTTTAGCCCAAGTTCAGTTTTTGATGCGGTGTTTTCTTTACCTCCAGAAAATACACAACATAGAAACCTAAATGTTAAAAGACACAATTCAGTTGCATGCAGCTTAGCTGGTATCCCTGACAGCTTGCATGCTAGTGGGAGAAATCTCAAGAAGAAAAAATTGTGGTGGAAGTTAGAGGTTTCTCACTAGAACATAGGAAACATCTCCACATACAGAAAGAAAACACTACCCTAATTCTGTGCCTAGGCAGTTACCCTGATAATAGCTTCTTGACAAAATGAAAGGAATAATCACAATTTTTTAAGGTCATATTTACTTCAATAGTGATGCACTCATAAAAGCTACAGAAAAAAACAAACAAAAAAACCCAAACAAAACAAACAAAAAAACCCTTTCCCTTAAATTCATCCTGTTCACTACTCTTATTACAAGAAAGATTCATCCAAGTATCTTCTGAAATACTTCAGGCACAGCACTAACAATCCTTGACCTAGTGTACCTGTTAGATCTTCTAGCATATCTAATTTTCAATGTGAGCTACGGATTTAACAGGCTGATTGCTATGTTGGCCACACAGTGCACTCACTGGAACGTGAGGGACTTCATAAAATGTGATAGCGACTTATTCAAAGCTGTTTTTTTCTTGAAAATGAAACACACTTTAGTCAGTCATTGTACACCTGCCACTCTTCCCAACGAAAATGAAGATAATACTCCAATAAACTAAAACCAAGCAAGCCCAGGCATCTAAAAACATGCATTTGGACCAACTGCTTTGGGAAAATAAAAACAAATAATTAAGAAAAACCCAAAAAAGCTGTGTTAATAATTAGCCACCTCTAAATTATCGTTTGCGTGACGGAAAAGGATAGCACGTTGTTGCCGTTTTGAAGGGACGAAGGACGTGAGTCTGCTGCAGACTCGGATTTTTGTAGCACCATGGGGTTTGTATTTTTGTAAACCACTAAGTAAGCGACATGAACAGCTGCACTTGCGCTGACTGCAACTCGGTTAGTACTCGTCAAGAGGGAGTCTGAGCGCGTTTTTCCCGCTGGTACGGGAGGGGACGAGCCCCGTCGCAGGGGGCAGACCAGATCGCGGTGCGCTGTGGCGCGAAGCGAAGTCTAACAGATGGGAGAGGAGCTGGGCCGGTTGCACGGCCCCCGGCCCCGAACCGCACTTGCTGCAGACGCCCCTGTGAGCACTCCAAGGCAAACCCCCGCGTACGCGCGTCTCCCCCCGCCATCCCGGGGCCGCAGGGAAGGAAGAGAGGGGCGGCGCGCAGCACTCACTTGATGACCGTTCCTTTGGCGCCCCCTGCCGTGGTGAGCATGACGCGCGTGGTTAGGCTGCCGCGCAGGTCCTCCCGGTCGAGCCCCAGCAGCGCAGCGCAGCACTCCAGCGCCGGCTCGCTCCGCGGCCCCACCGTGCAGCCCCCTGCGAGCAACAAGCACAACCCAGCTCCGCTACGCCGCCGGCACACCAGCACCGCCAGGCGCTGACCGAGGCGGGCAGGCCCTGGCGCGCTCGTCTGCTGTAAAGCCTACTCGCTAGGGTCAGTTCAACAGCTGCCATTTGGGCCGTTTTATAGGAAATTCTAGGGAAAAAACACTGAACTGGTGATGATCTTGTCATGGCGACTAGAAGTAACATCAATTTTAAAGGAATTAAAGATTGCCTCTGGAAATTAATTCCTGTATTAAATGTGAAGAGCCAGTTCTCAAAACCAAGAACCCCCAAAGCCAAAATAACAACCCAAACAACAACAAAGTAAAAAAAAAAAAAGTCAAAAAAAAAGCCAAATGAAAAAAAAAACCACCCCAAAACTATGTTCTAAGCATGAGCTGTTCAAAAGCTAAACTGCTTGTAAATGAAAGAACTACCCCAAATGCTAAAATGCTAATAAATACCTAGCAACTAACTGCAGCAATGTAACCGTCTGCATCTAGGTGTTCCTGCAATCCCCCAGACTTCCTTGCACTGCAACAGAAGCGCCTGGCGCAGCAGACTCCCAACACTTAACATTTTCAGATACTGGTATGTCCATTTTCCCAGGTAAACAGCAGGGAGGTGTGCTATCTTCTGCCTGGCACCACGGCCTCAGTGCCAGAGCTTGTCCAGCTACTACAGGTTTGTAACTCTCCAACTGAAGCACTCAAAACACTTCAGCAAAATCTAACACTTAATTACATGTGCCATGATTACGTTTCCTGTTGTTCTCAGTAAAATTTATTTCTACAGGTAAGTAAAGAGACCAAAAGGGATAGACAAAAAACTTAAACACTATGTGAAATCCTTAGCTCTACAATGACACTAAGAAAAAAAAAATAAAAAGAAAAGGTAAAAGGAGTCCTTAAAAGATTGAGGCTTTTGTGGCTTGATTTTGGAAGCTCTGAAACACCATTTGTCCTGTAGTAACCAGCTTTTGTTTGGTGTTTCCCAGGTTTTTGAAGCAGCAACAGGACTTCAGAGGGTCTCTGCTAAGAGACACACTGCCTGGAGCTGTGCACCCTGTGTGTACACATACAGTGTGAGAGCAGAATACAGCCTGTATTTGCAATGAACATTTCAGAAGTTCAGTAACTTATTCCAGGGGGAAAAGGTTTGAAATTCCAAATTCAGAGAAAATAAGTTTTCTGGTATCCTCTTTCTCTTCTCTAAACCCTGACTTTCCTCACTCTCTGTGGTTCTTCCTCGTTTGTTTGCTTCCTGAAACTGTCTCTGCACTCACATTTGCACCCTCCTCACTCTGTCCCACCCTGTCAATCCCAAAATCCCAAATCACAGCTCAAAACAGGGAGCTCCCTGTCAGCTTACTGCTGAGCCCTGTGAAGCCACTGCTCTTCTCTACTCCGATGTTTTCCCAGGTTCAGTCACATTAATCATGTTCATACAAAGAAGATGGAGACATCATGAACTGATACTGGGAAGGTTCTGATTTGACCAAAGTGGGGAAAAAAACCCAAACCAGCAAACAAAAAAAAACCCCAAACAAACAATAAAACAACCCTCACCTCTGTGACAACCCTTCTCTGTGAACTAACCAGTCTGAATTCTGTATCGGCACTACTTTGTTGAGGACAAATTGGACTAGAGAGCTCCTACAATCTCTTCTGAGCAGAGTGTCTGTACAGTTCTGTGGTGACTGTGCTTGGGGGTAGGAGCCTGTGAATCAGGCTCGATTTACCATTCAAAAACCAGCTATACATACTTGAAGCAGGAGTAAGAAGAACCAATTTCACTGTATCTGTGTATCTTGAAGATAAATATCTACATACATATCTTTTCTACTATAGTTAGATTTGTAGTATATTCAGAACGCGAGTTTTTTCAGTCTTTCAGGAACCTGTGGACAGCAGTTCTTAACTTAGAGATGCTGATTTCAGTACTGAGGTAAAAACAACTGTTTCAAAAGTACTCATTCCCCCTCTCAGCTTTCCTGCACATTCTACTATTAAGTCTCAGTTACGCTTATACCAACATATCTTTATATCAAATTCCGCACTGAAAAATTTCTTGAACAATTTCAGTGAGAGCCTGTTTACTTTCAAAGCATGTAAAGAATTACAATTTTAAAATAAACAGGTAAACCTGACTTCAAAATGGAGTGAATTAAGACTAAATTACCCTTGAACACAAGGCAATTTTCTAAAGCAGTAATTCACGTGGAAGGGAATCATCGATAAACAAGAGACATTTTCAGTATTTTTACAGAAAACCGATTTGTTTTTTCTAACCTGAAGTGCTCCCAGCTTCCTCAAAATCAATATTTCCAAGGTGAAGGACACCAGCCACTACTCTAAAAAGATCAAGTTTTTCTGCATCATCCAGTCCAATCTTTTTCATTGCTGTGCACATTCTGTTGAAATCTCCATGATCATCTAAGAGTGGATCCTTCAAGGAACCCGCTTTGAGATACTATAAAATAACAAGATAAGCAAAAATTTCAGTAAGTGATTTTAAAGTAAATGCAATTATTACCAGTCAAGAAAAAAAAAACATAACAAAAGGCAGGGAAAAGCATGCTAAACTACGTAGAAAAATATTAGAGCTCTTCATTGCAAGAACCCTAATTTGTTTTAATTTGCTGACACTTTGAAGCATGATCTTCAAACTTCAAAGAAAGCTTCAGCCTATCTTCAGAAAGCAAAAGTTGGAGAATGTTACAGCTAAGGATGGGAATACAGGACTGTACAGGAATACAGCAGTGGAAAGGAAGATTCCAGCTAGGGAGCTATCTAAACATTTATACAAAGGAGTGCTTCTAGCCTCTAGCAGTTGAAAGAAGACTGACGTCCTTGTGATAGTATGACAGAACATCTAAAAGGCCATGGGAAAGGAGTATAGGACAAACCAGAACTGGAAGAATTATCCCTATCCTAAACAGACTTATTTAGAGAAATATACTTGCAAATGTTTGCTGGTGATTAAGAAACAGAAAAGTTGTTTGCAGTGCTCTATGGGTTAGAAGAATACCAGCTACTTTTAAAACACCAATTTAACATTTTGTTGATTTTCCCAATTTAAATACATCAAAAGCCATTTTAACTATTAATGGGTTTAAATAGTAGCTAGTAACACATCTGCATGCAATCAAGAGTAACTGAACATGCACAGACTGAGCTACATTTTTAGTTACTTTAAAATGTTTTCAACTAAAAAGGATCATTAACTAAATAGAAGCCTCCTAATGTCAAATAAGCTAACACAATTTTCATCAAAACACCACATGCATCTGAAAAATTCACTTCACACAATACTTAGACACATCAGTAAAATTAAACTACATCTCAATTATGTAAAATGATCACCTCATCTTCCTGATAAGGAAAACACAAAAATAATTTTGAGTATTAATTTACTATTCCTTTTATTAAAATAAACAATTATTTTTCATAAAATGACAGAGAAAACACTAAGTTTCTGATTTAAAAACCTGAACAATGCAATATATTTCCTGTTTAAGTGGCTAGAATAAGTTTAAATATCACTGGAATTTAATCCTTTATTGAGCCTTCAAATTCACGTGGCTGTGAATTTGAAGGGATTATGTAGTATGGCCTCATATAGTAGTTCCACTACTTAATGTCTAAAACATATTTTCAGAATTACTCTGTCAGTATGTTTTAGTTTAGACAATTATTTCAAATCAAGTCCTTTACAGAGCACACTTTATGACAAAACACCCGCCTATAAATCATATCAGTAACAGAAGATTGCACAGTTCATCTTCCAGGAGCAAGAATAAGTGAATATTGATATTTTATGCCTACACAAATGATCAACTTTACAACAGATCTTCATTTAAGGCAAATTAGGTAAACTGAGGCAAAAAGGAAAAAGAGTAGGAAAAAAAGAATAGGGAAAAAAGATAGGAAAAGCCTCACGCTTGCAGGCCCTTGTTCTCATGGGTGACCACCCTGACATCTGTTGGAAGGACGGTACGGCCCGGCACAAGCAATCCAGGAGGTTCATCAATTGTGTAGAAGACAACTTCCTTCTGTAAGTAATAGAGGAGCCGACAAGGAGAGGTGCCGTGCTTGACCTCGCGCTCACCAACAGGGAAGGGCTTATTGGAAATGTGACGCTCCAGGGCAGCCTTGGATGCAGCGATCATGAGATGCTCAAATTTGAGATCCTCAGGACAGTGAGAAGAGCGTGCAGCAAGCTCACTGCCCTGGACTTCAAAAGAGCAGACTTTGGCCTCTTCAGGAACCTGCTTCGGAAGGTTCCATGGGATACAGCCCTAGAGGGCAGGGGGCCCAAGATGTTGGTTGATATTCAAGGATCACCTGCTACAAGCTCAGGAGTGTTGCATCACAACTAGAAGGAAGTGCAGCAGGAGGGCCAGGAGGCTTATAATAAGTGGAAGAAAGGACAGGTGGCCTGGGAAGAGTACAGGGATGTTGTCCGGGAAGCTAGGGACCAGGTTAGGAAAGCTAAGGCCCAGTTAGAATTAAACTTAGCTAGAGGTATTAAAGATAACAGGAAGGGATTCTACAAGTACATAGCAAATAAAAAACACTAGGGAGAATATAGGCCCCCTCAGGAAGCTGTCAGGAGAAGGCTGAGGTTCTGAATGACTTCTTTGCCTCTGTCTTCACTGGCAAAGGCTCTGACCAAACCACCCAAGATTTGGAAGGCAGATGCAGGGACTGTGAGAATGAAGACCTTGGGCCCACTGTAGGAGAGGAACTGGTTTGAGACCATCTTAAAACTCTGAATGTGCACAAGTCCGTGGGTCCTGATGAGATCCATCCGTGGGTCCTAAAGCAGCTGGTGAATGAAGTTGCTAAGCCACTGGCTATCATATTTGAGAAATCATCACAGTCAGGTGAAGTTCCCGATGACTGGAAAAAGGGAAATATAACCCCCATTTTCAAGAAGGGGAAAATGGATGACCCAGGGAATTACAGACCAGTCAGTCTCACCTCTGTGCCTGGCAAAATCTTGGAGCAGATTCTCCTGGAAGGCATGCTAAGGCACATGAAAAACAACAATGTGCTTGGTGACAGCCAACATGGCTTCACTAAGGGAAAATTCTGCCTGACCAATTTGGTGGCCTTCTATGATGGGGCTACAGAACTGATGGACAGGGGTAGAGCAGCTGATGTCATCTACCTGGACTTGTGTAAAGCGTTCAACACTGTCCCACACGACATCCTTGTCTCTAAATTGGAGAGACATCAATTTGATGGATGGAACACTTGGTGGATAAAGAACTGGCTGGATGGCAGCACACAAAGAGTTGTGGTCAATGGCTCAGTGTCCGGCTGGAGACCAGTAACGAGTGGTGCCCCTCAGCGATCACTGTTGGCACCGGTGTTGTTTAACATCTTTGTCGCTGACATGGACAGTGGGATTGAGTGCGCCCTCAGCAAGTTTGCCGATGACACCAAGCTGTGTGGTTCAGTTGATACGCTGGAGGGAAGGAATGCCATCCAGAGGGACCTCAACATGCTTGTGAGGTGGGCTGATGCCAACCTCATGAAGTTTAACCATGACAAGTGCAAGGTCCTACACCTGGGTCAGAGCAATCCCAGGCACAGCTACAGGTTGGGCAGAAAAGAGATTCAGAGCAGCCCTGCGGAGAAGGACTTGGGAGTGCTCGTTGATGAGAAAATGAACATGAGCTGGCTTCAATGTGCGCTCGCAGCCCAGAAAGCCAACCGTATCCTGGGCTGCATCAAAAGGAGTGTGACCAGCAGGTCGAAGGAGGTGATCCTGCCCCTCTACTCTGCTCTTGTGAGAACTCACTTGGAGTATTGTGTGCAGTTCTGGTGTCCTCAACATAAAAAGGACATGGAACTGTTGGAACAAGTCCAGAGGAGGGCCATGAAGATGATCAGGGGACTGGAGCACCTCCCGTATGAAGACAGGCTGAGGAAGTTGGGGCTGTTCAGCCTGGAGAAGAGAAGGCTGCGTGGAGACCTCATAGCAGCCTTCCAGTATCTGAAGGGGGCCTATAGGGATGCTAGAGAGGGACTCTTCATTAAAGACTGTAGTGATAGGACAAGGGGTAATGGGTTAAAACTTAAACAGGGGAAGTTTAGATTGGATATAAGAAGGAAATTCTTTCCTGTTAGGGTGGTGAGGCACTGGAGTGGGCTGCCCAGGGAGGTTGTGAATGCTCCATCCCTGGCAGTGTTCAAGACCACGTTGGGCGAGGCCTTGGGTGATATGGTTTAGCATAAGGTGTCCCTGCCCACAGCAGGGGGGCTGGAACTAGATGATCTTAAGGTCCTTTCCAACCCTAACGATTCTATGATTCTAAAAATCTCCCAGCCAATGGGAAGAAATGACAAGAAATAAATATCTACCAGCTTTGTGCCTCATGGTAATACCAAATCAGCATTTCTGTTAAGTCACTCTCCACCATCCCTGATTATAGAAATAAGCCTACATTCAGGCAAAAGAAACTGGCATTAAATGCTCAGCATTACAACATACACACACTATAAATCCAGAAGTAGACATTACAACATTGACTTGAGCTATACTGTGTCTCATAGCTAGGCGTGAACTACATACAAGCTCAACTCCAATTTCTCAAAGGTAAAAGAGATGGCATGGTTGTTTTGGGAGAGAAGCTCTTGAGTAAAGCTATCTTTGTATTTTTCTACATGTATATGCAGCTTGCCCTGCTAATGAATCAGAAGTAAAGATCTGATTCAGATCTGAAGTATATTCCAGCTATACAAGTCAGAAATTCATACTTTAGGTATGAAGAGATGAAAATTACATTAGAGAACAGAGCAGAAGTTTAATGAAGTGTTTGAACAACTTCCAATTCACGCATACTATTAATTCAGATCAAATTCTTTAGTGTTGTCATGTGAACGCTCAAAGGATTAAATTATACAAATTCTGGTAATTACAAATGATACGAATTCTGGTAATTACAGTTTTTCAAAATGTAAAGAGAGATGGAGCAAGAGGGAAGAAATGTTTTAATGTTTCACAGTTTCTTTCAGGAAATGCCATGCTCTGCTGTAAGTAACAATTCATAGCCAAGGGACAACAAAAAACAATAAAGAATGCAGTGTACTGCAAAGGGGTATAGACTTATGCTGGAAGTGAGGCTACATTGTTTTATAAAACAGTTTGGAGCATCACTTAAAAAATCCAGACAGTAAAAATAGCTCTGCAAAAAAAACTACTACTTATAGAATCATAGAATAGTTATGGTTGGAAAGGACCGAAGGATCATCTAGTTCCAACACCCCTGCCATGGGTAGGGACACCTCTTACTAAACCTTGTTGCCCAAGGCTCTGTCCAACCTGGCCTTCTTAGCAGTAGCAAGATTTAAAAGGAAAATTACAAAGTCATGGATAGGTTTTTGTTTTGCACAGAAGACAAGCTGCATCATTAAGTGTTATCATAATATAACAATAAAAATGAAACAATTTTATAATCTGTTCCATTTGGGATTTTAAATTGTTAAAATATATTGCTAGGACTGAACTCCAAAACCAGAGTTCTGAATATACCAGCATTGACAATACCCATTTAGACTTATAAGGATGTGTAAAATGAACATTTCTTTCCACACTGTAAAACCGTAATCATTATTTTCAACTCTATCTGCATTACATAATAATATAACTAACTGAAAATACAAACGTACCTCAGGACTCTTGCGATTTTGCAAAATCTGCTTGTCTGTTTCTTTGTTAGCAAAGTATCTGGTACAGCCTCGATTTAAATACTGTAACAACAAAAAAAGTGGAAATGTATACTTAGGAGTAAGGAAAACATGCTTTTACTTAAGGCTTGATCTACGTAGCTTGATTTAATCATATGATACCAACAACACAGTAGGTATTCAGAATCCATTCCTTTAAAATGAATTTATTTACGTCTACAAAATTACCAAAGTGCAACAGTAACAACATTCTATTGAAAGCTTTTTAATTTTGGCAACTAAAATACTTTTTGATACAGTGGGATATTCAATGTTTTACTCAACTAAACCTGTGAATGGAAAAGACAGCCAAAATTAAAAACAAGAAAATAAATTTTCTGACCTATGTGTAGTATCAAACTTCACTCAATTTTTTCCTCACCAGTAAAATATTTCTCTAGGTAGTAAGACACATAGTGTATTAAAAAGCTTGAATAGTATTAAAAGCTTATAACATGGTACAAGCTGAAGCCTCATTCAGAAGCTGGCTTCTGATATCCATCTCATGTTGTATAGTAAAGGGAATAGACCAGGCATTCAGATAATGACTAACTCTTCCAACCAAATGGGACTGCCAGCTTTTTCCTTCTGATTCGTTCAGCTCAAAGTAAGAGCTCTGTCTAAAAGCTTGACAGAGTTCTTTGTCTAAAGGAAGTGAACTGATTCTTTGCTCTAGCCCCTGAACAAAGAAAATGTTTTCAACTAGGTGAACACAGATAATTCTACACTTTGATTAAAATTTCTATACAAAATTCTAAAAAAGTAATACAGCAATTCTAACAGCCAAAGAAAACTAGGTGACACATTTTATATTAAAGTGACAAGAAACACTGTTCAAAGTTAGCATTGTGCTTAATAAAATATTGAAACGTTTTCTTTATCAACCAATAAGAATGCAAAGCACAGCATATTTTAAACACAGTGTATCCCTGTATTACAGTACTAGAAACACTACTGCAGAAACTGGAGATGGAAAATGAACTTTTCAATAGGAGTGTGTGGAAACATACCTGACAGGCTGACAATGTGAACTACTACAGTATTCAGTAATAGCCAGTGTAGGAGACATTTAATCACCAGATAATGGCTTTCATTTGAAAGCTAAAAACTCAAGTATATTTACATACTAAATGTAGGAGAAATTGTATTTTTGAAGCACACGAATGCACAGCTTGAGATTACCATATACTACACCTAACAAACCATTATTCTTTTTTTCCCTTTTTTTTTACTGTGAAGTACAACACCCCCATATAACATCAGTGATCCAAATATAAGACACACTGATTTCTCTCAGATTAATGAGAATTACCTTAAATTTGAGATGGTCCTATTTTCAAGTGAGTTTAGTGAAGATAAACAGGGCATGAAGTAAAACATGCTTGAATCTTGATAAGTGAAAAGGCACAAGACAGGTGGCACAAAACGGCCAATGCAAAACTGCAACTTTAGGGATGGGGTTTTTAAATAACCAATTTAAGAGTATGTTTTTTTTTCTCAACGAAGTTCTTGTCCAAAAAAAAAAAAAATCAGCATCACTATCAAAATCCTGAACAATCATCAAATCTTTCCTAGTCTAATATCTCCATGTATTATTAGAAGCTTAAAAGAAGGCATTTATGTGAAATTTGAGAGACATGCAGTCAATAGAAAAATGTGGTAAAAAAGTGGCACAGGTTGATCATTCAGACCCATTTCATGATAGATCCTGGAGCAACAAATAAGAATGAAGAAGACGGAAAAAAAATTATCTTGACAAAAGTAATACAAATTTAGGAAGAAAATTAAACCTTTTACAGGTCTTTTTTCCAAAATTCTTCTATAAAGCACTACTTTGCAAAAATTTAGTGCAATATAACTAATACATTTTAAGTATACTTACACTCATTTATATACCTACAACGATGAAAATGATCCTAAGGGTATTTTAATTGAAGATAATGTAGTTTAACTTGGGTAGGGGGAGGGAAGAAGTGTCAAAATTTTTAAATGTAACATGCAGGATGGCCCTTTCACATGAGCTCAGGATTGAAATACTAACTGATAGTATAGCAATAAACATTCTTAATGGAAATGAAAGTACCTGCTGCAAAACTTAGACGCAAACAAAGTATGTCACAGTGTGGTAAGGCTGATATGACTGTAAATTATAAATGAAAAAGGCAAGCAAGTGCCTACTGTAAAGGCACTCAGGCTGTCCAGTACTATAACTGCACCAGCCTGATTTTCCGCAGGTTGCAATTCTGACCGTGACATCTACAACCTTGTGTGCTCACATGAGTGGAACTTTTGATTAAAAATGTCCCCAAGAGTGGGAACATGGCATAGTCAGTTCCAGAATTAAAAACCTATTAACTACAAGAAAGAAGTCTTAATAGAAAAATGGCTGCACAATAAAAAATATAATTTGAAAATTTGTTCAAGATTTTAGCTTTAAATCATAGATGCAGATATTGTACAGAATAACTGCACAGTAAAGAAGAAAGTTTTGAAAATTAGTTCCATATTACATTAAAATAAAATAAAAAAATTCCCAACCCTTTAAGTATTGTGTTGTGTGTTTCAAAAGTAAAGCCTTCCTCCTAGAGAAGAGAAGCATTTCTTAATAAGCATCAGATCAACTCACAACTGAGTACAAAGAGATGAACTATAAGAAGATACAAACTAAATATTTAAAGAAGTAATATGAGATTTATGAAGACCCCTAGGAACACCACTGAGGAAGTAAGGAAACTTACCCAAAAACATTGCCAGTGTCTTTTACAGAGCAAGATCATCCAGACATAACAGTACAGATGTATGATGTGCACAATATGCAGTTCTGTGCCTGCTTCCTGGTTTATTAGTAATCAGAGATTGACTTGGCCAAGCCAAGAGGTAGCAGCAACCTGTTTTGTGACCACTGTACACCCACCTTCCCCACAAAGAATGCACTGATTCAGGTCTTTCCTATGCAACCCCTGCTTTGCACAAAACTAGTAAGAACTTTGTATCTTTAAGGCTTCCAGCCCTCTGCTGAATTCTGATGAAACTAATTACAAAAGATCTTAGGGAAAGTAACAGAAAAGTACAGTCCAAGTTTTATTTAGAAAATCAAGCAGGAGAATACACCAACAAAGAAAACAACCAAGGTATTCTTTGTTAGCCGTGCTCCTCACCTCATTTAAGATAAAAGAAGTGTAAAAAGGTGACAGTTGATTAAAAGAAGTCCTTGTAATTCCACATTGTTGTGTTACAAAACAATTCCAAACCCACAGCAGGGATTTGGTCTATTTTAGAAATACACAAAATTCTCTTCTGTGAGATTCCAAGCCAAGCAGAAGCCAAGAAAGCAGTGAGAAATGGAGACAAATGACAGAACACAAGCAAACTGACCAGCATTTATCAGTAGGATTTGATCTGCCAATGTTTTTTCTTTTTAATACAAGTCAACAAAGCCCATTGCAGTATCTGTAGATACTTACAATTCAAGTGTGATTGTCAAAAGGAAAAGAAAACAAAAACCTAACAATAGGTTAGCAGGAAGGAATGATTGAAGGCTAGTCTTCACCTTACAAGAAACATCGGTGATGACAGTGTAAAGTGTGAAAAAGCTTAGAAGGACTCTGAAAGAGAAGGGACAATCAGGAAAACAATGAGAAACAGCTGTATCAGTAAAGCTGCACTGGTTGTATAGGGGTTCAATAATATTCTTTCCTCAAGATTAAAAAAAAAATAAAAAAGCAATTATTGAGATATAACATGCTAAGAAATTAAAAGAGAATTTAAAAATAAGGGAAATGGGGTTGGAGCCGCTCAGGGAAACAGTCAACGAAACAGAGAACACAAAAAAACACTGCCAAGAAGGAAAAGAAAGCAAAAGGAAACATCACATTATTTGATCATTTTAGAAAACAATTCTGTGAAATCTGAACATAGAGTAGGGGAGGGGAAAGAAGGAAAGCTGGAACAAGTTAAACTGAAGTAGTAAAAAAGGTGGAAAAATGGTAGGAAAGGAATGCAAGAACTGAACTTAATGGTAGGAGGGAAAGCCAGCCTTTCTGTGGGATTGGGATATCTACTAGAAACCTAACACAGGGTCAGGGTTTATCAGGAAAAACCTCATGGCCTCAGAAAAGGGCAGAAACCCCTAAAAATAAAGCATAGGGAGAAGAAGGGAAGGAAGTAAACAAATCAGTAGTAGTAAGAACAGGCTAACTGGATTGAATTTAAAAAGTCCATACTATCCAAGAGCTTGTCTTCAACCATGACCTCTGCTTCACCCAAGGTTTTCACCGTTTCTTTCCGAGTTGGGATGACAAAACTCTGTATGCTATTTGCAAACACGGATATACATTGCAGCATAACTATTTCATTCTCCCTTCATTTCCTAACTAAAATTCTACTCTGCTTTTCCCTGGCATTGAACATTAACTTAACATTTTTTTAAAAAACTATGCACAATGATTCAAGTCTTATTTTCCTACTGTTTAAGTTCTCTTTCATTTAGGTATATTTAGGAGTATTACATTCAGCACAGATTTTATTTGCATCTTATTAGCTCGTATGCAATATGAGCAGCTTTACAAACACTGACTCCTCATACTCACCCTAAAGTTGTCAGGAGAGCTTAGATACAGTTTTTCCCTAATGTCTTCTGGAGCACCAGCACAAAGCCTGTAAAAGATATGATAATTCCTCTCCTCTTTGCCTTGCACACAGATCCTAGATTTTTCCAGAAGGTAATGCGATACAAATCCACCAACCACCGAATTCTAGGAGGAAAAAAAATATTTTTCTGATTATCTGAATATTTTTTTCAATTATTTGAGATTCAGAAGTTTTAAATTTACATTTGTCTGATCATAGGTTACTAAAACACTGCTCCAAAGAAGATTAAAATATATCTACACCTAATACATATTAAGCTTAATAAAGGAAACCATTGCCTCCAGCATAATTTCTCCTCCAGCTCATATATTGTTACTCATACATTCCTCTTAAAAGAAGGGTCTGCTTCACCCAAACAAGCAGAAATCCTTGGCAGAATTCCAGTAGCTCCTGCAGAGCATTGCTACAGCCACCCTTGTTCTGGCCAGCAATAAGCACCATTACCAATTAGAACCTTCTCTAGTTGCATTTCACCAACACTGTTGCAAAGGAGAATGAAGGGTTAAAATTGAAGATGACATATTTGGACAGCATCTTAGGCAGACTAATTATGAGCAAACATTTTATTTCAAACACTTGCTCTTCTTTTCCGAGATGGAAGTCTGACACAGATTTTGAAATCCATTTATCTGGCCTGTGATAAAATTCCCTGCACCTAGACAAATCTTAATAGCAAGGATATTCCTGAGCTTATGGCCATTACAGCAACTAAGAAGGACTTTTCATTGATGAGAAAATGAACATGAGCTGGCTTCAGTGGAGACCTCATAGCAGCCTTCCAGTGTCTGAAGGGGGGGGCTGTAAGAATGCTGGGGAGAGACTCTTCATTAGGGACTGTAGTGATAGGACAGTAACGGGTCAAAACTTAAACAGGGGAAGTTTAGATTAGATATAAGGAAGAAGTTCTTTACTGTAAGGGTGGTGAGGCACTGGAATGGGTTGCCCAGGGAAGTTGTGAATCCTCCATCCCTGGCGGTGCTCAAGGCCAGGTTGTACAGAGCCTTGGGTGACATGGTTTAGTGTGAGGTGTCCCTGCAGTGGGGTTGGAACTAGATGATCTTAAGGTCCTTTCCAACCCTAACTATTTTATGATTCTATGACTTACTGACTGACAAATTTGATGCCCCAGTCTGTACTCATATTGCTTTGAGAAATCAGACCTAATAAGGTCACCACAAAGTGAAGTCTTGTGAAGCATGAAGTCTAGTAAAAAAGGGTCTCAAGTAAACAGGCTGATCTTACACTGGAAAGCTGAAACAAGCTTTTAAACAGTTTCTGAAGATACTGGGAATGCTATTTACTTCAGCTGAAGTAACATAAGCTTATTAACATGAACTGGATGAACAGATAGTCCCTCTACCCTTAAAAGGATTATCTAAACTTCCAAAGATTGGAAGTTTGGTTACAAAACCACGTGATGACAACTTAGGAAAAGACCAGATAATGAGCTCAGAGTCTGCAGCAAGGGAATGCAATAATTTGTTCATGTCATCAATCAGAAAGGTTAGGAGGCTTGTACATAATCTATACAAAGATTGTCAACAAAAGTCTTCAACTTGGACATGCTGGAGAGCCATACACTCATACTTAGTTGTGGAATGTGTGTATACATACACTATCCAAACAAAACTACTCCCAAACAAAGAAAATTTTTCATAAGCTACACAGTGAATAGCACTTCTGACAAAAAACTGTTCCATTACTTCTGTCACATATATAATACTAATGTGAGGTCCCAGAATTTCATACAAATACATAAAAACATCAAGAATTTATTCAGCATATTAAAACATTATAATATTACTATATTTGCTTATATTTAATATGCAGTTTACACTTATTTGTGCATTAAAGGAACGCATAAATACGTAACAGCAATTAAGTTTTTCTTTAGATACACCTTTTTGCAAATGAAGGGAACAATTTTATTCTCTTGTGGATGAAGTAATTTTGCTGCTGACTTGACCCACTGTTTTCCAGTAGTGACACAGTACTATGTGGCTTTGGTTTTCCTTTCAACATGATAGAGTGCAAAATAAATCTATTAAGTAGGACAGCTATTTGCTGCAAGATTAATATCTGTTCAGCCTCCTCAGTCTAATGTTTCCATTTTATGGCAAAAAGTCATCCCTGGTTATCTGTAACAAAATTCCAGTACCTTTTCATTGAAGTGAATTTCAACAAATTTCCCAAAACGACTGCTGTTGTTGTTGCGAACAGTCTTTGCATTTCCAAAGGCTTCTAATAGGGGATTTGCTGTTTAAAAAAAATGAAAATTCAGAGTTTTGAAATGTTAACATTTGATCAATAAACTACCAAAAAGAAAGAGAGAACAAATATATACTAATTATTCAGTGAACTTACTGAGGAAAAGGTTTGAAAATTAAAGGAAAAATACCACCTACTAGGAATGATCAATTTCATAAACTGTACTGGGTATACTGTGGTGGAACTTACCATGAAGTACTTAAATATCACATAACACTGCAAAATATTTGAATCGATACTGTAAGAAATTCAGAGACAAACACTAAATATAATTCAGTGATATTCTTCTACAGCAAGTAGGTAAATAATTGATACATAAACTGTATGAGACAACACACAATTTGACACTTCCCAATGAGTTGTTAGTCATAAAATCTTAACTACCCACTTATCCTGCAGACAAAAATGCCACTTAAATGTCATGCATCCGACATGTCAGATTGATTGGGGAATTAAAAAGAAAAAAAAAACAAACCAAAACGTATTAGAAGAGTGCACTGATTTCACAAAACTTTAAAATGCCCTTTTAAATTAGGTCAGTTAAGTGACTGACTGATTATATTTTTTACTGGCTGCTTTTTTCAAGTGCCTTAAAGCCCATATAGAAGGAGTGTCAGCAATCTCATGCATTATATATACATATATATACACACACACGTATAAACATCATTTGCAGTTTAAGCAGTTTGAAAATGCTTAGTAGTTATGAAACACAAGGCCTCTGAAAGACTGCATTCTGATAGCTCTGAAGATCAGGGAAAACTGATTTAATGAATCATGCTAAAGATAAACCGTTGAAAATATCTGCAAGATTTTTTATGGCTTCTAACTAAAAGATATGCATTGGAAACTAAGCGAGCAAGAAACTCAGATTTAAAACTCCAACATCACCATCTAAAAATCTGCCCCTACAAAACCCAAAGAATGAAAGAATAGCTACAGTGGTTGGATAAAGCATAGATGATAATCAAATATTTAGTACGACAACATCAGCATTAACCTTTTCTTTTTGGCTACATTTTGGTTTTTTTTTAATATTTAAACTTATGAAAATGCAAATCTGACTTTCAAAACCGAATTCTTAATATATCTTTCATAACTATTCACATATTTTACGTAATATTAACAGTTTTAAAGGAAAGATTATGAATAAAAACAAACTGCAAGAGGTCTTTCAGAAAGGTTAAAGGTTTCTCTAGTAACACATACTCCGTAAGCATGCTCATTAAAATTGTGCCTAAAAAACTTCAAAATTCATGCAGCAGATGCTGTTTCAGATTAAAAAACCCAAACTCTTCTAAGAATACCTACAATTACCAGTTAATTTTATGGCATACTGCATCTGGCATTATCCATCTCTTGGCCGCTTTATGAGTTCCTTTAGTACACAGTAGATTCCACTAAGGAATTGGTTTAAGCAAACCTACAGTAACAAGATATTAAAGCCCAAAGTACTTCTCTTGAATAATCCAGTGGCTCAAATTTGAAAAGAGAAAAATTTAAAGAAAAAGTAAATATTTTTGGTTTAATAAAAAGACACAGAGTAATGAAATTGCAAAATAAATCTATCATATGCTATAGAAGACTAAATCTGACATATGAAGCATTATTAGTTTGGCTGAGGGTTGTTTGATTTTGAGAGATACATTTTTTCTCCAAAAGTTATTTTCTGTGCAATTAAGTAGTGCCTGCAACATTAAAGAGGCTCAACTGGATTGTCCACACAGTATCTTTGGACCTTGTTTGGGAGTCTACTATAAAGATAGTCACAATGAAAGAGTTAATCCACATTATGTGCTTTCTGAAAAAAAAAAAAAAATGTAACATAAAAACCACCCAGAACCATAACTGAAAGGAACTTCCATGTTTATTTGATTTTGGTAAGTTTATGGTGAGGAGGAGGAATTACTGGTACTAACAGATAGTAGTGAGACTCCTGGTATTAACAGATAGTAATGAGAATAGTCTTTTCCTTGCAGATTTCATACAGCTTAAAATCCAATCTTGGGTACATGTGTGTGAAGTTCAACTCAAACACACACTTAAAACATTTTCTAGACCGAGGACTGTATGACACTGTACTAAATAAAAATAAAGTGAATCATAAATAAAAATGTTTTCAGAATTTAGGATCAAGGTAAAGTACACAGTATTAAATTATGCCCTATGAAGTCTGACTGCATTCCTGTCCTAGCTTTTATTTAGTTAAGCTGATCTTGAAAATTTCAAATTTGGAAAAAAAAAAAGAACACATTGGAACCTTTAATTCAATGATGGAAAATTCAATACCTTCTACAATTCTGTCATCAATATCTTGGCCAGTACCATAGGATTCTGTCAAATACCTGTAAAGCAAGATAAAAATATTATCATTCATGTGTCATGTTACTGCAATTCAACAGTTCAGCACGGCTGTGTACCATACTTACTAAAGGGAAAACATACAGCCTGTAAGTTCCAAATACCTGTATCTTTGACAATAAATGCAGCCTGACTTTTCTTTTTTGTTAAAACAGAAATATTCTTGCAGACTTCAGATTTTTTTTTTAATACTTCAAGGCACCTTAGGAAGTTCTTTTAGACATGTATATGGAAATTACACTCTTATTCAAATATAATGAAACTGTTACTGTACTATTTGTATTAATTAAAAATCTTAGTAAACACATAAGGTTTCATGTGTATTTCCTGAATTAAAGACTGTTTTCATGCATACAGTTTCTGCATTTGTCACTATTAGTGTTATTAAAAATCCCACATAGAGACAGTGAGATAGGAAACTGCAAGTGCATAATTAAGGCAAGATTTGATTTAGCAATTGAAAAAAAAGAATTTGAAAATAAATCCACAACGTTCTTGCTCCAGAGTTGCAGCCTTTTTTTATTTTTTATTGTTTTCCGTGCACACAGGGCATGCTTCTGGAAATTTGGGACAAGTTAAAAACAGTTCTTGAAAATGGGGCCTTCAAAAAAACCCCAGCATTTCAGGAGAACTAACAGAGCTGTATTAGTAGCTTTTGCTTTCTGATTATACAAGGGAAACACCTTTCTGCTTTTAAAACTCACTGTTTTGTACCTGGACTCTATGGGAGCAGCTGGTGGGGAAAAGCAACAGCAATGATGTTTGCTGCTCTGAACTTCCTTTGCTGAAAAGCAGAATAACCTCCTTTGAGAGCATTCATCAAGAGATATTCTCCCAATGCCTGCCATCATTTCTTACTCTTAGCAGGACCAAAGTTAGGATGTCCCCTGTAAAAATCATTACCAGCACCTTGCAGTAGTTGTTACAGCTATCTATTAAAGGTTGCACAGGGGCAGAAAAGAGCAGTATAAAGAACAGACAGTCATGACAACTCTTGATGGGATCTGGAAGATAATACTGCTACTGTACATAAATACTAGAGAACACATGATGTCAGGGAAAAGGGAATTAAAGATTTATGCAGGGAAACAAGGACAAGCAGGGGAAGAGAGTATATCTGCACTGCCTGCACTGTGCTTCCCTGGATAATCAGGCCACCTATGATATACATCAATTTAATGGAGAAGTGCTCTTCAGCTGCAGTGTTCCAATGTGACTTAAAGCATTTAAACTATAATGTAAATATGGTCAAAAACGTTAAGAATCATGTAAGAGGAAGCAAGGCTGATACGTATCAGCAATATGGCCTCTATGTAGCTTGATATGCTTGATTTAGTATCAGTCATACATGAACATCAATAAATAAATAAACCCCATTATTCGGTCTTATTTGAGCAAAGTATATTAAAGAATCCCTGCAGTCATCTCAAAATCAAGAGTTAAAAGCCCTGGATACTCAAGCAAACTAAAAAAAACTAAAGCAGTGAAAACAGAGAAATGCACATTTATGGCAAAACCAACAGTGTCTTTCAAGATACAGTCAAAATGCCTAGTTACGTTTTTATCTACCACAGTACCAGATGTGCAATACCAAAATGACTGCATCATAAACCATAATAACTGCGTGGTGTCACTACAACTGAGCTAGGGTTTCTGTGAGTATGCAGTCATTTCCATATATTATCCTGTCAGCATTTAAATTTAACCAAATTAATTTCTTGTATTAAAGTGCACACAGAAGTATATATTTACCTTACTGACTTGTGTCTGAAGCCTACTGATTACCTTACAATTCACCCTGTGTGTCAACCAAATGCATCAACACAAGAGATTCACAGAGTAACTTTTGTCCAAAAGCACGAACCTCAAAACAAATTTTGTATTTTCTGTCTTGCCAGCTCCTGATTCCCCAGAGACTATGATGGACTGACTCATCTTCAGCACTTTCATGTCACGGAATGCTTTATCAGCTTAAAAAGAAGGGCATGTTAAACGTGACAAAAAAATACTTTGTAGAATTGCAAGCATAAAGTTAGGCTACAATGCAAAAGTGAAAATGTAACATTTTCAGGAATAGAAAGTAAACCTTTAAAATTTATTAGAATCTGCTTCCCCTTATATTATAGTTGCTCACCCTCCAACACCGTAACAGATGTAAGAGCTTAAAAGTCTTTCAAAACAAAGACGTACTGAACTATGTCCAGGAGAAAATAAAACAAAAATATCCACCGAGAACAAAATCTCTTGAATTACATGTATTTACAGAACAGTAACCAGTCTTACTTTAATATGCTTTTTAAAGGGAAACTTTCAGTTGTACTTCATAATAAGTAACATCTGAGACAAGGAAACTAGAAAAATGTGGGTTTCTTGTTATGCAAAAGGTACTAAAACCCCAGCTGTTTATACTTTTGATTACAAAACAAAATGCAACACAGTGAGAAGGCTTTTAACAAGTCAAGTGTTGATTTGTAGTTTACAATTTTTTTTCTTCTTAATTTGTGACTGAAATCAGGTTTAACATTTAAATGGACTTTCTGCCTAGAACACTAGCATATAAAACGATACAGTGCATGTCCTCTGGCAACATAATAAAAGGCAAAGGAAATCACTACACTAAAAGACTGTACCAATCATAATTAAGTCATTCTGCACTTGTGCATTCTGAATTTCTTTTTATTTTTTTTTTTAATGGTTGTAAATTAGATTTAAGCTGCTTAGACATAAAACACTGCAGGTGCAGAATAATCATAGCAGTGTTGCCGGGGCTGCTAATTTCAAAGTTCTTTAAACTGCATATCAAGGATAAGAAGATCTGCAATTTTAGCATTCAGTGTTTTTATTTTATGATACCTTAAAGTAAATTAATTGCTGTTATAGGTGGCAATTTATAGATAACTGCAAAGTATTTAATGTTTGTTTTGTAAAAGACAAATACAGGCTCAATACATACCAATAGCAAAAACATGTGGTGGCAATGTTCCAAGTGATCTACCCTGGTACTTTTTAATCGTGTCTGAAGAATAAAACTTAGGTATATCAAAATATGGATTCACTGCAATAAGAATGTTGGCTACATAGGTCTGTGAAGAAAAGAATTAACAGCAAACTATTAGTTAGTATCCAAGCAAGCAGTTAACAGCAATTTTCTGTTACTGTTGAAGACTTCAGCCTAAGTACAACAATTACATTTACAATTCACCCCAGCTAATGCAAATACAAGCAGGGATATATTTTCAGAGTTCCTTTAATTATCTTCTCAGGACTTCTACAAAATTCTCTCTGGAAAATTTCCTAACTACTGAGCTGTGGATTATGTCCTGAATTTGACCTTTCCCCCAATCTCCTTTTAAATTATTTCCTATTGTGTGAGTTACTGGATGAAGGATAGGACAACACAGCCTCCTCTTCAAAAGTGAATAAACTAAGCTCCTGGCTAGCATAACACACTCTTCCCCAGTGAGGAGGATAACTTTTCAGTATCTGATGGAAGCAGCTCAGCAGGAAGGACTAACAAGATCCTGCCTGGGAACACGCTAAAGCCAAGCAATAAAAGCATTCAGCCGAGAGAAAATCAGCTACGGCTGCTTCCACAGCCTGAAAGACAGAATGCAAATGTGCTCTCTCACAGAAAGAATTTGAGAACAGTCTCAAACCAAGACTGCTTTTTAAATTTACATAGCATAAAGAAGACTAAAGGGCGGTTTTAGGTATATGGAAAACCAAACAAAACCCAGCTTTCACAGCTTTGTTATAATGGCCAGATCACATACAAGGAAGTAGAGATATCAGAATCACAGAAAAAAAAAAAAGCAGATTTGCAGGAAAATATCAGATAAAGATAAAAAAATAAGATAAACCTTCAGCTTGAATAACTTATTTGGTTTGTTGTTACTGAACATATCCCTGAAATACAGACACTATTGTGATATGTTGATAGAAGGCTGGATCACACACAATACATGAATTTTCTTTGATGTTTCTATTTTCAGCACTTATTTCACTGAAGGAAAACATTTCTTTAAGAGCTGCAAGTACTAATATTAGTTTTCCTTTTAGTAACAAGACCAATATTGCTCACCAGAATTGAACAAAAAGAAAAATAAAAAATAAATTGTTGACTCAATCTATATCTTAAAGCTACAATGAAAAAGTAGTTAAAATATAAATGACCTTTATTTTTTGTTTCTTCAGAAGATACACCCACTCATGATAACTTATTTGTAGTTCTGCTTTACAATAAAAAAGGGTTTTATGAACCTAAACACTATCCTACCTTATAACCAATTAGATTTAGAATTTTACTTCTTTTTTTGTTTTTTTTTTAAATTAATATTTTTCCAGAACAGCATTCAACTGGCCATTTTTATTCATTTATTTTTAAGCTGGTGCTTGATCTTGAGCCATAAGGTATTTATAGTGATGTAAAGTTAACTGCAACAAAGAAAAACAACTGCTTTATATTTATATAAAAGGCTTCAACTCCAATTCATTTTAGAGCAGTGTGCTAACATAAAAGTTGATTATTTCAACACACTTGAAAATACGTAGAACTGTTTCGCATTATCAGTAGATAGCTTTCTGTAAGGAAAAAAAAAATTGAGAAAAAAGACAACCCTTATCTTTCTTGTATTTCACAGCTATCAGTGTCTGGGCAGATGGCAAGGACAAAATGTAATTTAGTCAGAATTCATTAAGTACAATTAGGCAATTTGATAGCAATATAAAAGATTAAGATGGACATCTGAGCTAGGAGGTGTCAAAGATGGCACCTGTTTGCTTCGTTCAAAAATAATGAAGAAAGAAAACCATCTTTGTTAACAGCTACTCTACTGGCAAAGTAAGTTACCTGCAGGAACAGACATTTGTGATACAATGCTGTGCTGTGGTAGCACATAAAGTTATGCAGAGAAAAAGACCATTGCTCTGCCTGGTAAAAACTAGCTAACATTAATGTGTGCTAAATGTAAAAAAAAAAAAAAAAAAGAAAACAAATAATCCTGAAGCCTCCTAACTTTCCACTGTTACCATTTCTGTTTAGTTATAGGAAAAAATGGAATTGAAAACACTGGTTTTGTTGATTTTTTGAAAGAACATGTATCATTAGGTTGGTTGTTATGATACGTAATACTTACGTAAATTCTGTCCTTACTGTATCGCACTTTGATATTGTGAAGGAGAGTGGCCTCATTTAAATACATAAGGGAACCTGCAAGCAGAAGACAATCATATACCATTAAGAACTCAGGACTACCTTCGTGCGCAGCTGAAAAAAAAAAATCAAATCTTAGGATTAAGGAGAATTTTACTTTCCCTCTCTTCAGTTACAGTTTAATCCTATCATTTCTTTATTCTGTCTTGAGGCAAAACTTCTGATTCAATATACTCTTTAAAAACGATAGACCTGCTCTATGCTGTACAACTGGAGTTACAGAAAGTTGCTGAACAAAGAGTCAGACTCTAGGAGTCTCAACACAAGCCTTGCTCAGCGTAAGTTCCCTTTTACCAACCTTGCAGATGAATATGGTGCGTCACCTTACACTCCAGTGAGAAACTACAGAAACCAGTGCCTACCAAAATCCTTAATGCTGGCTGTTTCCTTTCTTCCAGCTCCCCACTCCAATCTCAGCCACAGTGTTCCCATGATAATGCCACCTGACATTCGGAGTAACTGCTGGCTCCTGTAGAGGTGGCCATAAGGCATGACTGCAACACCAGACACCAAACAACCTTTTCTGTTTCAATTCTAGATTTTGTTTCTAGTGGGCCACCTCAAAGAAACTTCTGGAGGGGCAAAAGTTAACACAAAACCTAGCTTTATTTTCCTCCTTAGCTCATTAATATAAAATAATTGAACCAGCTCTGCTGAAATGTTACAAGCAGGCAGCTCAAGGTAGTGAGTGGGTACCCACAGAAAGCTTCAGATCATACTGGTTCACATTCTGGCAAAGCTGGTCCTTGTTTTCAGCTATAAAGGACCAGAAAGTGTCAGCAGCCTTCATTACAGAGGCCATTCCCAGTTCCCATATCAAAAACATCAATAAAACAGCTGAGGGTACTACTTACTGCACAGCCTCCATTTTCAAAAATGCTAAATCCCCTAGTAGTGTGCAACGCTACTCTGTATAGTTACAACTGTCTGACTACCATACTGGTAAACCTTACAGTATTAGTGCCACTTAAAAAGTTGTATACATCTGGTAACTGGTGATGGAGAAGGCACTGTGCCTGTAGTAATAACTGCTGGCCTGCGCCTCATATGAAGGCCGCATATGTGCCTCTCATCTGTAATGACCAAAAGATTTTTTTTCTCAAGTTGGACCAATGCCTTTTCTTGAGGGCTCCAGCAGAGAAAAACATGTTCCAACTTATTTACACGTATGTGCAAGAAGGACCACCACTTCTTGTGACCTGAAGTCAACGTTGCCCTAAAAGGACACATGAAGCTCAGTATGCAGCTCTTAACATCTCCTTCAGCACTCCTCCTGCTGAACCAAAAGATACTGGCAAAGGATAAGGTGAGCTTCTCAAGAGCATCTGTTTTTGTTTTCAACCTTCTATCCTTCATCCCACAGCAGACCAAGGAGTGGCTGTGGCTCTGCCTCCTACCACCTGCACCAGACCAGCCTGAAGCAAAGGAAGGTTCAGCAACCATTTGCAGCCTGCCTTTGGCTTGTAGCTCCACTGAAGAGCCCTTTATTCTCTCACATGACTAAATGAGTTTTGCTTCTAATAGCTGGAATCATTCACTCTTCTCAAAAGACTTTGCAGCTTCTGGATTGCTTTGAAGAAAACATCTTCCTCCACAAAATACCTTGCATGCACATCCCAGTGTTGGCAGAGGCATACAAGGCACACTTTAGCTTTACCACTAAGCAAATCTCCCCTTGTATCACAACAGCCTTGTAATTGAGCCTGTGCACGATACCCTGCTGAAGCAGCAGGCTGGCACCGATCACCATGGCTGTTCTACTGCCACCTCAGCAAACCTACTTTTCCCCCTAACCTCATGGTACACAAGGCAACAGAGCCCAGGCACCCAGAACTGCACTGCACTGCAGAATTTCTCCTCCTCCCCTCCCCAGGTACACTCAGTCCATGCAGATGAGAAAATGGTTCTGGGACCACAAATTTCCTCCACAGACCTCTTTCCACCTTCACCTCTCTTAATGAGGTCATCCCAAGAGAAAAAGACATTAAAAGGAAATGGGCCAGAAACAGAAACTCCTGATTGCTCTAATGAAAAAAAATCTCCTCCCCTTGTGTATACCCTGGGGGCAACAGGATGTTAACTTGTGAAGTTTGTTAATTTTTCAAGTCATCTGGATTCTCAATACTGAGTTGAGAAACTACTATATAGTAATTGTCTACACACACTTCAGAAACAGTCATCTCCCTTGACTCTATCTTCCTAAGAACCTCTCAGGGTTTTGCAGGATGTTTTAGAGGAAACAGTCATCAGTTAAGCACCCTAATAAAAACTTGATAATTAACTAAAGGACAGAGGACTCCAGGTTTCAGTGCTTCCCCAGAATTCTCTTTGCAAGTCCTTAAAGAAGTTACATCTGCAGACTTGCTGCATAATGGGAGCTTGCTACTCAAGGAACGTCGCTGCCTTCACTGAAGAGATGTAAACTAAGGCTTATGTCAGCAGCTTTGAAATGAATCTTCTTCAGAATAAATCCTTTAAAGAGGCATCCATATCCAGAGCCAAAGAAGTCACCAGAGAGAGAATTCTGAATATTCATATGGCTCATGCCTAATTATAACCTAAATGCAATATGTATGTGCATTTTATAGTCCATATACTTACTTATACACACACACAGAGTTCATAGGAGCAAAGTCACTAAAAGCTAGAAAATATCAATGTCAAATTTACTCATATTGGCTCATCTCTGCATGATGAAGCCAATGAAGCAGGGTTTGTATGGAAAATAATGTTATAAGGCTCTGATTCTCTAAAATGAACTTTAAGATTCTTATCTGATACCCTGTCCCCTTCTTTTTTTTTTTTTTTAAATTGTTTCACCCCAAACATAAAACTAAAAAAAATCTTTTTTCTTGGCCATAAAAAAATTTAAATTCCACATATGGTGACAATCCCCAAAACTGAGTGGGGCTTGGGGAAAGCAGAAGTAGAGTGTGAATCACACACACACACAAAAAAAAAAAAAACCCACAACCCAAAACAGGTAGTAAATGCCTTGTCTCTGTACTACTTGCAATATCCACTGAAAATTTGCATTTGAGAAAGGCTAGATTCTCAAAAAGGTGCCTCTTGCAGCTAGCGCACGTGGAATATGGAAGACTAAGGGTGCAAAAAAAGCAGTACTTCAGCAAATTACTTCCCAGAAGGGAGTTAATCGCTAATGCATAGGTTGGAATGCTAAGTATATTATTAACTAGTCTTTCAGGATTTTTCAGAGCAGTATTACAAAGAAAGACTGAGAGCACTCAGTATTTATTAAGTTTTTTCTTAAAGATCAGTGATGATCAGCACAAATGCTCTCTTAGAGAGAAGGAAAATGAACTTTAGCACATCCTGGAGATAAACCTCAACTGTTAGAAAGATCTCAAAATAATGTTTCATACAGAAAAGATTACTGGACAAAGCATTTTTGAGTTTTTTTATTTTGCTCAGCAAGCCAAAGAAGACATTTTCTCTGATAGGAAGTGTTTTGATTTAATTGAATTTTGCTGGAATCTCAAATCATATCCATAAATCTTATTCCAAATTTGAATTTCTGACTAGGACACTGAGGTGCTAGGACATGTCAGGACATGTAGAATCACTGTGACAGATGCACAGATTAAATACATTTGCCTAGCAATCATGCACAGAGAGTACAGATACCAGCTTTGAAAAGTTTCAACCCATATAATGTTTGTAAAAATATAAGCAACTGGAAACAAGGCTACCAGCTTGGTTCCTCCTGTAACGACACCACACCATCTAAGTCAGATCATAAGCCCCACGTTTCATGTTCCTTATGGAGCAGCTGTAACAGCTATATTTCCTGTCACGGGATATAAATACTAACCCTTATTCCAAAACAGGAATTGTGGTTAAATAACCTAAACAACTTTCAAAGTCCTAGCATCTATTTTAAATGAAGAACAATAGAAAATACTTTTGCCTACCATTTACAAAGGCAGATCTTTTCACCAACCAGCAAACACCATAGGAAGTATTTAAAAGCATTCCTTCATCAGCTTCTCAAGACAGGAAAATCTCTGTGATTTGTTCACACAGAGCAACGTCAGCAAAGTATGTAACAGTTCTCTAAAAGCTGATGCTAGACCTTACTTGGTACTCTCTCTCCTCTCTACAGATCTGAATACTGTGTATTTGTGTCCACACATCTAACTATAAAATATTTAAATAAAAGCCCTGCAGATCAACACTGAAGTTTATTACACAAGTTCACATCAAAACTTGTTCTCCAGTAGTACTCTGATTCACTATAATCTCTTTCCTTTCCCAGTGGCCCCAACGGGTCCAGATTCCCATGTCCAGTTTTGGGAAGGTTATCTTAAAATTAATTTTCAATTACCTGTACTTCCATTGGAATGCTATCTGAGAAACGGGTAACATGCAGGAAAATGTTGCACATGCTGTACAATACAACTGCTGATAAAGCAACTAATTCTTTTGCTGCATTATAAAAGATAAATTTAACCCTCATAATGCTGAATGCAGTTGATCCTGATGCAGTTAGGTGAATATCTGAGATATATCTGAAGTCAAGTAACAGTTGTAAGTGGGAATAATGCAACTATGAATTCCTCTAAAGTGTCCGTCTGAAAACCAAAAACCACAATAAATGATATTTAAAATGGGCTTACTTTAAGAACTTTAAAGGACTAGTAGAGGTCATAAATAAATTCAAGCAAAGAAGCAAAATGACAGCTACAAGGAAGAAACAGGAAGCTTGTAAGGAAACAATATACTCCTCTATGCAGATTTTTTTTTTTTTATTCCAAATGCATAATTTATTTTAAAATCCATAACTTACAATTATCTTCTACATCCTTCGTGCTGTCCTCTTCCGCAGGAAACACTTGATTGATAGCAGCCTGGAAAGTCTGTTAGATGAAAAATATTAACATTGTCAGAATTCCATAAAAATAGAAGCAGTTCCAAGATATCTGGATACAATGATAAAAGTGAGTGCACTGTGACTGTGTGTGATTTAAAATGAAGTTGCCAGCTTTACAGTTCAGCATTGGAAATTTTACTGAGTTACTAGATGGAGATAGGAGCTGCTGCATTTACATGGCTACACTACATTATAAAAATGTAGTCACTGTAATACATATTTTATTGCATTAATATCTGATGCTAAATTCCAAATTTTATATTGTAATATTGTGTAGTATAAAAAAATAAGGATAAAAAAAAGTACTGGAAAGGGAACAGCATTGTAAAAGACAGTTTCCTCAGTTCTCCAAAGCAGCACAAAGAATTAAAACCAAATTACACAGTCAAAAGACTCTGCTGTCATTATCATATGCTGTTTTAAAACACTCCTACTTATAATATAGAAGTTCAATACACAGTATCCTCCGTATCAGTAAATACTGTAGCTTGGGTTGTTGCTTGCTGGGGTTTTTTTTCTTCAGTAAATCAATACTAACATAACCGAAAGCCTTCCTTCAGCCCTTGTATTCCAGTTACACAAAACAGCCATTTATCAAGTGTTCAGATCCAACTGGAAAAAATCATAACAAAAGCAACATTGTTTCTTCTTTATTCTCCAGAAATCATAATTTATATTGTTGTAAAAAGGAAGGAAAAACATCCTAGCATACACACGCATTATAGCATCTGCACAAAAACACCTATTGTAAGAGGTATGTGTTTAATTATACTTTTTTGTTTACTGTAGTAATAGCTTGTTTGAGTTACCTATGAATGAACAAAAACCCTGTTGTACCAATCAAACACAACAGCCGCCATGCTGCCACAGGCACAGTCTCCTTTTCCCCCATGGAAAAAGAGACAAGAAGTCTAGTCGAATATTTGAAAAGGCAACCAACTGGATCTGAGTAACGACCTTAATAAACAAACACATTTGCTTGTTTAACACTGTGCTTGGCAAAACAGCCCCAAGAGAAACATCTCACATGGAAGTTTAGGAGAAAGACAGCAACTTGCTTCATCTTTTACTTCACTACCACAGACACAGTATGTGAGCTCTCTTTGAAGTGGGAAAGGTTAAAAATGTCTCAGAGCAGAACCAGTTGATGCCAGTAGGAAAACAATATCCCTTCCCTACAACGTTATCATGAAGTATAAAATTCATAGCCATAATAAATTGTATTTTGTTATCCCCTTATCAGAATCTAATGAAGAAAAATATGCACAAAAAGCTTTCCTCAGGGAAATGGAGCTGTTTGATTTCACTGGAATATCTGAACACCCATCAGACCAGCCTCCTCTGAAATATCCTTTATCGGAGACTGGCGGAGACAGGGAGGAACTGAACATCTTTATCTACCTCAGAAAGTAGCCAGCTGCTATTCAGAGTTTTAGCAGAGCAGAGAGCCCCCTGCCCTTTCCTCCCTCTCACAATATTACAGTTAGAACATACTATCATAATAATTTTCTCTGCAATTTTCTCAACAATAAGTGTGTATCTCATTGGGTAAAGATATATTTGAACACAAGTTTCCCTTGTAATCAGTTCCTTGTGCATGAAACAGTAGAAAAGTTTAAAAAGAGTATGACTGACTTCAGGAAAATCTAACTTCACTTCTCATCTGCTGATGTGTAAACCAAATTTAACCACTAACAAAGGCACAATTATTTTTTTTTTCCACAGGAGAGAACAAACACAATACCCAGCTATTCTGTAAGACTCTTCACAAATCTTGGATCTTTTTAACATTTCATGGATTTAAAGTCAGCCATACCAGATCTATCCCAGAAGAGGAAGGAAGAGGTTTTTCAATGTGCTCACCACTCAGCCTTCTGATTCAAGACAGATTTCAATGAAAAAAATGAGAATTCACCCTGGTTTCTCCTCCTTCATGTCTTACACTCAGTGTGAATTGTATGTTAATTTCTAGAATATTTCAGAAGTGATTAAATAAGCAATATGAAGGTGGCTTATCTGAAAGCTGATGTTTTTTCTGTTGGACTTTCCTAGATCAGAACATGAAGCCCAGTTTCAATTACGTCAGCAAAGAATTTCATTCCTGTGTGTCACAGTTGGACTACTGCTTTATGTAAGGTGATTATCTGTTATGTAGGCAAGTATGATAGCTAGATGTGCAGAGCTCCAAGTATTGCCAATTACTATTAAAATCTAATATAATAAATAGCAAATTGGGCAAGGTAAGCCAGGTCTATCATTAAAAAGTATCCAAAAAATTCTTTACTAAGTTGTCCCTTTTCAGGCATTTATTACAAGGAGGAAACACTTCAGGCATTTGGTGGAAGACTTCTGCATTAAGACACAGCTTAGGACAAATTTATTCTAAGAAAATGGAGACATTATTAATGTTATGAGACAATAAAGTGGACTCAGGAGGCAAAAGACTGGGTTTAGGGTTTTTGGTATGGGTTGGGTTTTGGTTTTTTTTTCCCTCTTTGTAATGAAGCAGCCCTTGAAATCCCATGGCAATCTTAACTATTCTCCCAGAAAGCAGATGAGTGAAAAATGATATCTTTCCATTCAAGAAGGATCTTCTTTCTACCATGTAATCCAATATGTGTAACCATGCCTCCCTTTATACCTTCCAGATACAGACAGAAGACATTCTTATTCTCAGCTGTATTTCACAGACCAACCTCAAGCAGTACAAAACATTGTCTAAGACAGACAAGAACGTGTCTCATTTGTGCAAGCAAGCTGCCCTAACTGCTAAACCCCCCCCCAACAAACAGCAAACCCAGCCCTTAGTTTGAAACACTGAACTTTGGACATTCTGATCCTTACTTTGAAAGTACATGTATTCATTTATACTTAGCCTGGAAAAATACCTTTCTGGTTATTCACAGCATACCAGAGCAGGTGCCCCATAAAGCCCTACCATGACCCTTCAGAACCGGAGCAGAGCCACACCATGACGCTCATTTGAGGGCAGGAGGGGTGACAGTAAGCACACTTTCCCCATGACTGCCAGAAACTCATTACTGCTGCTGGTTTAGGAAATGCTGCCCTTCACTCCTCAGTGCCATGAGGGTCTCAGGATGGCATTTTAGGGTGCAAGTCCCTTTGAGGCATCTCTTACCCATAGCTTTACTTAGATTTGCTACCTCCAGGAAAACAAGTAAATACACTGTTTGTCAGTTTCGCTGCCTCTACCTTCTCCCTGCTACAGCATCAAGCAACAAAACAAAATAAGGTATGTGCAACAGGATCTGAGGTTAGGATTTCCAGTAAATTCAGGAAAGTACACTCCAAGTAGAAGTGTAAGCTAATTGAGTTTAACTGACTGCCTTTCTACCCACATCCTCTCTTTTACACTGTGTGACTGCTGGTAGGGCACAGGCCAGGGCTGCCAGCCCCGTGGGTCCTAGGTGGGACCACGCTCATTAGCGAACCACTCTCCAGTTTCTCTGTTTTCTTTCCCGTCCTGGCACTTATCAGCCTTGCAAGCCAATGATCTAGTTTTCACGGAGTCACTCCTGCCATGCAACCTCTGCTCTGATAACACGTTCTTGCAGCTTGGATTACCCTTCTTTGTACAGTGCAAGCTGGGTGACTCAGATCCTCACCTCTCTTCAGACAGCCAGCTTTTGCAAGGAAATGTAAACGCTGTTGTTAACTCTGTGGTACCCAAAACTGCTATTGCTGTTTAGAAGTAAATCAGCATGTGGGACAATTTGACACAGTCTGGACTCCGTAACTTGGTTTCATAATACAAAGCAATCTACGGCCACACTGGCCTCCTGCCTTCCATCCTCCTGCCACTGCTTGCTGCCATCCTGAAAACTTTCCACTTCTTTTTAAAGTGGATCCGTTCTCTGACCCCATGTGCTGTGTCACATACAGCTCAGCAGGCAGAACTGACAGGGTGCTACTCTGCAACACCAGAGCTAGCTATGGGTGGGGAAAGCAGGGAAGATTGTAGGACATCAGGAAAGTGCTGCCTTGCAGCATTTTTTGCAATTATTAACAACATACTTTAATTAACCATTAAGTGGTATAAAAGGCAATAATCAAACATATGCATACACATTTCCTTTCCTACCTGTGATCTCTGGTAAACTACCAGCACCTACAGAGAATACGTATGACATGTTAATGACCCAGATTAAAAAATAATAATAAGTTACACTGCCCGGATATGTTTACAAGATCAGTTTACTCCTCTCCTCCTTGTAATTAGCATGGCCAACTCTTGGAGCTGCTGGATCACTCCTTCTTACTGAAGAGTCTGAACTATCTTTTTATGTAAACAAAGTTGATAATCATGGGTAATAATGCTGACTACTTCAAAATAATGTTCTAAGTGCATAAAAACAGAGCCATCTTAAAAAGAAAACAAGCAATAAGAAACATTTCACTATTAAAAAAAAAATCAATGACACCTTGAAAAGGCTGAGAAAGTAATTAAGAAAATGTTTTACTTCACCTCTATTAATATAATGAAGTTTGATAATTAGAAATATAGGACTGTAATCTCTATGGTATTTAAACTGTGAAGTGTTTGTTCCCTTGGATGAGGGAACATTAAGTCCTTAATTGATCTGCTTAATTCAAGAAAACAGCCAATAGCAGAATAACAAACTTTCTAAACAAAAGAGATTGTTCATTGTGAACCATAAAGCAAAATATTTGTATTTTAATATTTATTTTTTTTTAATATGCTCTCTGAAATGAACATATGTCAGAAATAAAGAGTGACTCAGGAATCTGCTTATTTCCTGTTTCAGTTTCAATATGCAGACTTTTGCTCTTTATCACATCAGAATCACTTGGGAATATAAACAGAAATAGAAGTGGGGGTCAAAATCACTGAAGCAGTTAAAGACTACTGAGCCATAGCTTTGTAATATTTAATATTTGTGTCTGTGTAATTTTGCTCTTCCCCAAACTGAAGAATGCATACTGCTGATACTAAACCTGCAGACTTTCTCTCCGATGCACAAAAATCAGACATTACAATTACTTTGTATTTCTAAGGAAAGCAAAATCAACTTCCTCTCCAAGATGCAGAAAAAAATAGAAGTCCTCCGCTGAAAGGAAGGACTGCTCCATAACCTTTTGACCTGTGACAAGATATTCTCTACTACTGCTGACATAAAAAACAGAGGTTAACAAAAAATGTTTTGTCTTTTCCATACCTGAAGATACAGAAAGGAAAAAACACGTTAGGAAGGCCATATACCACGTATTCACAAAGACCAGAATCACAACTTTTACAACAGTGTCTGCTCTTATTCCAGCTAGTAAAAATAAGGATGCTGACCATCTGAACTAAGATAATTGATAGATTCAAGGTGGTTCCAGTAAAAGCTTAAATTTAATTATGTCATACTGAAAGATGTCATGATAAATGAAGTAGTTGGAAAATGCTAATTAGAATTATGACTTCATTTTAAAAGTGACATTTACTTTGCCTTCAATTTGATGAAGCAATTCCATAGGACCTTTGTTTGACATTATGTTACTTGTTAAGGCACTTGAAGTTAAAGATTTCATCTCTCAGTCTTCATCATCTAACAGTAAAGAGTCTAATCTAAAACAGAGCCTAGCACACTCCTGCAGGACACTCTGTGTGGGAAAAGACAAAAACTAATCTCAACAGTAGACTCTTAACCAGACTCTAGCTGAGAAGAAAGTTTATAATACTGAATCAAATGGCTGTGTAGATTCAATCCTCCTCTCTTTCATGAGCACATGCAGATAACTGACAGAAAGCATGCACTTCTTAGTGGAATGTTTCATTTGCAATGCAAGCTAAAGCTGAAGACCCTTGGCCAGACTTAGAACAGAAAACTGATCTTCCATTCTTTTAGGCTGCATATAATTGTAGATACTGGCAAAGACATGGCCTAAAGGCAAAATAGTTTTTGTAAGGTTTTTCTCTGTTTCTTTGGTTGCAAGACACTTACCTTGCCTTTCTGGTTCAAAGGTTCAATAGTTAAGTTGTCAGTGCCAATGTCCACAATCATCCCCATCTGAAACCCATCAGTTGGGTGTGGAGCCCAAACGGGCTTCCCATCCTCCATTGTGCGATCTATCCAGTATTTCCTGTAAGAAAAAAAAATAATAATAAAAGAAACTGTATACAAATTTAGTAAGCTATCAGGATTCACCACACAGGCTTTAGTTTATGATGTTTATTCCTATTAGTCAGTGTGGAAGGAACCTGCCTATAGAATAGAGCCAGCTTGTCAGGACAAGACTCTTCCAGCCTTTTTCCAACCTGAAATGCTTTGCTTACAGAGAATACCCTCAGACTTGGAAAGTATGGAGAAGATTCAAGAACAGACAAATCTGGTGGGGGTGCCCAGGGAGACCCTCAAATTTGGGGAAAAGACTGCTCTCTGCAGCTTATTTCCTGTTTTCCCTGATTTGTGAGCCAAAAGGGGATCTACCTCATGATCAAATTAGAAATACAAGACCGATTCAAAGCTAGGGCTATACTCAGGAGTGTGTATATACACATATGTATATACGCCCGTACAGACACACACATATATATGTACATGCAGTGGGGTCATATGACTAATAGATATTTCTCTGTACGTGATTTGGTGTGCAAATACTTGACTTTCTAAAGGGCACATGTCAAGGCACATGAGCAGAAATGCAGTCTCTTGTCATCTGAGACAAATGAACGTGCTCACTCTTTTCATGTGCCTGGGCATATGGCTTTTAAATAACCCACAAATATATTCACTCACAATTGATTTATCATACTTTGAGAGACTGATCTCTGATACTGTAACATTACAACTCCGCCTCTTAAGGAACACCAACTTTACCGTCTATAAAAATACAGAAATTGTTTCAGAGGAACCTATGATATACAAATGAAATAGATGCAAAGACCAAGACATTCAAACCTTAGGTTCCTCAAGTTATGCAGCTAAATAAGCTCCCAATTAAGAGGTATTTGATTGCATGCAATGTGCATTGAGCTGACCAGGAAAGTTGCCAGGATTGGCACACTCTGAATGGCTAATGGTGCCATTTTAAATATACTGAATTAGTCCTTTTTGGGTTGTTGTTTGTTTTTTTTTTAAACCTATTTTATAATCCTTGCCCTAATAAGAATAGAGAGTCCACACAGCTTGAAAGGCTCATGTCTCCTTGGCCATTTCTTACTCCTTTCCAAAACTCATTCACATACTAAACTGGTATGCTTCAGTGATTCCAAAAATTAGTAAAAAGTATCTCATTTTACTAAGGTGTAAGTTACCTCTCTTAGCATGAACAAAATGAGCCTGCCAAAGCAGCAAAGAAAACACTGGCAGCAAACTCCAAGAGTCTGTAAGCTACGAAACATTGCACATTTTTCTTCTTCCCACATCTAAAGGAAAAAGGAGCTCCAAAATTTCTCACTACTAACGAAGACTCCAACCTCTTTGCCATAAGCAGCAGCAAGGAAAGAGTCATCGACCCATCAGAAAGCTGTACAACCAAGAGCAAAAAAGGACACTCTTGAACCATAGAGGGGATGTCAGGACATGCTGTACATGACCTGCTTTTTGCTTCCTGCAAGGAGTTGTAGAAAACTGAAGAGAAGGAAAAGCCTTGCTGTGACTGCTTTGAGAATGCTGCTCTTCTTAGCATCTTTTCAAGGAATAAGACCACTTACTGTTAACTTTAATGCAAAGTAACAGCAGATTAAAATTAATTCTAAAGCAAAGACTCAGAATGCAAAGTCAAATTTTTTTTAAATGAAGTAGCATTGAAAAAACTAGCTATAGAGCACTGAATTTAGCACTGATGTCTCCTTTTGTGTTTAAATCTACTCAAACGGATTCCAACCCCCCCCCCTCCAACGCAGTTCAGGATCTAAGAAGCTCATGAAGATTTTAACAAATGTTTCTAGTGTATTCTAGTCATGTAATTCATGCTATTTAAACATTATATTCAACACAAGAAAGCTTCTGGCTTACTTTTCCCCCATAAACAGAGCATATTAACTTCTTTTAACTACTCATAGAAAGTTTATGTTCTAAAACCTCAAGTGTCAAATTCCCTTCTATTTACTTCACACATTTTGCCACATCCCACAAACTCTACAAAACACCATCATCTTCATCATGTGTCACCAGCATCATATGATAAATGCTGTAAAACAACATCTGTATTCACTCACAATTGGCTGTTGGCCATTTTGTCCTTACCTTAGAATCCTGTAAATCAGATCTAGTATACACTACAGTTCTAGGGTTTAATTTTGGCTTGGTGGGTTTTTTTCAGCCAGATCTGACCTCTGAGTACAACTGCCATCGTGGGCACAGTTGCTAAACAGCTGAATTTATTTCTGGGTATACCCAGGCCTTCATTTCTTCACAAGCCTATCATTTGCTGTTAAAATGCAAGTTCAAATTAGTACTTAAGTGATATGTCACACAACCACTAAAAACAAGGCTCTCTTTTTACATCCTGAGTAGCATGGCCAGGGCTCTGGATGTAACTCTGCTGCACAAGAAACAAACCCTGGAATCAGTGCCAAAACTTCTGCCAATAGTTAGAATCCAACCTCCCAGTTAGCAGCCGAAGGCTTCTGCTTTGCTCACTGACGTGGGCTTTTGCATTCTTACATAGTCTTAAGAGCACTTCATGCTTTATGAAAAAATTATTCTCGGGGAGCATCACAAGGTTAAAAAAAAAAAAGAAGTCCTCTTCAAGGACAGAGCAGTGACTGAATTCAGCCACCACCAGGAAATGCATGTTTAAGAAAAATACCTGAGGCTTTGCAAGTGTCTAAAAAGCCACTGGGTGAAAGCATCTAAATACAAGTGTAGTAGTTATTCCTTTTAATAAATACAGTCCTCTGCCCGAGAAGTGACACAAAACCAGCTGTAACATTTTGATTTTGGCACCACTCCATCTCTGTCAGACTCCGACAGGCAGCACATTAAAATTGGATACTGAAACACAGCAGATCGTATCTGCTCTATTATCTACCCCTCCATCTGATGTATATGCCACTGCCCTTGAGAGAGATGCACAAAGTCTATTCCTGAACAAACTCTTCAATAGTCAGTTTCTAGCCCAGCATTTTAAGGTGAACAGAAACAAAACAAGTTGAAAGTTCAACTACCTGACACAGAATCATAGAATAGAACAACTCCCACAATGAGTGGGAACAAGCTGACTTTTTTTTTTTTTTCCCCATGTACATCCATCTAAATCCAGTCTACATGAAGCCAACTTCACTACACTGTTAAAGAGCTCACTGTTTCTGAAAGCAAAAAGATTTAAATCCAGGCTAAAAGCACCAAGGCAACAAATTTAAGAACACCAGCAAACGCAACAAACCACCTGTATAATTCTTCCAAATAAAGGAGGCCAAAAGGAGCCATCTTCCACATTTGTATATATGTACTCAATACATATTAAAGTAGCTGATTATAATTTGCTAGGTCATTTTGGTCTCCACAACTAAGACTTCTCCAACATGAGGGAGAGAATTCACAAAGGCTACACTTATAACCGGGAAGCCAGCTGCCATTTTCTACTTCTAGAGTCAGTAGAAAAGGAGACCAAGAGCCCCATACTGAAGTTTGTCTCTCTGTTGAGCAGGAGAGGGACAGTAATAAAATAAGGCTTTGTCTGAAGTCAGTAAATTTAAGAGCTATTTCTTCAAATGTCAGACTTTATATTTTCATAATTGGCAAGCAGTAATAAACCTTGCCTTAATCACCAGTGAAAGTACTCAACGCATTCAGCACTGGCTAAACAGTAGCAACCAGCAGTTCAAACAACTTGCAAGACAAAACTGTACTGCACTCCCCAGACTACAACAGTGAGAAAAACATAAGCCAGTGCTTCTCTTTTTCTGCACTGTTATTCTCTCTTTTGGAGAATGTTTAATAACATTGTTTCTCAAAAAAATTACCTACATATCACATTGAGCATATGCAACAACTAATAATTCCTGAGTTGAAAGCTGCCACATGACCATTCCATTTACATTTCCTGATTTTGAAAGAATGTAAAACAACTGCATTTTGATTTTGTAGAGTATTCAAAAGGAATTCAAACACTACTATCTGGCAAAAGAATTCTAGGAAGGCAAAATACAGTAATGCGATTTTAAACTTGTTACCTGAGACCAGAGGTAGGCATTTGCATGATCTGATCCTATTTACTACCTTCTGAAGTTTACTATACGAAGACACTGTACTGATTGCTGAATTAAGTAATTAAAATAAATAAAAAATTAAATTTCATTAAACAACTGACAGTATCTCATTACATTCGCTAAATCAAAATTCATTAAACAACTGACAGTATCCCATTAGGTTGGCTAAATCCAAGGGAAATAAACTAGTCAGAATGGGTATATTAGGTAATTATCACAGTGAAAATATAATTACATAACTTTATATTTTAAAAAATCTACTTATTGGGTGTTTAAGAGCTGCTCAAAATTCTGCAGATTACACTGGGCACATGCTAATGCTTTGGGAAAGGTCCTGTAAAAATACAGGACAGAGAAGACAGAGGAAAACATCAGTACACAGTGGTAGCTTACTGTCAATAAAGTTATTTTTTTTTTTCAATCTAGTTGATTGTTTGACCGAAATTTGAACAAATCAAAGCTCAGGCGGCATTCAGCACTCTCCTGCAAGGGACATAATATTTCAAAGGAACTGCAGATACACTACAGCGATTTTGTTTGTTTTAGCTAAATGCAACAGTCACAACTGCATTATTTTACTGAATATTCAACCCATTTACTTTTTATTTCTTATTTCATTTTTCAATGTACTAGAAAACTTCTCTGCACTAAGACACTTTATTTAGTTTAGCCATACCAAACTGCAGTTTCTCATACACACCACACAGCAAGGTAAATGTGGCAAGCAGAGACTTCTGCCAACTCAGGAAGGAAGAAAATAGGCTAGAATACAGCCCAGCAAAAAGGTATCTTCAAAACCAATTTGCCTTGAAAATGCTAATGCTGACTTGTTGATTGCCAATACATTTTGTAGATGTATGCAGGTGAAATAAAGAGTAGGAGTTCACACATTTGAATATTACTAGATAAAAACGTCTTTTAAAGC